GATAGAAATGTAAAACTGAGAGTGTCCCTATTAGACAAAGTGGCAGCCACCTCTCTAACGACATTTTGACCTCAAGAAAAACCTTCGTATAAGAGCTACCCAGTGGAACATCAAATGCTGTGTTTTATTGAGAATGAGCGTATACTTATTTCTTTTAATTGAATATAGCAAATTGCTCACTTATATTTATGTACAAATCATTAGTTAATGCTATGTAATGAATTTTGTTGACCATTGTTCTCTTTTGTACATGTTGTTGATGTTGTTTTGATAATTTTTATTTGCTATAGCCTCAAAACCGCATATTTAGCTCAAAACCATTTTCATAAAAAGCCAAAAAATGAAAGCATTATTAAGGCTTAATCTTAAAAATGGCTTCAGAATGATTAAAAAAAACTGTCCAATTTATCAATGATTAAACAAGTGTTAAAAGCCATATAAAGGCAAAAATACTGCTGACTGTTTTAAAAGGAAATAATAACATTAAGGCACCAGACAGTATGTCCACGGTATGAAAAAAGGCATTTGAAAGGAATTTAAAAAGATTAAAATATGAAGTATAAAAAGATTAAGAATGAAGGTTTGGCGTAGAGCTGTAGCCACTTAAAGTTCAGGATTAGTTTTGAATTAAAGTTAATTTTTTCAGTATTGGATTAGGTTATTTCAATTATAGACTTAACACTTTACTGTGATAATAAAATTTCAATAGACACTTGAAGAATGGCTGTAACTATTCTACCTTAATTGGAAACATTTCAACGTGATTAATTACATTGTTGCAAAACTTTATTTTTATGAAAGGATGGTAGGTTGTTTATACCGTGATTGGATTTGTGTTTATTTTAAAGTTTTTCCTTTTTCATCAAAATCAAGAGAAATAGTATTAAGAATTTTTAAAAAAAATTTGCCAGTTTTACAAAAAAAAAGTGTTGTTTTTTTTTTGTTTTTTTTTTTGTTCAGCTTTTTGTTTTCTATGTGGAGAAAATATAAGACAGAAATTATTTTTTGTAAGGTAAAGAAAGCAGATAAAGAAAAATGTCCTAGAGCAGTTTAAACCATTTCTTTGGTTTCTTTGCTCCTCTATTCTAAACAAGAAAGCTGCGTTCTTTTGTTGTATAAATAGCTTTTGTGATACCTGTTCTATATCATGAAATAGCATGCTCAATGGACAGGTATTTTGCGTAATGGTTAAAAATTATTTAAAAAACTAATTTAACTGCCATAGATATACAGTGAATGAAATTATGGCAGATTTACTGGGCTTCATTCATTCTCGTTTAATTCAAAACAATAATTATCGTGTAATGAATGAGTTTTTGGTGGATCAAATTGAATGCTTTTTAAAATCGCTTTTTAATACTCTCGGCAAATAATACTGTAATTGAGTGTTTTATGGCGTAGAAATTGGCTTATATCTGATAGCTGTTGAATAATAAATGAAATTGTGTTTACTTACACACATTTAAATGGTTTTATGAAATATTTAGGAGGCAAAATACTCTGTCATCCGCACATCGTTTATCGTGTACCGAGTCTAAGAGTCTGTAAAATAAACTTTCGCTAAATGAATTTTATTCTCGTTTTATGTGGGCATGATGAAAATGTATTGGAGGGAAATGAGAATAAATAATCGGGCCGAGCAGATCGTTGTTGTTAATAATTGATGAATATTAGTTTAGTATTTGTGATGATGTTGTAAGACTGATATAATTTATGTTATGTCACACAAATGGTTTGTGAAACTTGAGAAAACTGCCATTTACAGCTGCTGTTGTAGGGACTTGTTGCAATAGATACCGGTCCCAGCTGTATTACCATCTCTTGTTTCATATAATGTCCCGCACTTTTATTTCATTATACAAAGTATTCCTTTTTGAAAACATTTTGTGAGTAATATATAAAAAACATGAAAATATTTGCTTAATGTTACATATTGCTTTTTTATCTTTTTAGAAAAAAAGGCCATTTATTGTTATGAAAGTGAAATACATTGATTAGTCATTGAAAAAAAAAATCATTCTTGTCATACCTTGTGTAATTGACTGTGGCTAAAAACGACTTTTGAATAATTCATTTAATTGTACCTTAATTATATAAGGGGTTTTAGCAGAGACATAGATAACTATGTCTCTGGTTTTAGTAACAATAATAACAAAATACATAAAATGATAATATTAAAATTGAGTAACCAACAGTATGATGGTGAGCTTTTAAGTCAGATAGCATGAATGTTCAAGCTGGTGGCATTAGGGCCGTTATAAATATCACTAGAGCTAAAAGGGTTTCCTATTTTATCTTATTGTACCAAAAGGAAAAAAGGATTCATGTTGATCAGTGTATAGTGATATAAACAAAGGAAATGAATGTAGAACTTTGTGCAAAAGGAAGCCACACTGTATATGAACAACATTTGTTGGTGAGAGTGTTGTAAGTGGACAGTGTGATAACTGTATGGACAGTATGGTGGTATCTACGGGGTGCCAGCTGGTGGTATGTACGACTGTATAGAGGTTTAGACATTGATGGATGATCAGATCACTGCAGGCAAATTTTAACATTGTTATTAGGTGTGATAACTTTCAAGGTATGCTTTATAACATGACAAAATATTATTTTACTAAGTGTGCAACACTAGTTACAAACATTAAAGAATTTAGTGCTACAATCTCAAACAGTATTTGGATTTTGAACATATAATAATTGTGGGTTTTGTGTTATAAAGGTGCCTTGGATCTAAACCTAATGATGTAAGAAATTTAAGTTTAAGTGCCTGTACAATTATAATAATGTAATTATAATGAACTTCATTAAATACAGCTGATGGGTTTATTAATGTAATTTTAAATCCAAAATATTTTAGGATTAAACAATAAGTTTGTACAAAATTCCATATTCTTTTCCAAGGTTACAAATGCATGACATTCAGTACAAAATAAATCATTTTTGAGGATATTTATGATAATAAAATTATATATTTAGATTATATTTGTGTCAAATTTTTAGAAGTTATTGTTATAATTTTATATGAGTTACATATGTGATATAATTGACAAGAATAATAATTATTAGAGGCTAGTGATCACCATCATTGATTAGTGGTGAAGTTGTTCAGTGATGCTGAAGTGGCAGTCAGTGACATAAAGTGGCACTAAGTACTAATGTTTACACAACTGCATCATAATGGCCACATTCAGTGCATCCATCTACAATATATTACATCACTAATGCTACATTATATAATGACCATAGATCAGACACATTGATAAATCTGATATAAATTAAGATAAAAACAACATCTCATTTGTTTAAGAATGCATAGAAATATAACATTGATGTAGTGGTTGTAAATCAATTCGTCTATACCAATTGATAAAATAGTTTAGCATTTATGATGGATGAGGGTGAATACAATAATTGAATAGGTTGAGAGATACATTTTGTATGTAATGATGTTATCTTTATCAGCAGGTATAAAATGATATATACATCTGATAACTGAGTTATCATAATAGCTTCATATAACCTGTAGTATGTATCAGAAAGTAATTATTTTAAGATAAAAAGATAACTCAGTAATGTATATATATATATATATATATTATCTAGATATATATATATAATAGTGATTGAAGTCTGTGAGGTAATTGACATGGATGTTGGTGTGTGTCAATCAGTAATTGTTTGTTTTAATTAATAAGTGCATTGTACTAGTATAACAATGATCTCAGACTGTTCTCATTGTGAAAGCTTTTACAACATGTCTGTGAAATATAACTTGAAATCATAACTGTGTTGTTGCAAAATAGTTGTATGGTGTAAAAGATATGTAGGAAAATGGTTTTACATTTTTGTGTATGACAGAACTATTTTTCTCAATATCATAGAAAAGAGGTTCATTAACTGTTCATGATTTGTGTTTATTGTTTTGAAGAATGGAAATATTTTCACAGTAGGATTTTATTTAGAATGGACATTAAAGGTATGATTTGACACATAATCTAACAGCATTGTATATATAGAGAGACTAGTTTCAACAGTTCTCACATATTATACAGCTCATTTTAATGGGTATTTGATTAGAAATGACATGGACTTAATAAGTTATAATTAAGAGAATGTGTTAGCTGCCAATTGGTTTAACTTGTTGGAATTTTGTAGGCCAATTAAAGGCAACAGTTTCATGTAAAAGCAGCGAGATAATTGCTCAAAGCTTTCAAGGACATTTCACTATGCATTTCAGCTCGTATATTTCTTTTGATTATGTGGGAAAAAAGGTGTTTTATAATATATTCTTTTATACTTTTAAACAATATACAAAGTCATTAAAATGTCTTGTGTGAAAGTTTTCGTAGATTGGATTTAAAATGGAAAAGGGTGTGATAAGTGCATTTGATTTAAAATGCAAAGGGTGTGATAAGTTCATAAATTATCTTTTATATCTTGTATAAGTTATTTTGGTCATATAACCCGGTAATACAAAAGTTTCCAGGACTAATTTCTACCTTTTTATTTTGTAATGAAAATCTTGTAATTGATGTTCATGTTTTAGAAATGATATAATGAGGTAGTTGTTGACAATGGTGAAGGGACTATATTACATGATGTCAATAAGTTCATGTTGTAAGAACACATGTATTGACACTGTTATGATTAATGAACACAGTGAAACTGATGTAGGTACATCACATTACTTAACTGCTCCAAGTTTGACAGAACTTCATTTTTCTTCATGTTTTTAACATGTAATTTTTGACAAGAGTGATTCATTTCTGCGCACAATTTGCATTCACGATGCAAGGTTTTTTTTTGTTTGTGTTGTTTTTTTACAAACGGTTTGCCAACTGATAATTTGAAAAAATTGATTTTCATAGAGATGATGTGTTTAAATTTTGATGAATTATCGTTGTTAATCAAATAGCAATTTAAGAGAACAATAAAAATTGATCAAGAATACTCTGTAATAAATTTATTATTATAAAAAAAACCTTTTTATTTGACAGATTGTTTGGTAAACCTCAGGAAGCTGTTTGAGTTATGTTCTCAGGGGACGTTTAGAGACTGTGTATAAGGATTGGTGGGAATTTTTAATACTACACTCTTTATATGTTGCTACTTGTGTGAATGTATGAGAAATAAATATGGATAAAATAAACATATGAGGAGAAAAGTGAAGAAATTAACTGACAGGAGTGATGATGTTTCTAACTGGATTAAAATGTATTTGGATTTTCTGCTGGATATCTCTCTCACAAGGTTTGTACATTAAAACAGATTGGTTTTGTGAAATAAGACTGTAGGAGTTCACTCCCTTGGATACATATCAAAATTAATAATACATAAATTTTTGTATAAATTAATGTAAAAAAAAGGAAAAGTCAATGTAAATTATGCAAAATATTAGTCAATTTTTCTTTTTATTGAAAAAAAAACAAAACAAAAACAAACAAAACAAAGAAAGTCTAAAGAAAGCCCAATAAACAATTCAATTAGATCTAATTAATGTAAGATAAGTGTCAAGACATAAATCATAATATAAAACATTTTTATCTGAAAAAAAAAATGAATGGAAAAATGTATATCTAGAATTAACATAAGTTGTTATTATTTCAGCTGACGCAGATCCCTCTGCTAACGCAGACCCTGCTCGCAATGCAGCAAATTTCCAAAATGGATTCCAGTCGTCATCATCATCATCAAACCCTCGCATAACGGAACACCCTCAAGATGACTTTTTCGCAAAGAACGAACCAGCGACCTTGAACTGTAAGGCTGAAGGTGATCCACGACCCACAATCACTTGGTACAGAAATGGCAAACCCGTGGAGACGAATAGGGAGAACCCAATCTCACATAGGATGTTACTCGATAATGGACAATTGTTCTTCCTGCGTGTGATACATTCTAAGAATAACCATCCCGATATAGGAGAATATTACTGTAATGCAACAAACTCGAAAGGTTCGGTAATTAGCCGGACAGCCAACATACAAATAGCGGGTAAGTTTTTTGTGAATTCATCAGGCTATATAAATATTAAAAGTAATCATTTTATCCCTAACCATGCTAGATATATTAAATGGACCTGTCTATTTACAAGTCTATTTTTCAATCTCAACAAAAACATTCATCATTTTTAGGGCAAATTTTAAAATATGCACTGACTGTATAGAGTAAAGTGGAGATCAGAAGGCACGGAAGTGACGGCTGATCATGGTCTGCACTGGTTGCATGGATTTATTCAGTTGCCACCAGTGAACAAAGGATTAAAACATTTAAAATATTTGAAAATCTTTCGTCTACAAAATTCAAAACTATCCACAATTTGTCAAATTGCAATAATGATAAGCATAATAGTACACTAATACAGTTTAAAGAGAATTTCCAAATTGTGTCAGAGTTTTTCAAAGTGAAAGAGGAGCAGATAAATGTATCTGTAAATGATTTTACCATCAGGTCAAAAAAAGTCTGGTTACTGATTCATTTAGATTTTCATTACTGTGAGATGCTATCTTGAGCTTGTTTTTTGTGTACCTTGGCATGCGAACTAAGGTTTTCTGAAATAAATGTGTCATCTCTATTTCTCTCGTAACTGAAGATGGAGATAGTAATTGCCTTGTAATCGTTCCCTAATCAACATCTGTAAAAAATGCTGAAAAAGCCAGAAATATGCACTTGGAAATTTTTGTATAGGCAGTTTGGTAGCCATAATAAATTATGTACTTGTGAAAAGTCATGACAAAAATGTAACCAATGGTTGCCTTATTGCTATGGAATTGTGAACCGGTTTATAATTATGGGAGAAGTCTGGTTGCTGTAAAAGAGATAGCACCATGTTTAACTCTCTAGCAATTTATCTTTGCACCTAGATCAAAATCTCATGAAAACATTAAACCTGCCATACATATCTCTGGTGACAGTTTTTATTTGATTTCTATGTTGGCAGTAGGACACTCATATTTTAAGCAGATTAGATAGCTTAATAATATTAAACATTTACTGAAAAGTTACTTTAAAAAAAAACCTTATAACCAACAACATGTGCTGCAATGATAACAGCAACTTTAGATTAATTAGTCTCTTTAATATCGAACATAATGTGACCAAATCTGACAGTAAATAATTTTGTTGTCTGTGATGTCACGCAAGACCCATGTGTTCCTGTGGGTCTTTAATTGGAATACCTGTATATTTAAAGGTAAATATCTGATTAAAGGAAAGATATTTGCTTTAATTTCTAGTGCTTTTTGGTTAAGATTTGATAATAAACATTTAAATATTCACTTGTATACATTGTAATTTGGACTTTTTTCTGGACAGATAATAATTGATTTATAATTTATGTTAGATGTTAATTGATTTATGATATACATGTACATTTATGTAATTTATGATATACCGGTATGTAATTTATGATATATGTAATTAATCAGAGTTGCCTGACATGATAGACAAAAGCATTTTACACAGACAATTAATTATAAATCTTTTGTAAATATAAGATAGAACATCATCTAAACCATTGATCTTATCTAAATTATTGCAGAAGTATTCAAAATATTTGCTAGGAAACATCAACTGTATTATGATATGTCTCTATGGGAAGGAATGATTAGTACATGTGCATTGTTCTCTTCTATATGTCTATATAGAGTGTAGATTCAATAATCATATTAATATTTGTTACACTGAATGGTGAATTTTATATTGCTATTCAAGGACTGCAAATTAATATGTAAAATGTCAATGTCACAGTTACCTGACAACTATGCTGGATCGATAGGTGAAGATATGTATTGACCATATTGACCATTGAAATTAAGAACAATTTCCAAGGGAGATAAATGTTCCTGCTTAATATCAGGAGACCAAAGCCAATAACTGTGTGAGACTTCTTCCAACCATTCTTTTTGTGTTGTCAAGATCACACAATAAAAACTAATAACAATTATAGACATATTTGGCTTCTGTGTACATTTTACCAAATATTTGGCTTCCACATAGTTTTTTTGCCAAGCATTGACTGCCTGTAGTACAATAAATCAAAGTTGTATTGATTTTGTTTCAGACGCTATCAAAGGCTATCATAGATGGTATATATGTGTTTATATACAGGCTTGTCTTTTTGCATCATAAAATTTTGAATGATTGATTCTCTCTCTCTTTTCTATTTTAAAGACTGTGAGAAAAAGCTTTGTCAAGTTCTTCTTACCAAAAACTTTATTTTGAAAAATGACATGAAGTTCGAGTATACTGATGTGTGTTTCTTCCCCAGATCTGATAGTTGTGTTATTTTCTGATGTTTATCACTTGGTTTTTTAAGCATAGTTTATAAGGGCGAGATTTTTATCTGTTGAGATGTAACTGATTTCTAATCTTGTAAAAGCCACATCAGTTATCAATTATAATTTGTCAAACAGTTTACTTCATTATCAAAATACCATCAAATTTATCATGATAATATTTATAATCTGCAGTAAATCCTTCTAAGAACTTGACATGAAATCTTTGGAGGACATACTTTTGTTTGATAAAAAAATCCTTTGAAATAGTTTTTACTTTTGTTTGATAAAAAAATCCTTTGAAATTCTTTCAAGTACTGTAGATATATAATATTTACAACACAGATAAATCATCTGCTATCACTGATTAGTTATCTTATATCTTAAAATTATATTGACAAAGAGATTTTTTTTGTGTGTATGTGAAAAATCTATGAGAAAGTTTAGTGACTGGTTGTTAACTATTTGAGTATGAGCTCTTGTAAAACAGACATAGTCTGGCAGTGTAGAGCCAGGCCAGCCTGTCTTGACTCCCCTCTCTTACCATTTGCTGCTATGGTTAAATATTTAGAGAAACACTTATGACCAATTGTAATATCAAAGCAGGGCAAATCTAATATTTATACAAAATTCAGCATTGTACAGGTTAACTTAAAGTCATCCCAGAGACTGGATTCTATAATACCACCACCAAAAACTGTTTGATAGAGGAAAATAGTAAAGACAATATCAGACAACAGACTGTTGTTCTATTTATTTTGGTATTTATAATTCTAGTGATGAAGTCTTTCCGTATTCATTGATACAAAAGAATGCTATTCGTTGGGAAGAGTTTTTATATTAATGGACTGTTTGATGAAGAAAAGAACAATGGTCATATGTGCCTATTGACTGGTAATTACAGATCAAATGATAAACTCTAGAGTATTATAATCTCATACATATAACAGCCAGTCAGTCTTTCTTCTTGTAGAGTTTTCCTATTGTAACTATATAAATGATAATAGGGGGAACGATTTTCTAGAATAACATTGACGCCATATTAACTGCTATGTTTATTTGATGGGCTATAGAGACTTAATGTAGCATTCATCATATGAACATATCTATAATTATATAATGTATAAGTCCGGCATGTATAAGACCAGCTTATAGACTGTATCATTAAGTACATTTACAGTACAGAAAACTTTTACAATGATATTGATGTAGCATTATTTACAAAGCAACATTTGATGGAAAAGAAAACATTTCATTCAAAGCATAATCTCCATGCTGACTCTAGTGAAAATGTTACAGGTTAGCCTACTGGCGGCAACTAATTCTACTCCATAGCAACCAGTACAGACAATGAACAGCACTAATGTCCCTGCTGTCTGATCATGGGCTGTACTGTTCACTATTCAATCAGTATATATGTTATAATTATCCCAAAAATAATAATAAATGATGAATCTATGCAGATTGATAAATGAACAAGTCCATTTAAGATATTTAGCATAGTTAAATAGGGTTAGATACATAGGTATACAAGACAATAATCTTGCATGTGATGTAAAATTGCAAACAGCTGATGTTTTCAAACTTATTATAAAATCGAACTGTATTTTAATGGATATCAATATTCATGAAGATGAATTTATGTCTAAAGTATCTGAGACTGTAAAGTCACCATTGGAGACTTCTTTAATATATGCACTGAAAATATACTTTCAACACATGAAAGTACCTTTTTTGTTTTTTTAAATTCCATGTGATATTTTATTTTCAGTTTTAAAGGACACGTTTGTAGAGGAGCCATCTGATACTACCACAGCTGTTGGTCAAAGGGTTGTACTACGATGCAGTCCTCCAAGAGGGAAGCCTGACCCTAAAGTGATCTGGAGAAAGAATGGTGAACTTGTTCAAACAGATGATAGGATACATATCACAGAGGAAGGCAATCTGGAGATAGATTCAGTAGAGAAACAGGATATAGGAGAGTTTATGTGTTTAGCAATAAACACTGGTGGTGAACGACAGAGTAGACCAGCTCAATTAAGGGTCCTAGGTAAGTAAAATTATATATATATATACATGTATGTATATTTTTGCATAAAAATATGTCATGATTCAGAGCTGATCATTAATGGAGGCAAAACTTTAAGTTGCCACATGGCATGCTTTGAAGAGCTGCTGAACATTATTCTAAGAGGCTGCACATTTTTTCTCACCCTGTCACATATATTATACATATTTAAATACGTAATTTGTGGCTCTCTAAATTCTTAAACATAGGTTTGTCTAATGTGTACAGATTTGAAAATAAATGGAGGTTTGTTTTCTAGAAGGAAACAAACAATTATTGGAAAGAAAAAAAGCATTGGTATTGATTGTAAATTTTTTTATTTTTCAGATGTGCCTGTTTTTCATAAGTTACCCAAGAACGTAGATGTAGAAGAAGGGGCAGATGCCCAGTTTTTCTGCGATGTAACAGGAGATCCACCCATTAAAGTGACCTGGAGTAAACATGATGGAGCCATCAGCTTCGGAAGGTAATTTTTAGTGATAAGTTCAACAATTCCTAGATCTAAATACTGTTATTATCATTTACAATTTTACATAATATGATTATAACATAGTATTATTCAAACTAGTTGTATATTACGGGTAACCTTTTCCGTTTCTTGAAACTGAGTTATAAGTCTTTGCCATCAGTAAAGAGGCATACCTGAACATGCACATCTTTGCAGTCTGACCAGGCTCTATACTGTTGCTTACTTATATTTTCCATCCAGATATCACCGGAATTGATAATGAACAGTTCCAAAATCAGAATTTCAAGAAAGTCAGTGCTTGTAAATCTGCTTTGGTACATATTGTATGAAAGGAAACATTATTGTATAAAAGAACAGGAAAAGCTATTGGTACCCATTAGTGTTTGCTTTTACAGTAAAAGAATTTTGGAGAAGAAACGGTTCCCTTCTGTCTGAACACATTGAAAACATAGTTTTTTTTTACGTCTTTTTGGAAATTTTAAAACTGGTGACTTACTGACTAATAATATTCAGATACCATTATCTTCCTGAAATCTTTTATGTAAATTTTAACACTGAAAAATTGTGATATTTTGAAACTTTTTAAGAAAAGGTCTGTAACATAGCTTTCTTATGCTTGTACATGTTGAAATTATGTTAGAAAATATAATTTTTTATTATGTGTGAGAGTAGATAATGATTTCAAAGCAGATATTAAAGAATTAACAGCTCATCTTCAGTACTGGGTACATTTACAACATGATATATGTTGTTTAGTTTCTCTCTCATTTCTACTGGAATATAGGAGTCAAATTTACATGAACTTTATCAGTCTGTTAAAGAGATAATGGAAGAAAAGAGCAGAAAGGGAGAAAATCAGATAGGAAAAATTAAACAGTAAAAGACACAATGTCTGTTGTATTATTCTGTCTCCTTAATAAGTGTTGTTTTTTTAACACCAATTTACAGAGAAACGCCATTTTTTGCTCTGGAGAAAAAAAGTCACACTTTATAATTGACATATAAGACATTTGTATTTTTTACTGGAAATGTTTTTTATTTGAGAAACATTGATTATTTACTTTAGAAAATAAGTTTCACAACATACAATATTCAACTTTTAAAGTATTCCAAGAGATCTTGTATTTTGCTTATTTTTGAAATGAAAAGTTAACATATCTGGCTGTTAAGGGGGCAATTAATTGGTGTTTCTAAATCTGTGCAATCTTTAATGAGATATAGTAGACAGGTTGTTGTGGGGAAAATTCTTGTTGATGAATTAACTTGTCACTTGTGTGATCCAATATACAAATGAAAACTTCCTTACAACCCTCTGATGTAACATCCAGGAAAATAGAATTTTAAGTCTCCCCAAGAATTTAACTTGATTTGCTGATGTTTCATACACTTATTTATACACATTACCAGTTATACTTGATGCATCTCCTTGGTTTCTGAATCAGTATAACTTTTTCTGACATGTTCTAAAAAAAACACTCTTTTTTTAAAAGAACAAAATTATGATAATTGCCATCCAAATCACTGCAGTAAGACATAATTTGTCCAGGACTCCTACTAACAAAGTCAAGGCAGTGTACCTAATATAAATTTTGTAAGAGTTGTATTGGTATAGTTGGTATTTAGGAGAAGGTATAGTTGGGATATGTAGGTAGGAAAATTGAATCCAAACAATGTATGTATGTAAAGGTGGTAAATTATGTAGGACTGGTAATTAAATGTTATATGGCAAATTGGTCAAATGAGTGTAGTAAGCTAAAAGTAGTAAGGCAATTTGGTCAAATGAGTGTATGTATATGAAGCTGGTAATGTTTTCAGTCAGCTGATCAAAAGTAGTAAGGCAATTTGGTCAAATAAGTGTATATGAAACAAACAAGATAATAAGAGAAAAAGGTCATTTTTAGTAGAAGAGCCAAATTTCTGGTAGTTTGTTAGGTAGTTAGATACAAGATCAGTATACTGTTGGTGTAGAAATGATATAATCATGGAAAGATGCATGCAGAATACAGGAAAATCTGTGAAGCAGGTGTTGTTAGCATTGTTTTATGACTCCTATGCCACATTTATTCTCCTTCTTTTCCTAGTGCATGCTCAGCTTACATGTCAGAAGCAAAAAGGAACCTGTACTGTCCCGAAATGTGTTTTAACAAGCAGTGTTTATAGGTTGACCATGTGAAGGAATTGCAGCTTTTAAGAATATTGTTTGTTATGGGTATTGTAATGTAGTAAATTATTGAATAAGTTAAAGCCAATACTGGTATTTTGTTAGAATGATTTCTATTTCTGTTCATTATCCCATGGTACATCAGTTATTGTTATGTAAAGAGAACAAATAACAGAATCTGCAAGGAAATGCCATACTTTAAGAACACAATCCCTTACAAATAAATTTTTGCAAGCAGCAGAGACGACTGCAATGAACAATCAGGCGCAGACCTTTATACAAATAATATGTAGATATGTTGGTAATAATAATTTATGTAGATATGCGGGTATCCCCTTAAATATATGATGATGAAACCAGTTTACAATAGACAATTTAATAGGAAGTGTCTGGAAGATGGTCTCCTAATGCTTTAGGTATATGCTCTATGGCCTAGGGACTCTAGTGGGTTTCACAGACCATACCAGTACTGATTAGTTCTTGAAAATCTCAGGACTTATATATAAGCTGGAAACTTTTTTCAAAATCAAACTTAAAATAGATAATTCTGTTTTAAATTAAGAGCAGATGATTTACAGCTGCATCTATTTAAATGTAAAAAGTAAAGTCCTATTAATACAACAGTTGCTAGTTGTTCTGTTTCAAATACAAGATCAGAAGTATTCTCAATTACATCAAACATATGTTGTCTTATATATATTCTATTTTCTGATTTATTTTATCAGTATGTAATGTTATATATTGTTTATATCTTAATAAAAAGCATCACTATGAGTGAAATTATTGAGTAACTTTCCCATTACAACCTGATAGATAGGGAGTGTGATAGGAACAAAAACATAACAAATGCTGGAACTCATCTTCTACTCTGTACTGATAACACAGTATACAGTTTTTGTTAGTAAACCTTCTAAGATGATTGATGTATTAATGGAGAGAATGTATCCTTAGATTTGAAAATGAAAACTTTTAAGAAGGGATAATCAAATCTTGTATAAACAGGATGTTGTTGATGTTTTGGGAGGGTATAGTATTATATGTGAACAGATTCACATCTTCATCTTAGATAATCAGTTTCGGAATTTTATGATAAAATTGTTCTGATATTAGTTGCTAATGTCTTATCTCTTTAAGTTATTTCATTGTATTTTTTCTTCTCTATTTTAATATGATTTTGTTTTAAAATCGCACTGACCGTCCGTTAATATTAAGGATTTTCACATTAGTCAGTGGTCATGGAAGTCTGTTCTAGTAAAGTGTTCTAAAAAATTCCATGCAGATTTGTAGGCTGCACATATTAATTCATGGACATAATATTATACATGTATTTGATTGATAAAATGCCAAAATAGATAGAAATTATTTTATCGAAATTTAACTGCATGCTTTAAAACCAGACTGCAAAATGTGCTATTTTTGATTATAAAAGTGTGTTAGGTCAGGATGTTAAGGTATTCTGGTTTTTGGTAACCAGAACCTTGTTATATTTTTGTTTCAGCCTAATGACTATGTTGTTAGCCACTAGCAGCCGCAGTGTGCTTTAAAATACTATCCCAAAAATGTTATTAAAGAAAATTTATCTTTTGTGATAAGAAATATTTTAGTAAAATACAAAGAAAGAAATACAAATGTAGAAGCTATTTCTTTATTCAGATAGTTATTGGAGAAAGTTTTTATGGAAGCCTCTTTTTTCATGTATAGATAAATGTGAATGTTCAGCTGTTTTAGTATGTGATGAAAGCAGATTTCTTGTTTTCACATCTCTAAGTCTTCCCCCTAACATTTATAACCCAAGTATTTATTTACCATAGTATCCACCTCTCTTCTCAAACAGATTATATTATCAGGGAAAGAAAGGAGAAACATTTAGATTTGTTATGTATGATACACATCTGTCACAATATTTACCCTGTCAGAAATATCTTACATCACAACACATAGAAATTACATGGCTTATCAGCCTCTTAAAATGATCAATTATCTCCAAGTATGTGTTACCTTTGACTACAAATAACATTTTAGATTTGCTGCCTCAGTTGAACCATGAAATATGTATAATTCTACATATAGAAAGATTTTGACCTTTACTAAATTAGGCATGAATGTCACTTTTTGTCTATGTGCTATAAATCACTGGTACTCTTTTTGGAGGAATTGAGCAAATAATAGCAGGGAGGATTACCATTAAACCATTATTATGCCTGGAGAATGATTATTTCTGGATATATCAAATCGTAAATTTAAGATCTGAACAAAATATCATCAAACATATTTGCTATAACCTGACACTCCAATGTTTACAAATGCATATTGTCTCATCAAATTTTTAAATGTTCAAAAAAAAAAACCACTCACAAAGCTATAATCATGTCCATTAATTGCCATGTACTTGCAATATCTAACAATATCTTTTAATATTGTGGAACAAAAATGTTGAAATTCATATGCAGAAATACTTTGGCATTCTGCATGAATTTAAAACCATATTGGAATATATATGATGATGATAATCTTGTGTAAATGTCATTCATGAAATTTCATCAGATTCTATATGTCATGTTGTATTTCCCAGGGCTCGAGTTTTACCGGATCATACATTACGGATAGAGAATGTGGAATCAGATGATGATGGGGTCTATATCTGCACAGCAGAAAACGCAGCCGGGTCAACACAAGCCACGGCTAGACTGGTTGTCTTTTGTAAGTCAATATGGTTGTCTTTTTAAGCCTACTTTCTACCCATATCATAGTATTATATCACCATTTTCTTTCTTCTGCCACAAGTATGTTTGGTTGTCTGAATTCTAAATTTTATCAGTTTTAATGCCAGTAATTATTTTAATCACAATAAAGGCTGATTAGATAGACTTTTTCATCAATTGTCAAAACTGTTGCAAGTTTCAAATCTAATCTTGAAAACTCACAAATAATTTCATGCAGAAGCATTAGAAATGTGTTTCATTACCAAGTGAAATAGGTATAATGTCATTATAGGTTAACCATGTTTTGGCACTTTTCGTATACTTGTAGTTTTCATGCTAATGACAGAGTTGTTGTGAAAAAAAATTGTTTAATTCAGATTTTCTAATTCGGTATCTTAGCATCATAACATAATATCATCATAATATTATCGTAATTACAGCTTCTCCAACATTCCTGATCAGTCCAAGAGATCAAGTGGTCGCTAAAGGACGTACGGTGTCATTGCAGTGTGTTGCTCAAGGACATCCCCCACCCACTGTATTCTGGAGCAAGAAATCTCAGGAGGTTTGTATATAGATTTCAGTAATTTCATGATACTTAAATATAAGTCAGTTACGCAGATATATCACATTTTTATGGTGTTTTTTTTTTTATTCACAAAAATAGATACTTAGGTCTTTTAATCTGTGATCATATAATATACTATTGAAAGAAAACTTTCCATTTCTCTTAACACAAATTATAAGAGATTTTATTTCTAATGTATTAAGTAACAATTGCAGAACCTTATGTTTCCGAATCGAGATTCGGGTCATTATTCGGTAGCCGAGGATGGAACATTACGTATTGAGGCAGTAAATGAGACAGATGCCGGTGTTTATATATGTGAGGCTCTCAACATTAGAGGAGCTGCATATGCGTCTGCTAAAGTTGAAGTGAAAGGTCAGTCACTTTTATGCATTTGAAAAAAAAATCACAGAACATATTGACATACTCCTCTTTATAGCTTTGTTGTTCTCATGATTTTTGTTTTTTTATTATAACAATTTATGTTGATTAGGTCACGAACAATAATCTGTATATTCATGAGCTAACTGGGTCATTAATGTGTCAGAATTAACAGTTTCTTCAGGAGCAAAAACTCATTAATATCTCTCCTTTGTACCATATTGATAATTCAAACAATATGTTTGTAAAATACCAATTTGTATGGAAAGCATTGTATTCATTTACCATGTATTCTTACTAATTGATGCAAAAAAAAAAGATTTGCTTAATAATTCCAAAAACCAATTTACCTGAAATACTACCCACGTCTTTTTATTTATAACACTTTCTTTTATGTGAAGTATTATAGAGGTAATCAAATGAAAACTAATTAAATTGAAGTAGGTTTTTTTTTTCAAGCTATAATAACATTAATTCAATGAGCATGCCTTAAATATAAAGAGTATAACAATAGTTATAATGGATGCATCCTTGAAACAAGCCTGGAAGCTGTTACATTTCCAGGCTATTTGGCATGTGTGTGTGATAGTTTTTCCAGAATGAAGTTTTGACGTGATGTATTATACCGAAAAAAATATTTAGTAGAAGGAGGTACTTTTTGAAAAAAGGTTTCTAACTTCTTTTTTTTTCTTGGTAATTTTATTCTAATGCATTCTTAAGCCTCATTATTTAGACGGTGTTTTTTTTGCTGAAGATTTTTTTTTCTCTTCTGCCTACAGATGTTCCCATGTATTGTCTTTAAGACCGGAGAACAACTTCGGTTTCCGTTTATCATTTCTTCTCACTTCTCTTCAAGTACTATGATAATTATAATAACTGTGAAGTAGGCATTAGAAAGTAAAACAGTTAGATTGGTGGATGGCATTATTCATAAACATGTGAACATTTGATTCATATTGGTGTATAAGATAATTCTAGTTTTGTTATTGGCTGGTTACAGCAAAGGTTCTTGTATTCTAGAGAAAGATATAAATAAAGTTCTATAAAAACTTATCGTCACTTGAACACCTTTCTTTGTCTTCAACATGTTCTAGATGACAAACTGAAGTGTTACATTTATTACTTTTTCTTATTTTTAATTTTGAAATTGGTTTTTGTTGTTGATTTTTTTTTCTCTCCAAGCACTAGGGATGTATTGTTGTTTTTTTGTTGTTGTTTTAATTTTTAACATTAACAGAATTTTCTGTAACCTGTATTACCCCAACCCTCAAGTATTGCTTAAATTCCTCTTTCTTTGAAACTACAGTTGTATTAGAAAATTGTTTAAATAAATAAAAATTTCCTTCTTTTGTGAGAACACAATTACCATAAATAAATACAATATTAAATTATTTCATAAAGTCATATTGTAAGTCTGACATAAAAAAAAAAGTGTCCACATGAGCAAATTATAAAATGAAATCTGTAAAAATAATATATGAAAGAAAAAGAAGAAAAAAAGGTACTGGTATTATGATATGATTTTAATTGTTGTTGTACTTTTAAAAGATAACTGTGTTTTTCATTACTATTTTCTGAGCAAAACAAATTTTAGTATAATATAAAATTTTAACAGCTGTATCTGTATTAAATAAATTGTAAACAAAAAAAGTACTTACATCCTTACATTTTAACAGCTGTATATTAAACGCAGTTTATAAATATTTAAACAGCTGTATTTAATTTCAAACAAAGTAAAATACACTTTTAACAGCTGTATTGAAATAGATGTTACGCCTTTTCTTTTTTTTTATTTAATATGCTAATGAATCAAACAATAGATTTTGAAGAAGACTCTTTCTAAGAATTATTTTAATATATTAAATTCTTTACACCTGCTGGTTTATACAAACTTGGAAAGTTGAATTCTCAAATTTCCTTTTAAATTGATCTACATTCTTCTGGTACAATGGAAATAATTTGTGAGAGAATTGATTAAAGTGTATTGTTTTGAACAGCCATTGGAATTTATCCATGGTTTAAACTCAAATGTTAGTTATGAGTTTATACTGAAAATATAAAGTTTTGCAGCATAGAATATGAGAATAGGCATCCTCAAATACAATTGCAATATTTGTATTTTGTTGAACTGAACCTTATAATCAGTGATAATAATAATAATAATAATACTTGATTAAATGACTTAACTTTCATAATAAAATATTACATCAAAGGGAAGACAACATGGTAGAAACTTATGAAGAGATATTTTGTACCAATGAAAGTTTGCCATCATTTTTGAGTGAACAGAAGTGAAGCAAAATACTTCATTGTTTTAAATGAAGGTGATTTCGGTAAAAAAATAAATTTCTGTATTTTTTGTACAAATTGTTTTAGAAATTCGAAAAAACAAACACAAAATAATGCCTCACTGGATTTGTTTTGATATTGTGTATCTCTGAAGAGCCAAAATATAAAAAATGGCTGCTAAGATTTTGTACATGAACTTACTACATGATATGTAATTTTTGTGAGATAACAATACCATGTTAGTGGACAATTTTCCCACTTTTATTAGTAACTTGTCATTTATTGTATCAAATGTCCATACAGTCTTTGGTGTGATATTCAACTTTATTATGATGGGCGTGTGTTAAAGAAATGCCAAAAATGTAGAGGAGTTTTGGCAATGGCGGCCATACAATATAGCTCTACTTGTTAATTACATATCCTATCGTCTTTCAAAATAATTTTGTTTTGTTGCATCTTAAACACATTTTAATTACCCAGAGGCTCAGTTCCCATTAAAACGATTACCTATCTCTTAGAATGATTTACGTTATTTCCATAAAAAACTTCTCATAATGGTTTCAGCAGATGTTAAGTATGGTGTTTTTTCTGTGAAAATTAATGGTTTATTTTGATGAAGAACTTGCTTTTTCTTCTTAGAGGTAGAAATTAATTACCAAATTTCCTGATACACTTAAAGGATTGGAGGGGTAAATTTTAACAGCTTCAAACATTGTTACAAATTGTCATGAAATTCTTGGTGTTAGATATATCATATATATCTGATTTATAGAGTAAAATGGGGTGATTACAGTTACAAACTATAAAAAATTGTTCTTGTCAAGTTAATATAAATTTTAAGATATGAAGTAATGCCATATAGGAAGTAATTCCATTATTTGCATGCTTCAACAACCTCTTAGCAACCAATTAATGATTTATTAGTCCCCTACCGGTTTACCGGAGGGGACTTAAGGTTTACCCTCCGTCCGTCTGTCCGTCCGTCCGTCTGTCCGTCCGTCCGTCAGTCCGTCCGTCCACAAAATTGGATCCTGAGATAACGCAAAAAGTACTGAAAATATTTTAATGAAACTTGATATATGGATTGATGGCAGTATGGAGATTATGCACGTCTTTTTCTTTTCTTCCTATGTTGAAAATTCTGGTTGCTATGGCAACAAATAGACTGAAAATATGGCAAATTTTACACATAACCTGGATCCTGAGATAACGCAAAAAGTACTGAAAATATTTTAATGAAACTTGATATATGGATTGATGGCAGTATGGAGATTATGCACGTCTTTTTCTTTTCTTCCTATGTTGAAAATTCTGGTTGCTATGGCAACAAATAGACTGAAAATATGGCAAATTTTACACATATCCTGGATCCAGTGATAACACAAAAAGTACTGAAAATATGTTTATGAAACTTGACATATGGGTAGATGGCAGTATGGAAATTATGCACATCCTTTTCTTATCTTCCTATGTTGAAAATTCTGGTTGCTATGGCAACAAATAGACTGAATTTCAAGATTTCTGGTTCTAGTTTTTAAGTTTTTTCACTATAAGTTCTTTATTTCTTAAGGTATTTTCTTCAAACTTTAAATATAAGTTGCTTGTCATCAACCACATCATATGTGACAAGGTTTACAACTCTAGCGCAGAATTTTTCAGAATTACCTCCCTTGAACTTTAAATTTTCATGAAAAAAACATTGTTTTTTTTTTTAATAACTTCTTTTTCTGAATGTATCTACTTCAAACTTCATATAAATGTTTCTTATTATCACTCAACATTAAATTTTGTGAGTGTTCAATACTCTAGCAAGACTATTTCCAGAATTATGCCCCTTTTGAACTTAGACTTTTTTTTGAGAAATTGGTAATTTTTACTCCAACTTCTACAATCATGATAGGATTTTAAAAATGTTATATTTTGATAACAGGGATGTTTAAAAAATAACTTTAGAGTGTCTTTCAGTCCGTCTGTCTGTACATAAAAACTGTTTCCTGTGATCACTTTTAAAGAACTTTTTCAACAAATTTACTTAAAATAGGAACCTAAGTGAATGGCCCTTCAGAATGTTGCTTGGGCTCTTACCGGTAGGGGACTTATGGATTGCTTGCAATACAATGATAATTGCTTGTTTACTAACTGTCATCTTGCATTGTTCTGTTATTTACTAACATACTAACTGATGATCACATGACTTTCAGCAGAAAGTGCATTCATTCTTCCAGACCATGACACTCGTCCTCCACCAATTATAACCATCGGACCACAGAATCAGACATTACACGTAGACTCTGTGGCGGTGTTACAGTGTGAAGCTGATGGCGACCCGAAACCTATTATACGTTGGTATAAAAATGGCCGCCCTCTTCTCATGTCTGGTCCAAGATATGCTAAACGAGACTCTGGAACTTTGCAGATTTCAGGTCAGTTATTCAACTTAGAAGTTATTTCTTGTTATGGTACATTACATATAGATGCCTAAAGTATCAATGAATGCTCATTTATGTTGATTTAGAAATTAACACAAAAAGTTATGTATATTGATAATTATACTATTAGTACATTGATAATTATACTATCTTCACAAATGTGAAATTAAAAAAGTCTGAAAGTTTTTGTATTTTTTGAGTGTCTGATTATAGAGATTTGATAGCTTTTAGGGTTTAATTATATTGAGGTGTGATATATTTGATATTGGTTGGTATTTGATTATGAATGTAGACATTAGGTCAATAGGATATTATAATATATATTTACAGACTTGAAGATGCAGGACACTGGCTCGTATACATGTAAGGCCATCAGTGAGACAGGGGAGACCACTTGGCAAGCTTTCCTAACTGTAGCTAGTAAGTACAATGAGATTGAAATACATCATTTTACATGATATTGTATAATAACAAGATTACTTTCATTTATAATGTCTGACTACCAGGTTTACATCTAATTATATTTATGAATTATTTGTTTTAGGTAACTTTGGTCAGGAAACTGTGAAAGCTGCTGCCTTAAACTTGCTGCCTAACCCTCCAACTCAGCCAGTGGTCAGTGATGTAACTGATACCTCTGTTCACCTGTCCTGGTCACCTGGGATTCAGACTGGTCAAGCACAGGTGTTGTCATTCTATGTTGAATACTTCGCCTATGAAACTACAGATGTAAGTATCAAACAATTGTGCCAAATTTGATATACTGTTTCAATGTATATATTATTTCTCAATTATTGTTTCAAAAAAAGAAAGAAATTGTTTCAATGTATATATTGTTTCAATGTGTTATTAAATGGTTAATATCATTTTTTTGTATAGTTGATGTAAAGTGCTAGCTAAATGGTGAAAAACTAAGTTAAGATCAGTATTTGTTTTATTCTCGAAGATTATGTTTGTTTAAAAATTTAACCCAGACATGCATTTTTCCATCACTAGGGTTGGGTTGTAGCAAGCACTGATGTGAAGCGAGAGAGTTTTACTGTGGACAAACTGCGTCGTAATACAACATACATATTCCTGGTTAGAGCTGTGAACGAATACGGTGTCGGGTATCCTAGTCCGGTGTCGGAATCTGTCAGGTTACTAGGTAAATAAAATATTTCAATGCTTTATCCTTTCGTTATCCTTCATGTGAGTCATATACATTTTAAAATATTTTCGTATGATAATGTCTTTGTCAGTAATGTTGATGATAATTAATTTCTTGAAATTTTATATCTACAGAAAGTAATACTAATGTCAACAAATAATTTCTTTATTTGGTCTTTATTTCATATGTTGAATATACTATATAATGTTTCCAGGTTACAAACCAAAACAATTGAAGCCCCAGTTATCTAAGGAAGAAATCATTCGTCAACTAAGTGGAGATCTTGTTGAAATAGATTACACTCATTCTATAAACTCTTCAGCTATAAGTCTGAATTGGAGGGTATGTACATAATATCTCTTTTATCTTGTAATTAAAGTTGAAAACACAAATTTAAGACGTTTTTATTGTTTGAAACCGATGTTTTGACTCTCTAGAAATAATACTGTTTAACAAATGATTTCAACATTTAATTTTTACCAAAGATTAATGGCATTTACACAAACCTATACAAGAAGCTCATCAAAGATCTGAAATCATATTGTTGCATACATAATTATAATTTAATGACAACTGATTTCTACAGGTTTTACAAGCAGAAAACATTGTAGAAGGGTACCAGATTTTGTATCGTGAAATCTTGGATATTAGACGTCTGACATATGGAGAGAAGAAGACAATACGTGTTCCGTCTACGGTAACAACTTACATGTTAACAGGACTGGATAGTTACAGTTGGTACGAGATACGTGTCCTAGCTTATAATGGAAAGATTCAGTCACAGTACAGTCATCCTGTCAAAGTACAAACAGCAGAACAAAATTGTGAGTATACTTTGTTCACTTCAAGCATTCTTAATTATTTTGTTATACATAATTCACTACATTGTGCAGATTTACCTTACTGCTAGACTGGTGGTATTTTAAGTCACCTGTGTATAATAGCACTACAGATATTTGCAAGATATGTATTGTTACTTGCCCAAGCAGTGAAGAATATCAAACATGTACTCTTTTTAATTTTTCATTTATCATCATTTATTTTACAAAGTGACTTTATAATACTGATAAAGTTGTCTGGCAAGTTTCCTTCTTAAGTGATGAAGGACAATGAAAAGTGCACACTTGTATAGTAGTATTTCTTCAGGCATGAGTGAAAATTTGAATAAAACTCTGGGCAATAATGATAGACCTTCAGCACTTAGCTTATTAACCTTTTTTTTCAATGGAAAAAATTGATAATCCTAGGTGAGATTAGTTCACTTAACTGCTTTACTGTACACAAACAAAACATGAATGAAAAACTCACTTGATGGATATAATATTTGTTACATTATTTGCAGACGTACCTGGAGCCCCTCAGGATGTGACTGTACATAAAATATCAGACAACAGTGTGTCGGTACAGTGGGGACCACCTGATACAACTTTCAAAAAATATTTGATGACAGGATACAAGGTTTGTTTGTCTAGTATATTGACACACTAACATGAGATTTTGTCACAGTATGACACGTTACATAGAATTTATCTTATAGGAACTGAACTCTGGTGTCTAAATCTGCATTGTTCAACACACTTACAGTGCAGTGTAGAATTTATCTTAATGGAACTGAATTCTGGTGACTAAATCTGCATTGTTCAACACACTTACAGTGCAGTGAAGATACTTGGTTTTAAAATAATGATGCAGAATTTTATTTTATCAATCATAAATTTATTCTATCATATTTATCATATTAAAACATTCTTCCTTTAGTATATATCAAGCATATTTAGCATTAACTACAAAGATATTATGTAAATTAATATGTTAGTAGTCTTTATTTGTTTGTTATTTGTTAATATATAGCTTTTTAGCTGATTTTCTTGTGATTATAATTTCATTATTCTGTATATTTTAATCATTTGTAGAATTAATAAATAAACATGAACTAAATAAAAACATGAACTAAATAAACTTGAACTAAATAAACTTGAACTAAATAAACTTGAACTAAATAAACATGAACTAAATAAACTTGCTTTGTTTGTTTTAGGTATTCTGTGTTAGTGCCGACCAGAAGAAGAACTGTAGTATACAGACAGACGGACATACATTTAGTACAGTTATCAGTAAGCTTTCAGGAAATCAGGTTTTCACAATCAAGGTAGCTGCAGTTACAAGTAAAGGTGTTGGAGAATGGAGTTCTGCCTTTATTGTTGGTAAGTTTTGTTTAGTGCCATCATGTTAAAAACCTCATTGGGGTCCCTTTAAGTAGTAAAGTATAAAGTTTTGTCTGTTAAGTAGCTGAAGCTATGCTTTCCCTGCCCGTCCCCCTCCCCCACCCCATTCCCCTAACCATCAACTTTTAGGCCCCCCTCCCCCCACCTCATTCCCCTCACCATCAACTGAGGATAACAGAACAGTAGTATGCATTTTTACTTTTTGATTGATTTTACTGATACCCCAGTACATGATTGAATTCTAATTAATTGAATTCTAATAAATAATCAGTAATGGGACATGTATTATACAATATTAGACATGATTCATATTGATAGATGTATTGAATCATAACTTATGAATAATTCAAATTGGTCTTAAATCAGAAATCTGCAATTTACAAAATCCCTTTTATGGCCATTTTCAAAACACAATCTGCATATTTGGATTAAAAGATTCATAATTACATCTCTTAGATATTGTTTATGCACATAATGGGAAAATTATCAACGGCAGAAATTAACAAGAGTCGACTGTTGGTAACTCCAGGGATTTTCATGTTGTATGTCACCAGAACAACTGACTCTTGTAGGTTTTATTTCTTTAATGAGAGGATTAGTTTATGATATTTATTTGAAAATTTACATCTATTAAATCTATTGCACTTGACAATCAGTTTACATGCAAATCTCAAATATGAAAATTTCTGTCATCTTTTTCTTTTTACTTTTTTTTTTGTTTTGTTAAAGACGGAAACAACTTGGAAATTGCTTTTTTGTTCTTTGAATGTTCTTTGAATGTATAAAACTGAAAGTCATTTACAATTTTAAATCAAGTAGTGGATATATGGAACTTGTCAGAAATCTCACTTCATTTAGATCGACCAGATTTCATAACATTAATCAAAATATTTCAGATTTGTTTGATCTCTCTGTGAACAATTTAAGTCATAATAACTTTCTTAAACGTATATATAGAGAACTAATTTAATTGTTCAGAACAAGATTTTAAATTCAGACCAGAGTTTTACGGCTTAGTACATGTATATACATATAATGTCTTGTGTACATCATCAATCTACTCTACTTATATTTAATCTTGAAGGTTTCTGTCAGGCATAGACAAACATTTGTCTGTAGGAAGTACCTGAAGTCCTTGTGATATAACGGCTATAGTTAGGTTTTAAACTGTTTCACCATTAAAGTCATTAAATAAACCTTTAAATAAATAAGGTAGTCCATATCTACATAAAAGTTGTGAATGAAATTTAATTTTAAAAAGTTTGTTGAGAAAAGGTTATAAAAGAGAGCCATATTTCTTGCCTTCAAGTTCCCTTGTGCTGTTATTTGCATGAAAAACTCATGGCAGTTTATAGATTGGATTTTACTAGGACCGTCATTCTGATACATTTATATTGTTACTGAAATAACAACCTTTTACATGTTAAGACAAGAAACCACTGGAGAAATCAATCTTGTAAATCAGAAAATTGTATCATTTTATATACAGAGGGGGAAATTTGACATGTTAATATAGAAGTATCAAAGAAGAGTCAATTAAAGGAAATATAAGTATTTTTGTAGAAACTGTTTATTGCTTTCTTTAAGTGGTATTTGAACAGCATGAGACAGTCATAAGAAATGGTGAACTTTCTATTTTTACTAATTTTAAGTTTTTATTGAAAATGATATCAAACAGTAAAATGTGGTAATATGTAATATTCTGTACTAAAGTATTTCAATTAAGTATTTTAATCACTCTTCTTTGAGCTTTATATTGCTTGCCTAGCAAATTAAGTATTTAACCTTGACATAGAATAGATACTCCTAGATTACTGGGGGAAACATAATGTTGATTTATCATGTACTATTTTTGTAATATACAAAACAATCTTATCTGGAAATCATGGTGAGTTGTGCCATTAGATAACTTGTAAATGTCTGTTCCCCTGTCTTATGTAATATAAAACTTGTGTCTATTAAAGAATACTGCCTGGCTAGCAGAATCACAAAATATTGATCACACAGGGAAACTTGAAAATGACGAGCAAAGGAAAATTGTAATTTTTTTTAGCAGGCTTCAATAAATTGATCATGTAGAGTATAAGGTTTCATCACACAGTTATTCTGTCATATCATATACATGTACCAGTTATCATGAAAACACAAAATATTCTAAGAAAGAAAAAAGAGCAGACGCAAAACAATCATGAAAACAAAATATTCTACAAATCAAAAAGAAAATATCACAAAAGAAAATAATCATACTTGTTATAGATGGTTGTTTGTAAGTTCACTTGCAAAATATAAAATTTTGTTTCTGTTGAGAAGGATTTATTATATTTTAGATAATTACAACCATGTGATGTTGTGTAATTCTCCTGTTATTGTCTTCTATGTTAAAATTCATTGTAAAATTACTTAAGAGCAGCTCACCTCCAGATTTATGCAAATTTTCATGAAAATTTTTGAAAATGTATTTAAAATTAAAATATTGTGAAGAAACCAAAAGGAAGAAATTTACACATTACAAACAGCACTCGCAGTCCATGTAAATTACCAAAATGAGGTAGCTTTTACTATGTTAGTAATGTAGTAGAAATATGGTTATAAATACTAAAAAAGTCAATCATTAATTGCACATAACATGTAAATTATTACTAAGATATTGAATCTTTTTACTTTTCCTTAAATCTTGGTACATCAGATTGGATTTTATTGGACTATTTATCTTGGGACATTTTTCTCAGATTGGGTTTTATTGGAATATTTTGGTTCATCTGGAGGCATGCAGCTTTATAAACTGAACCTGGTCAAGCACTAATCAATAATGAAGCCTTTGCTAATGCTTATTTATTGATAGATAGTGATGTTTGAAATTAAAATATCCCTCTCAATGTGATATATTACACTTAAATTTTATCTTTTGAAACTGGCGAGAAGTGACATATTAACATTGAATTTCAATTAAAGTGTATTTCTCTTTTATTTGTTTTCATTTAAAAAATGAAATGAAACGATTTAAAATTTGAGTCCGGGTCGAAAAAAAAAAGATAACATTTAAAAAAATGAAGTTATTTTGTTCTCCAACGTTCGTCTGAATGCATCGGTATTTTTTTGTTTCAGCAAATGCATTTGTATCAGCGGCGTGCTAAAACCCCAGAAATAATGAAATAAATAACGCCATCAGTCCAACTGCATATCAAGTTAAGATTGGATTAAATGGATGCTCTTTGAAATTTTACAATAGACTGATTCATTTGTAATTCTATTGTTGTTAAGAGATTTGAACAATTGAAATAGATTGTTTTCATCTATTTTACAGGCGTAAAACTGAGCGGTACAAATACAGCTACATTAAATCATTTGTAATTTAAAGCTACAGCAACAGAAATCATTTATCTTTCATTGGTGCATTGCATTCAACAAGTCACTTTATTGTTAAATACGACAATAACGCGGAGAGATTTCCACGACAATTTATCTGAATTTTAAATGGCATGCTAATGAAACAAATGAAAAGAATAAATATGTTTAAAGTTGAATACATATTACCATTAGGGAATACTGTAACATTTTCTCTTGTGATATGACATGATAAATATTTTATTGTAAATGACTACTTCTCAACAAAGATTGAATAGCTATTCTAAAACACATGACACTTGATAAATAAAGTAGAATACTCTCCCATGTTAAGTCAATTTTTATGTTAACATAACATTCCTTCATGTTGTTTTGTATCATCTCCCCTCTTAGAAGATTTTAATCTTTGATGGATTACTCGGATATGCATTTTCAAATAAAATAAATTGAAATAATGGAAAATTGTCATCCAGGCTATCGCGTAACATTGGTGTAATTTGTTAGCACAATACCTGGTGCTTACGGGAATTGTCTAGAAAGCTCTTCAATGATTAAGATTTGACATAGATTAATGTAAAACGTGTTATTCTATGTTTTGCGTTGTGTTATATGGTTCTCGTGAGAGTAAAGATCTATTTCCTTTAATTCTCCTCAATTGTACAAGACCGCTTGTAAATAATGGGACAGTTCAGAATAGAATATTTGAACAGCACTAAATAAAGATGGGCATATTAGTTTTCTTCTTAATGTCATTTCATCTTATTTAAAAGCAATTTCATACATAATTGAACAGCAAATGAGATATGCAATGCATGTTATATGGGCATGCAACATTGAGTTTTATGACTATTAAAAGCCGTTGCCTGCATTAGGAAATAATGGAGACAGGTTTCAAGTGCCATTTATAGGAAACAGATTTCTGGCGACTTTTATTTGTCAATGATCTCGTACTACAGGGATAATGTTAGATTTTTGTCCTTTTGCCCATCCATCCTGTAGCTGTGTCCAGAGTCCCATCGTGGAATCTGCTTGACAAATACTTTCATATGAGGAAACTGCCTGATTAAGTTAATATCCACTAGATACCTAAAGTTTCAACCTTTTTTTAATGAAATTTGAAAAATGTAAACTATTTATCATTGCTAATAAAATACAATAATATAAGCAAAAAATATTTGTTATTTAGAAATTCTTTCAATTTTATGCACAAATCACTATTAGATGACCTCTGAGTGTCAATAAATTGTCTCTCTAAATTATAAATATTATGCTTTACCATATTGGGGAATTTATGGCTGAATTTGTTTTTAATGTTAAGTAAACAATCATTATATACAAATAAGTATACTTTGTAATTTTCAGATGGTAAAGGAGTACAGTCAGTAAAACTGGACGGGGACTCGCATGTTTATAGTACACCTAAATCTGTTACCGGGGAAGGTAGGTTATATAACTGTCAATGTATAAAAAAACATTAGTGTAGGAAACATAAGAAATTGATAATTGTGTTATAAGTCAATAATCTGTTACAGTAGTACCATTTCTTTTCTAAAATATATGTTATAAACAAAAATTTATTTTCTTTTATTATAATTATTGTCGTAACTTTCTTCCTTTATGAAATAAATCTCCATTGATTATTTTACTTAAAATTTTACAGAGATTTACTCGATAAAAAGTACATTTCATTTAACTTTTCACTTGATGATTTATTAATGTTTTAAAACATAATTATTTTATTTTAGAATCTGGAGAGGAAGACTTGTTTAAACGATCCTGGTTTGTCGGTTTGTTGATAGCAGTGGGTGGGGTAATGTTATGGTTACTATTATGTATATTCTCCGTATGGCTGTGTAAAAGAAAGAAGCATAGAAAAAAGATGAAAGACCAGAGATTCTATACAGGAGGTTAATTATTTTATAGTTTTAACTAACAGTAATTATAAGTATACTTTTCGATTCAATTCAGGTTTCTTGACACATTTCATAGTTAAAGTTGAATACCCGGAAGTATTGGAATGCTTGTAGAAATTTTAATTTTATAGAGAACAGTTATGTTCAGGCATTAAAAAAACAAGATCTTAGAATAAGCAAAGAAACCTTTGTTACTATTCTTGCAATTATTTTATTTATTTGTTAATTTTACTATGTCTAAATGCTTGCTTGAGTATAAAAACAAATCAGCATCATTTGTAAACAATGATTGTAATATATAAAATGTTTATTGTGTTGTTTTTGACAGTGCCTGTACATAAAGGTGAAGAAAGTAACAGGAACAATATGCTGTACCCACCACAATATGCAGTCAAAGATCAAAGAATACATTGTACAAATGGTAAGACAGGTTTTATTCCATTTACTTATATTGTATACCCTGTGACCTTTGTTTTAAATCGTGAAACAATTTTAACATAACTTTGATTATATTACTTGTACTTAACTAAAAACATCATACTCTGTTCTTGAGTAGAAGTTGTATAGTGTACACTAATTTATAGACTTGATATGATTTGTCTGTCACTGGTACCTCTTACAAATTATAACCATCTGATACATATTTGTTGAGATGTTTGATGTTTGTCCAAATGTCATTTCAAAGAATGAAATTGATACATTGAGTTGAATAACAATATTGTCCAATAAATCACAAGTTTTTGAGACTGTATATTAAGAAGTGTCTAAAATATTAATAAAATATAGACTGTATAAAAGTGTCTGTCAATACACAAAAGAACTTTATGCACATATTATGAAATGTTTGCATAACTGACAAGCAGACGACATTAGAAATGTAACTGTTATGTTATTTCAGATCTAGATTTACCACCAGAGTTAAGGGTACTTTTACCAGGTCAGAACAAAAAGGAACAGGAGGATGATTCTATATATAAGATGGCAGGAGATGGAAGTTTTCCTGAATTAAAAACTTTCTACCAGAGAGTTGACCCTGTTGCTCCATATGCTACTACAGCCCTTATACAACAACAGCATCTCATGAAACAAAGGGTAAGTTTCACCTGTATGCAGTTTTAAATTATATTGATGAATGCTGAGATGTATTATAGATGTTGAATATTGCTCCAGCCTATAATGAAACATAGACTATGACTTGTAAAAGAGTAAAAGTAATGATTCTGGTATATAGTTTTCTTGTCCCTTTTTAAATGCAGCAAACTATACTAGTTTTCTTTATGACCATTACAGATAATGATCTCAGTTTTACTGTAATCTGTGGCATTTTTGAAATAATTTTATTACAAGATTTATTTATTTGTTGATTTTTTTATCTGCTGAATTGAAGTATTCTTTTAATTTCTTTTACATATCCAGCATTTAATAACATACCCATATTTTCAACTTGTTGTATATGTGATTGATTATTTTATTTCAGCAACAAGGTATAGAGAATATGTTCCGTCCAATAAACCAGGGATATATCCAGCATAGTGAGGGATCAGCAGACAGTTGCCAGAAACCAGCTCTCAGCACAGATTCTAACCCAGATCATAGTCATAACAGTCACTCTACGACGGATCATAACCATAGCGACCATATGAGTCCAACTAGTGACAGTGGTAGTCATACAACAGGTTTGTCATTAATCTCTAACCTTTTTCACTGTTAAATGTGTGAAATGGACTTACCCTGTATTGCATGTGGAATCAGCCATTGATATTTAAAGGGATGAAGCAATAAGAAATGATCAAATTAACAGTAAAGATTCCGGTCAGGAATGTGCAGGCTGGTAAAGTTTTATAGTGGTTTTATTTGCTTAGATTATTTATGAAGTTTTGATAAAACACATTGCATTTTGTTTCAACAGAAAGAAAAAATTATAGAATCTAGTATTGTTAAAAAATGATAAAATTTGTTGAAAATAATGTTTTTGCATATTTTAAAGCCAACATGTGTAATTAAAAGGTTTCATTGTAAAGGACAGATTAGAGTTAACTTGATATTTAATGTTTCAGATGAAAATGGCCTACTTATAAAGCAGAAGAAGAGAAGTAACTCACGAAAAGATAACACAACCCCTAAACAAGCTATGAACATGAACTGGTCCGAAATGCTTCCTCCACCACCAGAACACCCTCCACCGAGTGAATGTGGTGACCCACCCTTGTATAGTGAAGTAAGGGGAGACAGTCGCAGTAACACACATAGTCCAATGTCTCCGGTCTCGTTTTCACAGCTGTCGGCTTGTTCTTGTCCGAATCCACATACACAGACGCCAGTTTCAGGCTGGAATATGCCTGTGTATTCAGATAACGAGTGTCCTCGTTGTTGCTCGGAGAAATATTATGATCCAATGACTTACTGCCAAGATGCATATATACGGAGGACACATTCACCAAGGATGCAAGTGTTACAACATGTAAATAATAGAAACATACCAAATACTGGGCATACATGTTCTCCTAGAGCAACACCAAGTGTTCAATACCAGTACTCTAAACCCCACAAGGGATATCACTCTAATTGTGCTACTCCACAAGGGGATAAAAACAAATCAAACATAAAAAGAGCTTCACATAGCTCGCATAGTGACAATGAAGCACCCAGTATTATGCCATGTTTACAGTCATATAAAATTACACCAAAAAGTGAAAAAGACTATAGATTTATGCATGAGGAGTGGGGTCCTGACCCTGCTCCCCCATGTCACTGTGAGCATGATTCCGGGATGGGGATGGAGGAAGATGGTATAAACATTGATCGAGCATGCCAGTCCTCCCTGCCAGCCATAGCTCCCAGTGATGCTGTCAGTAATTATAATTCAAGGTGAGTTCAACCCGAATGGTAGCAATATAAACATCCAAATCTAATGTTGTTGGACACAAATACCTATTTTCCCTATATATTTTGCTGTAAATTTTAAGTTTCATTTTCCAAAGAAAGTAACTTCATTCTCTTTACTTGTGATATAGTAGATTTTAAGTGAAAATTACTAACTTTCAGACCAAACATGTCTTCCAGCATGCAGGAGAGGTACCAGCGTAACTGTGATTCCCCGACATCTGAGGAGGCGGACTATGCTACCGAGTCTGACCTGGAACAAAGCCAAGAGCAAACCGCTAGTATGTCTTACACCTCATTTTGTTAACTTTATGTTATAAATTACGATAATTCCCAATTGTTTATTACATTTGAGATGATTTAAATTAGATATCTATAATAACTGACATATATAAAAAATTTAAAAAGTTTTAAAGTTTTATCACTTACTGTGAGACTAGCTGTACTTATTTATCATATCATATCTTATTATAGCTTACACAGGCAATACAGATCATAATACAGACTGCAGTAGTGTACAGTCTAGCACGTGTAGCTCGGGCGATGGTACATTCCTCACAGAGGAAGACTTTGCAAGTGCTGTAGCTCGTGCAGCAGAAATGTCTGGTCTTACAGTGATTGGAACAACAGTCTGTGATCCTTCCAACAAATCCAGTAAGTAACTGTACTATAATCATTTAATCTGTAAAATACTTATATTGTATGTTAGTATCTGTAATACTATATTCAATCTGTTAAACAATTGTATGTAAGTTTAACATATTTCCTTCATCTCAAAGAAAGCTTGAGGATCATTTGAAATTAATCTAGAGACCACTTTCTAGAACTTTCAACAATTTCTGGCTTTAGATTAAAGACAGGCACATGAAGACTATACCACGTCATCTAATGGATTTTTATGCCCCCTCTTATGGGGGGGGGGATATAGATTTTCCCTTGTCTATCTGTCACACTAATTGTTGACTTATAAAAGAGTTGAATTCGGGGCTGCCCTATTTCTATAATTTGTTACATTTCTGTTTTCAGAAAAAGAGCGACGTGCACGTAAACAAGCACGTCCTGTTAGTCCAGGATATTCAACTGACAGCAACTATGGGTCTATAGATATGGTTCGTAAACCGTATCCGAAATCTCAACGTAAACAGCAATTGATTGAGCAAGGTAAGCGAATATTGAAGTCAAACAAAAGGGAATTTTCAAAAAGCATCTTAGATTAATTTTGTCAATCATCATACGATTTTTGTTAATTCTTTGTTACAGACTGAATTTACTACTTTGGGCTTGCCTTTGAATTTGGAACAGTAACTGTTCATTACTTGTTCAAGGGAGTTAAGTATTGAAATACTAAAAATGTGTAGCCAATAGTATAGGGTATATACATGTAGGCTGGTGTGCTAGCATTAAAAGTGTTCAAGCCCCAGCATTTATATCATGAACTGTCTGATTCTATTATTATAACAAGTCTTTGCTGTGTGTCAATGTATTGTTGCTATGTAAGTTCAGTAGTCCAATGTCAATGTATTGTTGCTATGTAAGTTCAGTAGTCCAATGTCAATGTATTGTTGCTATGTAACTTTCAGTAGTCCAATGTCAATGTATTGTTGCTATGTAAGTTCAGTAGTCCAATGTCAATGTATTGTTGCTATGTAAGTTCAGTAGTCCAATGTCAATGTATTGTTGCTATGTAAGTTCAGAATGGACTACTTACTCAGTTCTACCATTATTGCAGGTAAAGGGAAATCAAATTTCCAGCCAGTAAGTGAATGTAATAGCAGGGTGAATAATAATGGAAGTAAGTAACAACTTTGTACAAAAGGTTTCATTTTGTTTGCAGTATTTGCTTATCTTTTGCTTGTGTGAGTTTGGGCGAGAATGTTCATTGCAGGGTGTTTGATTTCTGCAATCATTAAGAAGCCATTAGCCATGTAAAAGTAAGATAAGAACAGAATTTACAGCTTTAAACTTCTGAGACATGACAATAATCAGGATTGTAGGATATGGTAACTTCAGGGATACGAAAAATGAGTTTATGTAAAAATAGCAGTCATTAGCAGAAAGAGCATTTAAAAAAATCAAAATCAGATAAACTATATCACAGAAATGTGATGTAATTTTTTATGTTTGTGAATTTTAATTGTAAAATGAAAAATAGAATTTAATATTGCTGACTGCATTCACCTACATTTTTTTTTTTTTTTTTTTTTTTTTTTGAGTAGACTAATATTCTCTTGTTTTGTCTGTAATGTTTATGTTTGTTTTCATTTTAACAATTTCCTTGTTGTCATTTCTGATGCGTAAAAAATTAAGTCTCCTAAAATGTTTAAGTCTTAACTTTTCTGTGTTAGCTAAAATGTAGGTTGTTTAAAAAGCTGTAATCTCTTCTTTTAGACATATGAGCCGCGTCACGACAAAACCAACATAATGCGTTTGCGACCAGCATGGATCCACGCAGTCTGATCAGGATCCATGCTGTTCGCTATCAGTTTCTCTACTTGTAATAGGGTTTGTAAGCGAACAGCATGGATCCTGATCAGACTGCACGGATGCGCAGGCTGGTCTGGATCCATGCTGGTCGCAAACCCACTATGTTGGTTTTGTCGTGACGCAGCTCATACTTTTTGTTCAAAAAATAAAAGAATAAATTAAAGCTCAGTCTAGTTTCATTTCCCTTGACTCGATTTCTGTGCACAAAAGTGATTAACAATGCAAAACTTTAATTTTACTACCCAAAACGAATAGCTGTTTTATTATTGGAATAAATCTTATAATTCTGAATTATATAGGTTTTATTGTGAAACACATTGCAATGTTCCATTATCGTACAGTGTTTCGCAAAATGTTACAGTAATATAATATAAAATAGAGTGCTTTCTGGATTGATATCTACATAATAAATAGAAAATTTGAAAACTGCTATTATTTCATAACTTATGACTGTAAATATAGACAAAGTTTGTGGATTTATAAATCAAACAGAAAATCTATTACTAGAGTATTGAGTTTCTATTGTACAAATTATTGGTTAAATATGTTTATTAAGTTTATTATGACAGATATCATTCTTTGATTTATTTCACATTTATGCAAACTTGCATCTTTCTCAATTGTGAACTTTATTACAGTGATAGGATAAATATTCCTGAATTTTTAGTGTCATATTATGTCAATTCACATGTGCCTTGAAATCACTTTACACATTGAATAACCCATATTATATTGATATAATTATTACAAAATATTGAGTATGTTACATATTTGAAATATAGATTTTTAAGCACAGCTTTGGCTAGATAAGATTTGCTTACATATAGATTGCATTAATTATGCTGTTTGCTGCCTGATTCTTTACTTGCATTTATGCTTGCATAAGAATTCTTCCATCTTGGCATGGTACAAAAAGTAATGTCTTGCGAGTCTGTATGTTGACTGTTTATGGTGAAGGTTTATTAAGTTTAAGAATTTAATAACAATGGGTATACTCAACTATTGCAAAGGCAGTCTCTATTGACTGACCAAGTATGTTACAATCATTTGAAGTTATGAAAAAAGAGGTATATTGTTTTAATCGGCCTCTGTATCTTACATTATTCGTTTTGCTTTGTAGTCTATGACACACCATATGCAAGAACAGATTATCCCATGAATATTACCCATCCTGCTTTCCCTCTTCCTCCTACAAGATTTGCCTCCCTTGGTAGAAATCCAGTTCAAGATGGCAGCAATAGGATGTCTCCACTAGATGGCAGCAGGAGTGTTGATAGGGGAGGCTACTCTAGCTTTGTTTACCCCCAAAACATTATTGATATGCATTTAAAAGAAGATGTGAGTGGCAATGTGTAACACATTGAAACAAATTTTACTAACAATGTGACAATATACTTGATTGAAATTTATTTACTCAAATACTTGGCATAAAACATAGTAACTGAAATACTGCATAAATATTGCATTTTCTGATCACTGTGTAATTTGTGATGTTTTAGTTTTGCTAGTTAATCGCATGTTATATCAGGTCTCTCTTTGCTTTCAATCTATGGCGTTTCAATCTTAAATCTCTGCCTGCTGTGCTTTTATACTGCTTATCATCAATTTATGAACTATTTTTCTCAAAACATTACACAAAGAATTTTGTTTACGGCAATTACTTAATATGTAAATTTTAGCCTTTAGGACATACTAGTAATCAAAATTCTGAATTGAACAACAGCATTTCCAGTCATTTCTTAGTGTAGTGTTTTCATGAACTTAATTCATAAAAAATCACCTATCACATGATGAGCTCATTCACAATCTTCCACTGTCTTGAAATTTTTATCATTTGATACAATTCATGTATAGTTGATCTGAATGTATCATACCATTATAGATGTTTTTATCTTCTTCTATTTACAGATTGTTTAAAAGAGTGAGTCAAATAGGGCAGTGTGAAACAGGGACAAAAAAGATGAGTTCTGACTGTGGAGCACTTAGATGAAAGTAACACCATGCAATATTAATGCAAAAAAAAAAACTGTGTGAAGAACTAAACTTTACAAGTGCTATAAACTACAGTCAAGAAGAAAAGCATACATGGTGCCCAGCGTTTCTGATACTAATACTGTAAACAATGCACCATGATATTATCTCTTCAACTTTCTAAGAATGTTTTTCCGGAAAATGAAAAGAAACAATTGTGCAATTTAAAGAGCTTACAACTTGTTCATGAGCATTTGAACTAAGATCTACTGTTTAAAAAATGTTTTATACACTGATTTCTAGGACATGAAGGACAAACATTGTTATATGTGCTATAAATGTCTTCAATACAGAAATAGTTTCTTGATGTTCTAGCTTCTGTGTAACTTGCTGTACAGACATTTAGCAAGGAATTGTGACAATAAAAAAACAACAACAACAAACACTCCCTTTGATGAGATTTCAAGATATTTATACAATATGAATGTCTTGGTGTTTGTAGAAAATGGATGCATCCTATGTAGTTCTGAATAAGTTATAAACAATGTACATATATATAGTGATATATTTACTACATAAGTCTTGTAATGTGATTATAATATATAACATTGGAGGAGAAAATGTCAACTGCTGAAATCCACAAGTAAACAAGTATTTCATGCATAATATATTTTTATTGATATTTATTTATGAATTTATTTCAATTACTATGTATAAATGAATGTATGATTATATGTGAGCAGTAATATACATGTATACAGTTGCATGTTTGTGTTTGTTGGTGTAACATTCTGTATGTGTAGACAAAAATATGGATAGATTGAATTGTTGTATACAATGTGTACTTGTAAATGATAATTACCAAATACAAATAAATGTTTCATTGATGCCAGTATGGCACTGAATGGAAGAACGGTAAATGTTTGGTCTTTGGTGCAATTGAATACCAGTTGATGCCAATATGAAATACCAGTAAAGGTTTGGTTTTAGGGCAATATTGAATACCAATAAACCTTTGGTATTATACCAGTATGGAATACCTGTAAAAATTTGGTTTATGCTGGTATGAAATACCAGTAAATATTTGGGTTATGACAAAATCAAATACTAGCTATTACTAGAAATTGGAACACCAGTTTATGTTTGAATTATACTGGTAAGAAATACCAGTAAATGTTTGGTTTATACCAGTACGAAATACCATGATGACAATATTAAATACAAGTACTAGAAATTGGAATGCCAGTTCATGTTTGGTATTATGATAATATGGAACGCTAATAAATGTTTGAGATGTGAAACAGCATAAGTAACTGTATATTTTGTTCATGTTTGAATGCAAGTTTTGGATTGATTACATGTGTTTTGTGTGACTTTTCTAAGTCAGATTTATACAGTGCAATAGTATGTATATTTTGCAGAATACAGTTGTACAGATAATCTTATATAATATTATTAGGCTTGTAAATAATTTACTTTGTTATATACATGTTATATTAGGGATGAAAATTGTTTTTAAATAAACATCCTTAATAGTTGCTTGTGCTAAATTGAAATTAATTTTTTTTTATACAAAAGTCAAGATGCACTGCAAACAATGTTGGATATCAAATGTAAATGTAGAAAAATAGATACATGTACTTCAAACTTTGGATGGCGAAAATTTGCTGTTTTCTTTATATGGTTCCAAGAGAATCATTGCTGAATCTTAGAAAAGCTAATTTTTAAATTTATTAAATTTTCTACTGTTGTTACTTTGTGCTGAAGCATGTAAGAAGCCGAAATATTAAGTAAAATATTGTAAATAGATGCTGTTTCTATTGTATTATTTGAAAAAAAAAGTTCTAAACTAAAATTAAATAAAAACATGAATACATATGATAGTTTTTTTGTTTTTAATTTTTTTTTCACCTCATCAAATGACAAAGTGTAAGATAAGCGCAAGTATCGTGTACCTGATGACGTCACAGTGATTAGCCTGCTCTTATGCCTATGCAAGAGATGAAGAAGAAGAACTTTTATTTGTACTAAGAGCCCTTAGAAGAGCCATTGACAAAGCAGCAATATATATACAACAAGCATTTGATAGTATTGCGGGCAATACAGTAGTCCCCTACCGGTCCCTCAAAAAGTTCTTTAATTGTCATACACTCCTGTGTATTGCCATTTATAATGAATTTGAGGATGAAGTCTGGCCCCGTGTTCACAAAGATTTAAGGATCAGGATCAAGATCAGGATCAAATTTAAAAACCCTGATATTCTTCATTGTTTATCCTCATAGATAAATATCTGATACTAAATTTGATAGAACTGGACTTGAAATAGCAAGTAAATGAAATTTTAGAATAAATTATTTGTTAATTTTGCAAGATATGGGCATTTTACAGTTGATCCAAATATTGATCCTGATCCTAAAATTGATCCTTATTTTGATCCAAATATTTTTGTATTTGTTTTGTTATTTCTTGATTTTATCCCAAAATAGTTTGTTTTCTTTGCAAATCAGCATATTTTTACATTTTGAATATTTACAATTTAATTCAACAAAACACAAATAATTTTAGTAACATTAAACAATGAAAATAAAATCAGGATCACTTGATCCTGATCCTGATCTTTTCTTAGTGAACACGGGGCCTGTATTTGAAAATATCAACCACAAAACATAATAAAATAAGTTTGTCTATATCACAGTAATGTGTTAAGTTTCCATGCTTAGTAAGGAAATTATGTTTATACAACCTTGTCATATTATTACGATGTTGGATTTTAAAGTAAATCCTATAAGGAATGAAGAAGTTGGAGTGAAAATACCAGTTTCTCGAAAAAAATCTAAGTTAAAGGGGGACATAATTCTGGAAATAGTCTTGCTAGAGTATTTAACCTTCTCAAAAATGTCGAGTGATAATAAGAAACATATATATGAAGTTTGAAGTAGATACATTAGGAAATAAAGAAGTTATTTAAAAAAGACAACATTTTTTCCCCTAAAAAATCTAAGTTCAAGGGAGGTAATACTGATATTTTTTGTGTTAGAGTTATAAACCTTGTCACATATGATGTGGTTGATGACCAGAAACTTATATTTAAAGTTTGAAGTAAACACCTTAAGAAATAAAGAACATATAGTGAAAAAGCTGAAAAATTTAAATCAGAAATCTTGAAATTCAGGCTATTTGTTGCCATAGCAACCAGAATTTTCAACATAGGAAGAAAAGAAAAAGATGTGCATAATCTCCAGACTGCCATCTACCCATATTTCAAGTTTCATAAAAATATTTTCAGTACTTTTTGAGTTATCACTGGATCCAGTTTATGTGTTAAATTTGCCATATTTTCAGACTATTTGTTGCCATAGCAACCAGAATTTTCAACATAGGAAGAAAAAAAAAAGACGTGCATAATCTCCATACTGCCATCTATCCATATATCAAGTTTCATAAAAATATTTTCAGTACTTTTTGCATTATCGCGGGATCCAGTTTTGTGGACGGACGGACTGACGGACTGACAGACAGACAGACGGACAGACAGACGGACAGACAGACAGACGGACGGAGGGTAAACCTAAAGTCCCCTCCGGTTAAACCGGTAGGGGACTAAAAATCAGAAACATGCCTGCACTCAGATAGCACCTCAAAATGTATCACCATATAAGGTATTTGTTGTTGGCTTGGTTTGTTATACCAATTTTAACAGATTTTTGGTCATATCTCGAAGATCAGTCCACCTTCCCTTACCTGTTTTCCTGGATAACTAACCAGTAATAACCAATTTCTACACAAGGGACTGGGTACATAACCCACATGATGTCTAAATTAGCTGTGGGAACGAGTGACCACAGGATTTCAAACAAATCTGATGCTCCCTCTATTTAGTAAGGGGGTTGGGGGAACATATTGGGTGTGTTCTCTAGTCTAAATATTTCGACTGCAAGAACAACCGATTTTTCAGACTGATATTGCATAGATGTTGGTCTTTACCATCGTCTGTATAATAAAAAGCCTTGCTAATATTATCTCAATATCTTTATCTTGTTTTATCTACTTTTAAATCTTAATACAACATTAACTCCTGGTTTAAACTTTCTACATCATTTCATTACCAATAATAAAATTAAACAAAACAGCAGCTATACTGGTGCCTCATATTTCTGTGGTACCCATAATTCCAAGGTATTAGTCATAAACCGTCTCAAGTGCCTCCTGGACCTCATGCACCTGCCAGTTTTACTTGTACCTTTTTATTGTATCTTTATCGAAATGCTACATATACAACTGGGAAAACTTTTTTTTTTCAGATTAAGAACACAAAGTAAATTATTTCACCATTTTACTTATAGTTTTCATGCCTTTTAAAACAATTGTCTTTGTTAAACCATTGAGATATTGAGAAATCCCCACTTTCAGTTGGGGCTAGGTATAGATGTACTAAAAATAAAGATTACCATTGGGTTTGCTTTTGAAACTGTTATGCCTTGGGAATAGGAGATCACAAACTTTACTCATTAGGCAGCAGATAAGTGTTAATTGCCATGGTACGTACATAATTATTTACATGCAAATATTAAATGGAACAAGAGCCATGTTAACATGGCCATCCTCCGCCAATGTGTTTGCTCATTGGAATAATGTATATGAATAGAGCAGAATAATTCAATTTTAAGAGGTCTTTTGGTAATGAAAACTGATGGCTGAAATGATTACAGATTTGATACCTATGTGAATATTGATGGCTTAAGTGATTACAGATTTAAAACCTATGTGAATACAAATTCCCTTATTTTCAGATCTTAATGTCACATTGCGAGCCCCTTATTAGCTGACAAGAACTGAAGGTTCTGTCTATGGCTAATAGTATCAAAGGGGTGCTGTGGTGTCCGTCGTCATGCGTCAACAATCGTTTTCTTCTCTGAAACTGATGGGCAGATTTACTTCGAATTTGGTCTGTAGCATCCTTGTGACAGTCACACTTGAATTTGCTACTGTCATTTCAATTGGCCCCTTTTAGGGGGTCAACAGAGCTAAAAATAGAAAAAACCTTTAAACATTTTCTACTACAGAACTAATGGATGGATGATCACATACTTTGTCTGTAGCATTCTTGGGCAGTCTTTTATCAAGTTTGCTCATATTAATTTGATTGGCCCCTTTTAGGGGTCTCTAGGGCTAAAAAGAGAAATACCTTTAAATGTCTATTTCTACAGAACTAATGGATGGATGATCACCAAACTTTGTTTGTAGCATTCTTGGGTAGTCTTTTATCAAGTTTGGTCATATTTATTTGATTGGCCCTTTGAGGGGCCGCTAAAGCTAAAAATAGAAAAACCTTTTTAAAAATATCTTCTACTATAGAACTAATTGATGGATGATCACCAAACTTTGTCTGTAGCATTCTTTGGTACTCTTTTATCAAGTTTGCTCATATTCGATAAACAATAGGGTCCACTACTAGTTATGACCAATCAGTATGTGAAATATGAAGACTTTGTGACAAAAACTTTTTAAGATAATGAGCGGAAAAATCAAAAGGGGTCATCTACTAGTTATGACCAATCACTATGTGAATTATGAAGACTTTGTGATGAATAATTTTCAAGATAATCAGCGTAAACCATCCTGACATTTAAGGCCCCTGTGACATTGACCTAGTGACCCAAAAATCATTATGGGTCATCCACTAGTTATGACCAATCACTATGTGAAATATAAAGACTTTGTGATGAATAGTTTTCAAGATCATTAGCGGAAACCATGTCGACTACTGACAGACAGACTGACCGACATTAGCAAAACAATATACCCTCTCTTCTTTGAAAAAACTGATATGACACCTACTCAGAGAACTTTAAAGTTGATTCCAGTAAAAATTGACCTTTAAACAGTGTTTTGATATAACAATCTTACATGTTAAATATAAACACAAATCTGATATCCTTCAAAAGTCTGAAGACAAATAGATGAACCGATGGACATCATAAATTTTTGTATTTTGGTGGTTATAAGCAAATAAAAGGATGGGAGTGTTTCAATAAGCTTATAGCTTACAACACAATCAAACTAAAATAGATTAGTATAAACTGAACCTAAACTAAATAAAGAGAAAAAGTAGCCACAAAAGAGCTTCCTGAAGATTCCTACTGTTCAAAACGCCATCTATGTTTGTTTATATGAATATATAAAACATGTGTTGCAGCATATATAGAGTGCTGCAAAGATTTGCAAGAGAATATATAAAGCTAGTTAACGGTGCATTACACATTGTAACAAGGGCAACATTGTCACATAATATGCCAGTCAAAAAAGCTTTTGACAGAGATGTGGGCATTATAAATATGCATATAGGTGATATGCTCTGGGCAAAATCTGGATATTTTATCAGCTCTAGTGAGCTTAACCTAAATTACACATGTCACACTTGTAGTCATGATAGTTATCATTTGTGTTACAATTCATCAATATATGAGGACTAAATGGTCCCAGTACACATCTTCTGTTTTTATCCTCTATGTGACCTTGACTTTGGCAGCAGAGACCTGGATTTTGCGAGCAATGCTTAGCCTCACAATGGTGAACAAATTATATTAAAATTCCCCGATGAATGTAGACGTTTTGCTCCGAACAAGCATTTCTCTATGACCTCTTAAGTGTGACGTTAACCTTTAACCTAAACCTTGTTAATGCATGTGACACTGCTTCTCATAGTGAAAAAAACATTTCTATGAAGTTTCAACAGAATCCCGCCATGTATGTAGGAGATATGCTCCGGACAAAATCTGTATACTTCAACATCTTTAAGTGACCCTGACTGAAGTGACCTGAATTTTACAAGCAACACTGCCTTACAATGGTTAAAACCTTGACCTTTGACCTACATGTAGAGACCTGAATCATGCACACACAACAGCTATTATAGTGGTGAACATTTCTATGAAGTTTCATTAAAGTTCCTCCATGTGTGTAGGAGATATGCCCCGGACAAAATTTGATGTCTCCCAACCGCCAGGGGTGTTCCTATACCAGTTTTTCAAACAAGCATATAAAAATCCCAAAATAAAGTCTCCACACATTTACTAGGTAGATGATAGAAACCATGAATTTGATGGACATGCATTAATAATCTTGCGTTTTCTTTATTGGTTATTTCTATTTATTTTTTTTCTATTTAATTTCATTGTCACCGTTCATCAACTATTACTTGTTTTTTGGTGTGCTGATGAATGTACAGAAGTGTATTTTATACTTGCATTGCTGTGATTTTCAACACTTATGGTATCTATAGTATGTGTTCTTAATAATACAGATCTAAAGAAAAAGAAATTCAAAACCATCCAAAAATCATTTTTCTTGTTTTTCTAGTTTTATGCCGATTTTATATATTTCTGGTCATATCTCTGATTGAACCACCTAACCTACTTTTCTGGATAACTAACAAGTTATTACCAATTTCTCAGCCAGTGACCCCAGATGATGTTTTGAATCTACTTTGCCAGAAAAATTACCATTAGATTCAATGCCTGAGATCAACTGTCACATAGGAATTACACCTCAACATAGGAACGACCCAGCCACCCCTGAAATACTAATCTGATGCATCAGAGCATCAGTGATGCTCTCCCTATTTGTCCAAGCATGCGGACAACAAAAAACATCACAACAATAACCACAAATATTGTTTTCCATCATTTCATTTTAATATTTTTTTTTATTTTTTAAACTTTAGTAATATTCCATTTTAAAACTTTATGATAAAATTATTTTTGATATAAGAGATGGATATATATTTTTTTTGTCCGAATTGTTTCATTTAACTCTCATTTCAGTTGATCTATTTAGTAAATGTTACAAGGCAGTAAAAACACTTAACAACATTAAAAATTGCATCACTTTTTCAGTTGTTTCTTTTTTGTTGCAGAGAGTAATGTCTTTTTACATGTAGTAGCTCTCAGAGTTCTGCCAGAGCTTTTAGGTGTATTTACATCTTTCTTAATTGAACTAATCTTTTTGTTTTCTTTTTTCTCAGCTGGTCCTGGTGTTAACTTCAGTTTTTTACCTGTACCTAGAGGTTCAGGTGTGGCAGCTCCTCTAGCTTTCAATGTCGTCTCATTCAGCTTTCTTTTTGGTGACCTCTTTTCATCTGTCACCGGTATTCCCTTCAGTGACTTTGTTGAAGAATCTAATTTAGATGATTTTACTGAAGACGGAGGAGTCTTAAATGATATTTCATCATCACTGTTGTCTTCAGTTACAACATTCTTTTTCCCTTGAGGCGTGTCAGCTTCTTTTGGAATCAATGATTGTCTTTTGTCAGTTTTCTTGGTACTTTTACTTTCTTTTGGACTACTTGATATTAACTTATTTTCCAGATTTTCATTGTTAGTTGTATTCTGACCTTTTTGTTTATTTGCAGGTGTTTTAAGAACTTCTTTACACTCCTCTTCTGCATCATCATTTTTGTCATCATCGCTTTCCTCTTCATCCTCATCATCATCGCTTTCCTCTTCTTCATCACTTTCCTCTTCATCATCATCACTTTCATCTTTATCTGTAGGGTTTTTGGCAGCATTTTTTTCTCTCTCCTCTTTTTCTTCCATCTTCTTTTTGTCTTCCTCAGTTTTCTTAATTTTCCTGTCCTCTGCCTTCACTTTTAGACGTTCTTTAACTTCAACCAAATGCTGAAAGAAACAAGATATCTTATTTTATAAAGTCAAAAAATGTACTTATACATTTATCATATATTAGAAGGAAGCCATTCACTTTCAATTTCTATTATAACTTATGTTAAACTAGAATATATACATACGTGTACTTACACAGTAAGTATTTCACAAATTTGAAAAAGAAATACTTTTCTAATATCAACACTAGTCAAACCATTTCTTAGAATTGCAGATACTTTAAAAAGGGCTTTGATAGAACTTTTATAGAACTGCTTTAAAGAACATGTTCAACTTCAAGATACTTTCAAATATGTTTAAACAATAATGGTAAAATGCCAACCACTAGTAATCATCCTGTAGGTAAATTGACCGTTGAATCATTAAAGGCAGAAGTTTTTCCCAATTATTGATACTAACGAGACTGTTTCAAATACAATACCTTGAAAATTAAACTATCAAATACTAACGGTCCTATTCCTAAATCCTAAGATACTTTGATGTTTCAGTTTGGGTTTTTGAACCTAATAATACATGTTCCAGTAATAGTGATTATTTTGCTGTAAAGTCACTAAGCTTTTACACAAGTTAATAATGGTTATCAGTGTTTTTTTTCACCAAAATATTCGACAAAATTCGGCCCCATTACCCCCTCAAAATAGTATGTTTTTTCCCTCCTCAAAGCCGAAATTTCCCCCTATATGGAAGCCCGAATTTATCTGCAATAAATATCATTTTTTCCGAAAAATGTTTTATTTAATGCCTGTAAGAGTTACTGTTAAGCAAGGTTGTTTACAAATCGTTCTATGGTAGGGAAAGGGGAGCTACTCTTGGCGTCCCAACAAGTTTAACATACAACGCATCAAATTTTAGATCCGTATATTAAGGAAAAGAGACGTATTTTATAACTTGTGTTGCAAGAGTTGCTCCCCTTTCCACCGCAAAGAAAACAATATAAAATAAGTAAACAAATAAATTCCCCCTCCTATTGCATTTTCCCCCCTCCAAAGAGCACCGACCCCCTTCCCCCAAAAGTGAAAAAAAAACATTGGTTATTAATTTTTTTCAGTAAAGAAAAGGAATTTTTTTTTTAAAAAGTATGGTTTAGCAACCAAAATACATGTGCAAAACAGTTTATCCAGCATTACAGACTTGACTTTTATGTAAATGAATTACTGTTATATAAATGAATAAACAGTTTTAAATAAAACAAGAGCTGTCACAGGAGACAGCGAAGCTCGACTAATAAAATACTGGACGCAGTAAGAAGGACAAAACTATGAAAGAAAAATCAATTATGTATAATTATGTATTAAGTTATAGTAAAAAAATAATATTTGTTAACATAAAATCCAAGATCAAGGGGAATAATTCTAGTAATAGTCATGCTAGAGTTATGGACCTTGTCACACAATATTTGTGTAATGATAAGAAATATATATTTGAAGTTTGAAGTAGATACCTTAAAAAGAAAAGAAGTTATTATATTTCTTAAAGAAAATCCTAAGTTCAAAGAGAGATAAATCTGTAAATATTGCATGAAGAGTTATGAACAATGTCACATAAAATGTAATTGTTGATAAGGAATAAGTATTTGAAATTTGAGGTAGATACCTTTAAAAATAAAAAAGTTATAATAAAAAATAACATTTTTCTAGTAAAAAATCTAAGTTTATGGGGAGATAATTCTTGCAATATTGGTGCTAGAGTTATGAACCTTGTCACATAAGATGTGGATGATGATAACGTAAACATATTTGAAGTATGAAGTTGATCCCTTTAGAAATAAATAAATAACAGTAAAAAAAATATTTTTTATGGAAAATTCTAAGTTCAAAGGGAGATAAATCTGAAAATATTGGTGCTAGAGTTATGAACCTTGTCACATAAGATGGGGATGATGATAACGTAAATACATTTGAAGTATGAGGTTGATCCCTTACGAAATAAAGAAGAAACAGTAAGAAATAGTACTTTTTGAGGAAAATTCTAAGTTCAAGGGGAGATAAATCTGAAACTATTGGTGCTAGAGTTATGAACCTTGTCACATAAGATGGGGATGATGATAAGGTACATATATTTGAAGTATGAGGTTGATCCCTTAAGAAATAAGGAAGTAACAGTAAAAAATAGTATTTTTTAAGGAAAATTCTAAGTTCAAGGGGAGATAAATCTGAAAATATTGGTGCTAGAGTTATGAACCTTGTCACATATGATGTGGTTGATGATAAGGATCATATATTTGAAGTTTGAAGTTGATACCTTAAGAAATGACAAAGTTATAGTGAAAAATATTTTACTGCACCAAAACTTTAATCTAAAATCTGGACGCGGACGCCGGGGCGAGTAGGACAGCTCTCCATATACTTCGTATAGTCGAGCTAAAAATGAACTTACCGGATCTTCAAGCTTATACTTGATTCCTTGAGCAGCGAGTTTGGCTTCCAGTTTGGCTAATTTGCCAATCATTTTCTTTTGGCTCTTCTCTACAGCATCAGCAGTCTTCTGTTTATTATGTTTAACTATTGCACCAGAAATTTCCTCAGGCTTTATAAATGGCCTTTTACAATTTCTAAATGTCTTTGGATGTGGATTTAGCAAATGCTTACCTGTAAATAATTTTTCAAAATTATCACAAGAAAGGAAATTTTCTAATATAACATACATACAATAAGAGAAATAATCATTTTCATATCAGAGAATTTTTTCATATACAGGTAAATGTTTACCTGCAGATAAATTTTCAATAAATCTTTATCTTTACAAAGTAAATTTTCTAATGCAACATTCCTTTTTTTTGGTTGGGTTTTGCGAACAGTGTTTTTGTCATGCTGGCCTTTGTTCTCACTTTTTATGTGGCATAAACATAACAAGCAATTATCATAGTATTGCAAGCAATCCATAAGTTCCCTACCAGTTAGAACCCCAGCAACATTCTGATGGGCCATTGGCCATTCAATTTTACCAGTGAATGAATGACATGAATGAACTTAAATCTTTTGAGTTCTAAGTTTGTCTATATCACAGTAATGTGTTAAGTTTCCCTGCCTAGTAAGGAAATTATGTTTATACAACCTTGTCATATTATTACGATGTGGGATTTTAAAGTAAATCCTATAAGGCATGAAGACATTGGAGTGAAAAATACCAATTTCTCGAAAAAAATCTAAGTTTTAGGGGGACATAATTCTGGAAATAGTCTTGGTAAAGTATTTATCCTTCTCAAAAATGTTGAGTGATAATAAGAAACATATATATCAAGTTTGAAGTAGATACATTAGGAAATAAAGAAGTTATTTTAAAAAGACATTTTTTTCCATAAAAAATATAAGTTCAAGGGAGGTAATACTGATTATTTTTGTGCTAGAGTTGTAAACCTTGTCACATATGATGTGGTTGATGACCAGAAACTTATATTTAAAGTTTGAAATAAACACCTTATAAAATAAAGAACTTAAAATGAAAAAGCTGAAAAATTTAAATCAGAAATTTTGAAATTCAGGCTATTTGTTGCCATAGCAACCAGAATTTTCAACATAGGAAGAAAAGAAAAAGACGTGCATAATCTCCATACTGCCATCTATCCATATATCAAGTTTCATAAAAATATTTTCAGTACTTCTTGCGTTATCGCGGGATCCAGTTTTGTGGACGGACGGACGGACTGACGGACGGACGGAGGGTAAACCTAAAGTCCCCTCCGGTTAAACCAGTAGGGGACTAATAAATGTGATGTTATTAAGACATGTTAAGATTTGCAGGGTTTTGGGACAATAATCATTTCAAGTTCATTTGCAGGTATCTTTTACATCCCTTAATTGTTATACTCATACAATGGGACAATTATCATTTCAAGTTCATGTTGTATTAATTACCATAACGAACTAAATAAATACCTAACAATATAAATACACTTTTTTATCATTAACATATTCAATAAGTTTATGGAAGTGTTATTACAAAATAATAACGGTTACGAGTATTAATGTCTCTGTAAGTGTTTTCATACAGCATGTATATGTAAATATATTTTAAACATTGCACGAGTCTGATGATAATTGCCCTGAATTAATTGTACACATTAACAGAAAAAGAAGTCTCACATTTAATCAATTTTCCAAACATAAGATAGTTATTCATTGTTTCAGCGACAATCTTTGCCACATCATCATGGCCAAACTGTATGTAGGCAAAACCACGGGGATTTCCTGTCTGAAATATATATAAATGTCTTCTATTAATAAGTATTTGATATTAACATAGTTAGTATGTAAGTAATGTTCAATTTCATATTTACAATAGCTGTTTTACGGAACTCACAAAATAATGTTTTTTTTAGCATAACTCCAAGTACAAACAAACTAAACATTAAAGCTTCACAAATCACAATAGATTTGTCAACCTGTTGATCTTCAAATTTCAAAGCTGCTACTGAAAAGTTTGTTTGTGGGAAAACATCTTTAATTTCAGAGTAAGCTTTTGAAACAGGAAGAGAGGACCATGTTGACCAAATATAAGGTAACATGAGAGTAACTTACTCCCTACAATAATTTAATTAAAATGAACAATTAAACAAGATGCAATAAGCAAAACCAATTTCATTGAGATTTTCATTCATATGTAAGAGGACAGACATCAACTACTAACTTTACAAAATTTTGTATTTATAAACCTGTAGGCTGTTTCTTCCAAACCATTTCTAGTAACCCTAGATGCAAACAGACAAATAGGACTGAAAATGATCATAATAATGGGATTATAAAGCATACCTTTTTACTTCTGGACAACCGTAATTGCTTGATAGTACCAAATTGACGAAAGTATTCTCGTAGAGGCTTTTCTTCAAATCCCCATGGTAGATGTGATACATACACAACACCTGGCACAGACTGGCCAACAGTTACCTCCTTAAAAAGGTAAATTATAATTGATGTTACATCTAAACAAACACTATATTAAGGGTAATTAACTCACATATAAAATAAATTCTACAGACCTTGAGCAACAAACTAATAATGCCATTAAAAATCTGGCTTTGAATTACTTCATGAATTTTATTAATATAGTCAAAGCTGGTACAGAATTTTTTATATATTTTAAAATAGGCAATGGCTAGCCATACAGAAGGTGTCCATGTCTAACATTATCTGTTGTTAAATTACTACTATGACGTCATTCCTTTGTTCTGACCGTACTGTATTTTTAATACAGTACAGGTAGGTGTCCAATATTAATGTGTAAGTCCAATATTAATCGTGTAACACATTAATATTAGACAGCGTTCCGTGTCTTGAAAGAATCTTGTACGACCACAGGATTTTGTGTAAAATCCCCGCCCCCCCTCCCCAAAAAAAAAAAAAATAAATCAAAAACATAAAAACAAAACGATTAATTATTAAGTAAAATGTAACCTCTTATCTCAGAGGTTAACACGAGGCATGATGCAACGTCTTTTATTCGCCCATTACGCATTTTGCATAATTTTACGAAAAGAGCAATAATTGTTATCTTGCTCATTTAACGAATTATTATTCCAAGCCTACTGATTTTCGATTTTCAAGTTCTTTACATCTTATCACTGTTTACGCTTTCCAAGTGAAAGATTTTTATGGGATTGTTTAATTTCTTGTCTATTGTCAGTTTTTTCTTCTTCTTTTTTATTAAATATACGTTTACATGACAATCATACTTGATTTGCTTTTTGTATGTACATTATGTTTCAGTTAGGTCAACTTTTCAAGTAAGTATAATGGTCAGCTATTCAAATAAATACAATAGAGAAAATAAATACATCTATTTAAAACAAAAGCGGCTATATTTGACTGCGTATATATAGAAACGATTCCAGACTCCTGTGGTATGACATATACCAATTCAAAAATAAGAAAATATCATTTCGTTGCGTTAATATCCAAAATTCACACTAATGGCAATTCTTACACAACATTTTACATCCTTGATAGTTGTAGTAAAGTAAGAAAAATATCATTTTAACACTAAATTATCAGTATAAATTCTTCTTCAATCATTCAAAATATTCGAGATTCAACACAAATTTGAAAACATTTCATTTTTATTATTTCTTGTAAAATCCCCAATGTAAATTGATGTATACTGTATGTGTGTTAAGTTCAACATTTTGTGTAACTGGTATATTTTGTGTATATCATTGTGTTCATGTACATAATTGGTCATATTTCAAAACGCGAAAATTTCATGCTACGGACATTTTGTTATTCAAGAGGCTACCTAGGGTTTTGCAAGTAAGAAAAAGATAATTGCTAAAGCATTAATATTGTACATTTCTAGCACAAATTACATTATTTCTAAATTTCGATTGATAACATGATATTTGATAGTAAAAGTAGTAATTTAAGTAAGATATAAGCCTCAAACTGACCAATAAGTAAAATATTGAATTCCCTTCTGCGCTACGCGCCTCATGATATTCAATATTTTACATATTGGACAGTTTTTGGCTTTTATCTACTACTTATATACTGGAAATATTTCACAGCAATGATGACTAACAAGAGCCACCGCCGGGCGGGGGCAACGCTCGACTTTTTACTTTTTCTAAACGCAAACATAGAAAGGTTTGAACATATATTGATGTTTCCTTTTTATAAATTTAGTTGGTCTGTCTTGTCACATTAGTTTTGTTAATATATTTTGTATATATATGAATAGAAACATTAAGCATATTTCTAAAAAAAGCAACAGTACGCAATTTCTAAAAATAGCAACAATGACGCAATTTCTAAAAATAGCAACAATGACGCAATTTCTAAAATAGAAAAAATGACGCAATTCCTAAAAATAAAAAAAATGACGCAATTTCTAAAAATAGAAAAAAATGACGAAATTTCTAAAAATAGAAACAATGACGCAATTTCTAAAAATATAGAAAAAATGACGCAATTTCTAAAAATAGAAAAAAAAATGACGCAATTTCTAAAAATAGAAAAAAATGACGCAATTACCAAAAATAGCAACAATGACGCAATTTCTAAATATAGAAAAAATGACGCAATTTCTAAAAATAGAAAAACATGACGCAATTTCTAAAAATAGAAAAAATGACGCCATTTCTAAAAATAGCAACAATGACGCAATTTCTAAAAATAGAAAAAAATGACGCAAATTCTAAAAATAGCAACAATGACGCAATTTCTAAAAATTGAAAAAATGACGCAATTTTTAAAAATAGAAAAAATGACGCAATTTCTAAAAATAGAAAAAAAATGAAGCAATTTCTAAAAATAGAAAAAATGACGCAATTTCTAAAAATAGAAAAAAAATGACGCAATTTCTAAAAATAGAAAAAAATGACGCAATTTCTAAAAATAGAAAAACATGACGCAGTTTTTAAAAATATATAAAAAATGACGCAATTTCTAAAAATAGAAAAATATGACGCAATTTCTAAAAATAGAAAAAAAAAATGATGCAATTTCTAACAAGAGCCATGTCAACATGGCCATCCCCCGCCGAATGTGTTTGCTCATTGGAAGAATGTATATGTAGTAGAGCAGAATAATTCCATTTTAAGAGGTCTTTTGGTAATGAAAACTGATGGCAATAGTGATTTAAGATTTTAAACCTATGTGAATACTGATGGCTGAAAATAACAAAGGGCAATAACTGAAAAATAATGCAGGGTAGGTTATCATCCTTGTGTGCTGCATCCCTCCTCAGTAAAATCTATCCACCTATGAAGTTTCAAGTTGATACCTCAAATACTTTTTGAGAAAAAAATTGAATTGAAAAATTAAGTTTGAAAAATAACAAAGGGCAATAACTCAAAAATTATAGAAGGTACAGTTATCATTCTTGTGCAGTGCACACCTCCAGAGTGAGATCTATGCACCTGTGAAGTTTCATTTTGATATCTCAAAGGCTTTTTGAGTTATGCTCTGGACAAAAATTAATTTTGAAAAATAACAAAGGGCAATAACTCAAAAATAATGCAGGGCAGAGTTATCATTCTTTAGCACTGCACTCCTCCTCAATGAGATCCATCCACCTATGAAGTTTCAAGATGATACCTCAAATACTTTTTCAGATAAGCTCTGGACAAAATAGCATGAAAAAAACAACAAAGGGCAATAACTCAAAAAATTGTATAGGGAAGAGTTATCATTCTTGCGCACAACATTTCTCCTCAATAAGATCTATCCTTCTATGACATTTCATGTTGATATCTCAAACACTTTTTGAGTTATGCTCCACTCAGGTGAAAAATTAGGTATGAAAAATAACAAAGGGCAATAACTCAAAATTATGAAAGGAAGAGTTATCATTCTTGTGCACTGCACACCTCCTGAGTGAGATCTATGCACCTATGAAGTTTCATGTTAATATCTCATAGGCTATTGGAGTTATGCTCTGGACAAAAATCAATTTTGAAAAATAACAAAGGGCAATAACTCAAAAATCATGCAAGGTAGAGTTATCATTCTTGTGCACTGCACTCCTCCTCAATGAGGTCTATCCACCTATGAAGTTTCAAGTTGATAACTCAAATACTTTTAGAGATATGCTCCGGACAAAAATTTCGGACGGAAGGACGGACGGACAGAAGGACGGACGGACGGAGACTATTACTATATCCTCCGCCGAAAATTTTCGGCGGGGGATAAAAATAGAAAAAAATGACGCAAATTCTAAAAATAGCAACAATGACGCAATTTCTGAAAATAGAAAAAAATGACGCAATTTCTAAAAATAGAAAAACATGACGCAATTATATACATGTATATATATGTATATATATATATATATATATATACCTGCATATATGTATATATATACACACACACATTTATATATATATATATATATATATATATATAAATAAAACAAAAACACAGTCCATGAGTTAACTTATTTAATTATTTGCCAACCGGTTTCTCTTATGATCATCAGGGCATTTTATTTTTTGCCCTGATGATCATAAGAGAAACCGGTTGGCAAATAAATAAGTTTAACTCATGGACTGTGTTTTTTGTTTTATTTATATGTGACTTTTTTTCCGGCACTTGTTTTCATTTTTTGTATATATATATAATATATATATATATATATATATATATATATATATATATATATATATATATATATATATATATATATATATATATATATAATACATATACTATACATACACACACACCAATAAATGCACAATCTGAGAAAATTCAGTAATATAACCTTCAAGGTCAAGGTCATTAAAGAGCCCAAGCAAATTTGGGTTTGATAAACAACAAGGTCTGGTCCTTAAGAATGTTCTGTTATAATATGAAGTTTATCCCTTCAAAAATAGCAAAGTTACAGTCAGTTACTGCTAAAACAATGAAAATTTCAATAATTTGACCTTCAAAGGCAATGTCATTAATGAGTGAAGGTCAAGGTCTTTCGGTATATTTTTAACAGTTATCTTTGAAGATTATTATGTTCAAGTTTGAAGACAATCCATTCAAAAATAACAAAGTTACAGCCAATAATAGCCAAAAAAATGAAAATTTCAATAATTTGACCTTCAAAGTCAAGGTCATTGATGAGTGAATGTCAAGGTCTGACTGGTTATTTTTAAGGGATATCCTTGAAGATTATTATGTTCAAGTTTGAAGACAATCCATTCAAAAATAACAAAGTAACAGCCAATAACATCATGAACAAGCAAAAATTGGACTTTTAACCTTGAAGGTCAAGGTCATTTATGGATGAAGGTCAAGGTTAGTGTGGTCTACTGAAAGGTCTTGTCCCAAGGGTTGTTGTGGCCAAGTATGAAGACAATACACCAAGAAATAAAAAAGTTATGATCCAGGTACAAGTTTTCGGACGGCAACGGCAACGCCGACCTGACTATAACAATACCTCTACTTTTTTTTTTCAAAAAAAAAAAGTCGAGCTAAAAATGGTCTGGATAAAAGTCATGCTATGGGCTTTTATAAACAAGACACTGAACAGAACATGTTGTAAACTGAAATCATTTAAACAGGTATAAAAGTGAATGACTGACAAGTAGGGCTATCATTAATTATCGCAATATTGATATATCAACAATATTTATCATCCGATACAATATCAATACACTCTTTTAAATATGGATACAAGCTAAAATTATTAATTTCTGTTACTGTATATACCTCTCTACTTTGCCTTATAAGAGAAGTCACTTTTTTCCAGTTTTCTTGGCTAACTTAAACGTAAAACTCTGTTTTCAAATGTCAGTGACAAAAATAAAAGAAAAAAACAAACTCTGTTTCTGTCTCCCAATTTATAACACATAGTTACATGTTTTTCATTGTATCTACTGTCAAAGTCAATATATCGATATTTGTCTCTCTATACATCAATACAAAATTTTTCATCAATGACAGCCCTACAGACAAGTAATTTTAGGTAATTATGGATATTGGTGTAGTGTTGATATTTGTCAACCGATATCGATATATCCTTGATATGCCTTGCCTTGAATCAAGGACAGCACTAATTACTGTAATAATTAATGTAAAGTTCAAGCGAAAATACGAAGAGAAATAAACTGAAACAGTATTAACTCGATTCTTTGGACAAATAGATACATTTGTAATAATTCTTTTTATCTTAATTACTTTTAGCGGGCACTGAAAATTTCTTTCAATGATGCAGCACTGCTGTTTTTCAGCATTGCATATGCATGCTATCTAATCACAGACTTATTTAATCACAAAATTTACACCTGTTTATGAAAATTACTAATTAAAGGTGAATTAATTTCTGATACATCTATCCAATATCTGGCCAAATATCATTCGTAAAATTATTTAGAAAAAATATATATTAGGCCTAAAAAAAAAATTGATGTGTTTCTGGTGGCGAGGCGAAAAAAAGTGGGGTCGGTAGGTGGACTTTTTTTCTTTTTTAGTCAATCAACGATTGCAGATATGTCAGATACGGATTATATGGACTTTAAATTATATTCTATAGCATATAAAAGTACTTAAAACTGTTAGACTACCAAACCTAGTCTTCAATCTTATATTTTGAAATAAATTTTACCAGTGGCATGACTCGACTTTTGTTTTCATTTTTTTTATTCTTACCGAACAACTGGCTTCAATTTTAATATTATCACTCTTAACATGACCATGCACATCCGAAAAATGTTTTGAGCGGTTTTGCTTTGGTCTATTAATTTGATTTCCTGTTTTGCCAAACTATGATCGTATTTTTAAAGAAAATCGCCAGCAGTGACACTTCGGCTGCTTGTTGTGCCGCCATATTAGCCGGTGCGCGTTAATACGTAATTGGAACACGAATCGTATGTGCCTCACATCGTTGTCGACTCGCAATACTAAAACCCGTCTTCGGTACGGGCGCCATTTTTTTTTGTACATCGATAAAAAACTTTGGGTCGGCGCTAAAAAATAGAATCGGTCGGGCCACCGGAAACACAACAATTTTTTTTAGGCCTTATAACGGGGAAGTCAAAGGGCTTTGGCTTGCCCGGCTATAGACTACATATGTATATTTAAAAGGAAATCTAATAAGAAAACAATTAAAATAATATATAGAATTCTATACCTATCAATGAAATTTCAGTGTCAGTTTTAGATGGGCGCCGCCATTTTAAATGTAACTCAATGGTAATGGGCAGGGTATTCCTATTAAGGAACAAGTGCAACTTTTCGGATTAATAATAATCAGGTCTAGGATTTCATGATATTTATGGACTGTCAGTAAATTTATAGACAGTCTAGAAATTTAAAGACTTTTCAATCCATAAATTTACAGATATTCAATGTGAAATTTGCCGTTTTTAGTTTTACAATAAAATCCGCAGCAAAAACAAGTTGTTCTATTGATTGTTTATATTTACAAAGGTAAAGGGTGTGTTACATCTTTATATGATGATTTTGAAATTTTTGTTAAAAGTGAAAAACAGAAGTCACCAAATTGTTCTGAATCTTAACATACTGTTACATTTAATCATATAATATGTAACCTTATTTGTTTTAACCTGCGGTTTTAAATTTTAATGCAACTTCTACTATTTTCTTACTGAATGTCTGTTAATTTACAGATAAGAAAATCTGTAAAATTATGGATCGTCCAAAAATTTACAAACTATCCGTAAATATCATGAAATCCTAAATGTGATAATCGTCCAATTCCAAGTGAAGCAGAAGCGATGCATGAAATACTGAAGGACACCTTTATAATGGAAAAATGAACAATTTTTTTAACCCGACATCCCCGTTCATAGGCTTTACCTAATTTCATTTTACCCCGACTTAAAAGTTTTCAACTAAAACAGCATATTTTATAGCGAGCACGACGAGCTGGCCCGAAGGGCCTGCTCGCAAAGCGAGCTTTACGGTAACGAGAGTACCTGCTAAGTGATGGTTTTGAAAACTTTCGTCCAAAGTATCGAATTGGACACATCGCAACCTTTCGAATTTAAAGATAACGATAAAAACTGAGGAATTCTGACTGAAAACGGATGTCTAGACTGGTCACCCGCGCACGTCTATGGGAACCATAGTTGGACAGGGAACCAGAATAACGGAAGCTGTGTATAAAAAATAATAATTGAAGGCGCCATTTTGTTTGAAAAATCTGATAAATAAGAACAATTTTTTGTCGAATTTTGTTGTGAAAACTATCTAGAATGAAAGAAAATGGTCTAATTAAGAAAATGAATCCGAACACCAATATCTTTTATTCAGTCGTTAACGCTGTACAGACGTTTAAAGTATTGTTTACTTGACGTCACAATGTAGCGCCAAACAGCACGTGCAAAACAAACAAATCAAGTACGCTATTTTAATGTCGCAAACGTTTTAAGTTTTACATTTATTTCACTTTAGATAATCTTTATTTCGCTTGAAAAATTATAGAGTGAAACAAAATAAACAAAGTTTTATCAACGTTTTCAAAACTCGTTATTCATTTCTAGACAGGGGCGGAGCCATATTTAACACAGTACGTGTGACGTCACACGCACTCGTTACTGCATTTGAAATAAAATTGAGCGATTATTTCATACTATTTCACGTAAAAAGTGCATCGAGCTCGCTTTGAGGCTTTGCCTTTTTCATATTATTGAAAATCTATAAATCTCTAGACTATACATAAATTTAGGGATTAGGGTCCGACTCTAGAAGTGTCTGTGCTAGAGGGCTTGATGAAAGAGACCAATTACCAGGTTTATGATAATATGAAATTAGGCAAGGCCTATGAACGGGGAAGTCGTTAAAAATTCCTTTCATTCTTTCCGTTTTAAAGGTGTTATTCGGTATTACATGCACCGCTACCGTTTTCACTCGGCACACTCACAGACACTTGGGGTTTGGAGCTCAAAACGCCTTTAAAATCCAAATAAAATGCATATTTGTCAATCCCAGCACATGTACTGATCATATATATCAAAAAAACTTAATATAAGCCGTTTTGAAAAAAAATCATATTTCAACATCTATAATAATACACAAGATAAAAATGTTCGCCGGAAAAAATCCGCACCCCTACCGTCATAATCACCATGTATTTTAATCCATTTCCAATATTTTCACATAATCCTTTGGTCCATCGACACAGAAGATATAATTCTTCACGATGATGGTCAATTTTAAACTTCAACGGTAATATAAACAACGCAACAGCCGACATAAACATCAATATTCTCGCCGTTTTTTTCAACAACAAAAACTTTCGATAAATTCAATGGACCAGACGGCTATGAACGAAGCTATCCGATTATGTGGTTCCCAAACTTAAAAGCGCTGCGCATTTTGCACACGGCAAAGCTGGGGCCACATAATCGGATAGCTTCGTTCATAGCCGTCTGGTCCATTGAATTTATCGAAAGTTTTTGTCGTTGAAAAAAAAACGGCGAGAATATTGATGTTTATTTCGGCTGTTGCGTTGTTTATATTACCGTTGAAGTTTAAAATTGACCATCATCGTGAAGAATTATATCTTCTGTGTCGATGGACCAAAGGATTATGTGAAAATATTGGAAATGGATTAAAATACATGGTGATTATGACGGTAGGGGTGCGGATTTTTTCCGGCGAACATTTTTATCTTGTGTATTATTATAGATGTTGAAATATGATTTTTTTTTCAAAACGGCATATATTAAGATTTTTTGATATATATGATCAGTACATGTCCTGGGATTGACAAATATGCATTTTATTTGGATTTTAAAGGCGTTTTGAGCTCCAAACCCCAAGCGTCTGTGGGCACACTCGACGATTATCATTAATCCGAAAAGTTGAGATTTGTTCCGTTATCGGAATACCCCGCCCATTATCATTGAGTTACATTGTAAATGGCGGCGCCCGACTAGAACTGAAACTGAAAATTTCATTGATAGGTATAGAATTCTATATTTTTTAAAATTTTTTCTATTTGATTTTCTTTTACATATACACGTGTAGTCTTTAGCCGTGCAAGCCAAAGCCCGGACCCGCTTCGCGGGCCCGGTCTATGACTTCCCCGTATAAATATGCGCGAGTGCTGAAATAGTTCAGGATCAGTGACTTATTAGCTAGACATAATAAGTAAATTTTTTTGGCAAAATTCGTCGCGAAATATGATGATTTAACGGATAGAGTTTTATACAGGCAAATTATGACATTACTAAAAGAATATTTTACTTTAAAGATAAGTATACATACATCTTTTTGTATTCTTTGAACTGTTTGATTAAACTGTTTTTGCTTAGACGCATCCAATGCAATATTGGATGGTGCACCACGTTTTCTGGACTTAGCCATTTTCTTTAATTCTGACTGTACACGATTTACCAGTTATTATTCTAACGATAGCGAATAAGCGTTTAGGAGACTTTGATGAGTAATAGAAACCCAGTCTAGAATGTATTCGGAATACTTTGAACAATTAGGCAGACGCTACCATGGTTACCTAGGCAAAACGAAGATGGCGAAGTTTGTAATAGCTGGTAAACTTAGGATTTATTATTTTATTTTTTTCCGGTTTTCCAACTTATGTCATAATCAAATTATTGGACTAAGAGTGTGTTATTCCAATTGATTACACTTGTCAAAGAGACATCGGGATATTTTGTTTATTAGCCGATGTTTATTGGTCATTTAGCTTTGTCAATTTTCTGTCTGAAAGGCATGTGATAAAAATTTATCGTATAAGTAGATCTAACTTTAATCTCACACCCAACCTAAATGTATTCTCAAACCTTTCAACCATGAGCTGTTTTTTTTGTTTTTTTTTTTACTAGAAGGGACTATGATGTCATAAACTTGTGTGCATAAAAGCTTAGTTTCTGACAGACATGTCTGCTGCTGTAAAATGAAAACATTTCATAGGGAGTGACCGGACAGATTTTTTCATTTCATATATATGATTACTTACATGTTTCATAATTTCAAACAAATTGGTATTTTCAAAAGAGGTGTGTGCCTTTCTAACATGGAAATACAAAATGTAGAGCTGTTTTAATTGTTGAATTTCAGTCAATGTTTACAGAAATGTTACATATGTAAAGATTTTTTTTAAAGATTAATTTTTATTTATACTTAAAAAGCTCTTGAATGCTTAGAAGTTTAAGAACTGGTTTGTCCACAATACATATAGATATATTATCTACATCTACATCTACATCATACTGCTTAACAATCAATTATGATTATGACTAGCAGGCTAGATCTATTTCAAAACAATGGACTTTGTTTTGACATCTGTATTTTATGAAATACAAGGATTCCGGGTCAGCTCGGCCCTAAAACGTACTCGGCCCCCGGGTCAGCTCGGCCCTATACCAACTCGGCACGGGTCAACTCGGCCCACTTTTCAATTATTTATATTTAGGTTTGTGTAATCACTATTTTTTGTAATATTTGTAATTATGTATAATACACGGACTTAATTTTCAGCTTTTGACAATTACAAACAAATTAACTGAAATTGGTTAAAGACATTAAAGGGACTCTTATTGTCACAGGCTATTATTATTATCAATCAGTGTGTTCGTAAGGATACCGATTAATTAGGTGATAATTATGATTGACGCATTCATTTAAAATTGATTAGTGACCACCTGCAATTAATTAGAAGCTTAATTATGATATTAAGTAAACATGTTTTTGTTTGATATTTTTTTTAATATTACTACGTTAAATATATTTTTTTAAAGTGGGCCGAGTTGACCCGTGCCGAGTTGACCCGTGCCGAGTTGGTATAGGGCCGAGTTGACTCTTTTTCAATACTAGACCTATGCCTTATTCTCATTGATTTGTGATTTCCCATCAAGGGAAAAGCATAACTATAAGGTACATGTATACAGAGCAGTAAAGCTTATTACAAGATTTAGAAAAAATAAGAGACAGAAGTATATATATGTCATATTTCAAGGTTTTTTCATCATTCATTATTGTGACTTCAAGTCAATAATGTTAATTTTTTTTTTTAATTTTAGGTCATTCAGATTGTCCATATTTTGCACGAGCAGAATTATTGGGAGACAAACTTTCTATCAATTTGCCAGATTTTAAACTGCATAAGATTGTCAAAACACCAGCAGAATGGAAGGTATTTTTGTTTTGTTTTGTTTTCCTGTAAATCACTAGCTCCTATTTGGGGACATAAACAAAAACACTTTATTAGTCAAACCAGATGACTGCTTCCTAGGTTAAAGGGATACTCAGGCAAATATATGACAAAATATTAAATTTACCATATTTACTTAACTTACGCTGAAATGAAGTTTTTAAAAGTGATTATAGTCCCAGCATGTTTTTTTTCTGTATAAATACTTTATAATGTGAGTTTAAAACGTAAATAAGTCTACATATGTTGAACGAAATGACGACACAGACAGAACTAACGAGTAGTTTTAAAACAAGTCATTTGACAATTACAATCCCTAGAATTTAAAAAAAACAAATACTGTAAAATCATTATTATTCTTGGGGCACGAATTGGTTTTCGTGGGTAGATCAATTCACAAATTCAAGATCCAACGAAATTTTATCCCTTTATCAAATTACTTCTTGCCATGTCTCTATTCTATATATATTACAAACATGCATTGGCGCTTTTTCGCCGATTTTTGTGTAATTTTAATAATGCCCAGAGGCAAGGATTAAATTTATTGACAAGCGCTGTGTGATACATAAAGATATATACATACGGTAAGTAAAATGCACAGCGATAAAGTGTAAGATTACTTTGCATTAGGTTATTTATTTTATTTTACTTTTACAAGAAATTGAAAATCCACGAAGTTAAGAACCCACGAAAATGTCGGTTTTGATAAAACCATGAAATTTCATGCCCATGAATATAAGTGAATTCGCAGTATTGTGGTTATTGTAAGATTAAAACAAGCCTAAGTCGCTCATTATGACAGGTTCTTTTACGTTTTTATAGTTCACGGTGATAACTATGGTGAAATCTAAATGTTCCAACTTGACCCGCGTGGGTCATGTTAGGAAACCAACATTTTTTCCTTTATATGGAGAAAAATTTTGTTCCCTAGACTGCTTAGTGTATTCATTTCAATGACATTTATAGAATATTGGATAGAAATCTAAAATATGAAAATTTTGCCTGTGTCTCCCTTTATTTCTCACTTCCTACCAGTTAATTCTCACTGGTCAGCATGGATTTTGGATGCCAAAAATGAATCTCTATAGCACATCTAGAAGGATAAGTCAAACCCGCAACTCCCAGATAAAGTGTCCATTGCTCTACTCTGCCTCCTCAAATGGTTCCAATCAAATTATTTATTTGAAAATTTTAAACTACAAATATGCAATGTTTGCATGTCATATCAGATTATTTTGTTCTTATATAGACCATTTCGTTTATTAGACCATAATGGCACTAAGATTAAACATTTTTTTATCTGAATGACATGCTCTGCTCAACAAATCTTTTCTTGCCAGTCATCTTAAACCATGGGCTAAAATGTTTTGTAATCAAATTGTTAGCTATAATACATCGCAATTTACAAGCTTTACAGGTTAATGAAATGTGTATGAATGTGTTAATGTGTATGAAATATATGTTTAAATTAAAATTAAAAGGAAAAAAAAAATCAAGATATTGCTAACATTTTAAGTTTGTATGACTTATTTATATTCTTTTATTTTCAGTCCTGGCTTTCAGAGGTGTGCCAGCAGAGGGGCTGGAAACATGAGAAATCTCCTCTTGTCTGGCGTGAACTAATTGACCGTGGTGGTAAAGGAGTCCTCATTGGTGGTGCCAACGAGTTCCAGGAATATGCTCAGGGGTACTACGGTATTGAGTCACAACTTGTTAGTAGTGACATGACCAAAATTGCTGCAGAAAATGCAAAAATCAAAACTGAAATGGATAAAGAGGATGCTGAAATCCGAGCACAGAGTCAACCAGTTAATGTTTGTATCACAAATGCTTCATCACATGTATGTTATGCTCTGCTTAATTCACTTACAAGAGGAGATGTTCTAGGAAATGATGTTGAAATGAAAGTTCGCCTGTTTGACAATGGTGACAAGAAAGAATATTTGGAAGGTGTTAGAATGGAAACTGAAGATCTTGCTCATGGACTTTTGAGAGGTATTAAAGTTGAAACAAATATTACAGCAGCATTTAAAGACTGTAGCACAATAATTTTACTGGATGAAATTCTACAAGGAGACAAAAGTAAGGAAGAATGGATTAAAGAAAACTCAGAACATTTTGTTAACTATGCTAAAGTGATAGATAAAGTGGCTGACAAATCAGTTAAAGTGCTTATAGCAGGGCATGGTCCAAACAACTTCAATGCAACTATGATGATTAAAAATGCTCCAAATATTCCAAGACAGAACTTTGTAGCATTATCCAGACTGGTTGAAAACCAGGCAAAATCAATAATAGCCGAAAGACTGCATGTCAATACAGCTGGTGTTGTTGATTTGATCGTATGGGGAAATCCTAATGGGCAACATTACATTGATGTTTCAAAAAGTCGAGTTCATGGTTACGACGGTGCAATCATTGGTCCTGAATCATTCTCAGTTTCTGGACCAGAGATGGTCTTTGATCGCCAATGGTTGGAAACAGAGTATATTGAACTGGTTAAAACAAAACAGAACAAGGCAGAAGAGGCTATGGGTCATGCGGCTGTTTTGTCTCAAGCTTTTGCTATCAATTCTACCTTGATGCACTGGTGTAATGGTTCACCGTCAGGTCAGATGTTTTCACTGGGTGTATGTTCAAATGGCTGGTATGGAGTACCAAAGGGTCTCGTCTTCTCATATCCTGTCACATTTCACCCTAAAGGTTACTGGTGTGTTGTCCAGGACATTGACCTTTCAGAAGAGGTCAAAGGACGAATTCTTGAAACTATAAAGGTATGGCTTAGTACCTCTCTACTGAAGTCTTATCAATGTACATTTGTAATTAAATTCACTGAAAACATCATTTAAAGTATGACACATCCACATACATAGAATTTATCTTCAAGAATATTTTATATTTAAAGAATTGTATGAATAATCATAACCAGGGTGACTTATTGAAAGTCATTTGAATTATTGAATATTTTAGGCTGTCTGCAATTTAAACTTCTACAAGTTAATGCATGTGCACTGTTATTTAATGTGGTAACTTGTAATAGAGTGATACTTTGTTAATTAACACAATGACAAACATGTTTTCTGGTTCTATGATAACGATTTTTTTTGTCTGTAATAATGAATAAAGAAATGGCATAAATAGTCAAACACTTTATACCAGCTTAAATAAAATATTTAGCTCATCAGAATGAAGAGTTTTTAGGACAGTAGTATCTGGCATTCTTATTATGTTAGCAGTTGTTTTGCATATCCTACATTAATTACTACAATCATGCAGAAACAATTACTTCACACTTTGTTCAAATTGTGACATCCTGGCATAATTTTTCAGGTTATGGATCACTATCAAACTGAAAAGTCATTATTATCATGTCCTGATTCAAATTTATTTTTTAAAGTAATCTTGAGATAGGCAATCAAAGTTGACCTTGTAATTAAAAATTAAGACAACTTTTTCTCATGAAAGTATCATTTGATCTTGAATTGACATTGATCACTTAATATGACCTGTTTTTTTCTTCTTCTTTTTTTTTTCAAGTGTTTTTCGTGGGAAAAATTTTTTCTTTTTGGGTCATTTTAAGAGTCCAACCCAGAAAATTAAAATATTAAAAAATAAAGAAAAACCTTTTTAAAAAAATTGGGTTTTTTTTTGAAAAAAAATTGGAAATTTTTTCGCCACAATATCAATTTTTTTTGGTCCCCCTTTTCCCCAAAACCCTTTTTAAAAACATAGTCCCCAAAAAAAGGAATTTTTAAAAATAAAATTTTTTTAAAAACTTTTTTTTAAATGGGAAATACAAATTAAAAAAGGAAACCCTTAAAACAAAATAAAATTTAAAACAAAAAGATAAAATTTTTTTTCTTCCAAAAAAAAGGGGCAAATTTTTTAAAAAAAAATTTAAAAATTTTTTTTATTGACTCCCTTCCCGGGTTTTTTGGAAAAATCCCCAAAATTTTTGGGGGGTGAAAAAATTCCACCCCCAAAAAACCAAAAAAACCAGAGAAAAGGAAAACTAAAAAGCCTCCAACAAACAGACCCCTAAAATGGTGGGATTAAAAAGGGAAAAAAACTTTTCATTGTAATTTCCCCATAAAAAATTTTGGCCCCTAAAAAAAATTGAAAAAAAACCCTTAAGAAAATTTAAAAAACATTAAGAAAAATTAAAATTTTTGGTTTAAAAGAACCCCACAAAAGGGAAAATTAAAAAGGGTTTTTTAAAAATTTTAAATTTTTGGGGTTTTCAGGGTTTTGGGTTTTAAAAAAGGGTTTGTTTTTTCAATTATTGTGATTAAACTTTCCCTTTGGCCAAAAATTTTTTGTTTTTTTTTTTTGCCAAATTAAAAAATAAATTTAAAAATTTTAAAAATTTCATTTAAAAAAAATTTTCAAAAAAGGGAAAAATTAAGTTGGAATTTAAAAAACAAAGGTTTTTTTTTATGAAAGGACACTTTTTTAAAAATATTTCAAAAAGCTTTTCCCCCCCCAAAAAAAAAAAATTTCCCCCTTTTTAAAATGAACAAACACCCAAATTTCCTTTAAAAAAAAAATTAAATTTTTAAATGTTTTTGGGGGGGAAAATGACCCTTTAAAATAATTTGAATTTTCCCCTTTTTTGAAAATAAATCCCCCTTTTAAACCCCCCATATTTAAAAATAAAAAACTAGTCAGTTTTAAAGAATATTTTTGAACAATTTGGGTTTTTTTTTTAAAAAAAATAAAAAGTTTGGGGATTTTTTAACATGTAGTTTAATATTTTAAAAAAGTTCCCAATTTATTTAAAACATTTACTGGCCCCAAACCCCCAACCAAAATTTTAATAATATAAAAAGATTCATTCCAAAAACTGTTTTTTTATTTAATTTTTTAAAACTTAAATTTGGGGTTTAAAAAAAAATTTTTTTCAAATTCCCCTTTTGTTTCCCTTTAAAAAGGGTTTTAAGTTAAAACTTTTTTAAATTTCATAAATTTTTTTTCCCTTGAAAAATAATTTTCTATATCATTTTTTAAAAAAAAAAACTTTTTTTAAAGGGGGGGGCAAAAAATGGGGAGCAAAAAGTTAAAAAAATACCCTTGAAAGGGGAAGAAAGAAAAAAATCTTTAGGGAAAAAAAAATGGGGGAAAACCCACAAACCCACAAAATGAAGGTGAAAAAAAAATACAAACCCCGGGGCAAAAAAAAAACTGCTTTTTCGGGGGGGAGAAAAGGAGGGGGGAGGGGGGGAAAAAAACCTGGGGTGAAAAAAAAAAAATGAAAGGGGGAAAAAACCCGGGGGCCCCAAAAAAAAACTTTAGGGCGAGGCAGAAAAGGGAAAAGGAAAAGGAAAAAAAAGAGGAAAATTAGGGGGAAAAGGAAAAAAAAACAAAAGGGGAAAAACCCTTCCCCCCCAACCCGAAAAAAAAATTTTGAAACTTTTTTTTTTGAAGAAATGTTTAATTTTTTTTAAAAAGCTTTTAAAAAAATTCGTTTTTTAAACGTATTTTAAAAGGTTTTACCCCGAAGTCCCCCCGCCCTTGTTTTCCCCTAAAACCCAAAAAATAAAAAAAAATTGGGCATTTTTTTTGAAAATATTGGTTTTAAAAAGGGTTTCTAAAAAAACTGGGGGATTTTTCCCCCCAAAAAGCATTTATTTTATAAAAAAACCTTTTCTTCTTTCAACCTACTGAAAAAAAAAGCCCCTTGTTAAATTTTTTCCTTGTTTTTATTGAAAGGGGAAAAATTATTTAAACAAAATTTTTATTATTTTTTTTTTTGCAACCCCTTAGAAAAAGCGGGCCCAAATAAAAAATTTAAAAAATTTTAAAAAGGAAAAAAAAAAAAAAACTTTTTTTTTTTACCTTTTGGGTTTTTCTAAAGTAGTTTTTTTTGGGTATTTAAATTTGGGGGAAAACCCGTCCCAATTTTTTTCAAAAAAAATTTCCCAACCCTTTCCCCTGTTTTAAATTGGGGCAAAAATTTTTTATTTAGTTTCCCCCGAAAAACTCATCTATTTTTAACCCCAAAACCCTTTTTTAAAGGGAAAATTTCTTTTAAACTTTGGGAAAAATGAAAATTTTCCAAGGGCCCTTTTTTAAAAAATAAAAGATATTTTTAAACCTTTTGTGGGTTTTTGGAAAAATTTCCAAAAAGTACCCAATTTTTCCCAAAAAATACCCCCCTTTTTAAAAACCTTTAACCTTTTTAAAGGTTTTTTGGGGGTTTGATGTTTTTAAAAAAAAAAAATTTAAAAAATTAAAAACCCTTTAAAAAAAAAGGGGGCAAACCAAAGGAAAAAAAACAGAAATTTTAAAAAAAAAAGTAAAATGAAGAAGGATTTTTAAAAATGGGGGTTTTCCTTTTTTCAAAAAGTCTTTTAAAAACCCCCAAAAATTTTAAATTTAAATGCCCCCCAATTTTAGGGTTTACCCTTTTTTTAAAGGAAACCAAAAAAAAATTTAAAGCTATTTTATGGAAAAAAATTTATTTGGTAAAAGGGAAACCTTTAAAAATAATGTAAATTTTAGAAAAAATTTTTTTGCATTTTCCTTTTCCTTCCAAAATTTTGGGGGCCCAAAAGGTTTAATTTTATCCCCCCCATAGCCTTTTAAAAAAAAGAAAAACCTTTGGGTTTCCCCAAAAAAAAGGGCTTTAAAATTAAAAAAAAGAATTTTCCCCAACCTCCTTCCCGGGTCCCCCCCCAAAAAGAAGTGAGGAAAAAATTCAAAAAAAAAAAATAATTTTGGTCTAGTGGTTTCAGGGGTGATAATACGTTGCCAATAGAGACACAATTTCACACAATGTTCTGCCAAAATAAATTTTATGGCCTGCTTTTTGTTTAATAGATGGCTATGGTTGTTACATTGGTAAGAATGAAGATTTTTTTTTAAATGAGCTCCAAGGATTGAAGCTCCCTGTGCATTGTCATGTCAACAATGCAAAGTAGGCTTATTATTTCTTATCAGATTGTTCAAGATTTTGCACTATGCATGTATAAGTCTATTTAAAACTGTAAACCTGTTGGCAGTGCCATTTACTCTAACCCATGACTAAGAATTATTTCAGAGACCACTGAATGATTCCAGTATGACATTCAACAAACAATAATTACTGTCATTGTTCATTCATAGAAAAATTCCTTTATGTTGCACTTTATTTAACAATTCAAGGAAATGTTGATTTTAGGGGTGGTGGTCACCGTTTCAAATAATTTTTGTTTTGTTTCATGACAGTAAATTTTCCTTGATGCTATTTATTCACTAAGGGATAAATTTGGCTAAAATGTGGCCATAAAATATAACAACAGGGAAGAACAATGTGATATTTGCACAGCTTCCATTTTTACGAGAAGATCCGTCCATCCAGCACTGAATGTCCACTCTGTGTCGGGTCCATTACTTAATTCGTCTTTCACAGACAGATTTGATTGACATCAGAATTTGAAACTTTGTACACTTGTTCGCAATCATGCCCAAAACCTGTACACAGAAGGAGATAACTCAAGCATTTTGACAGGATTATGCCCCTATTGCGACTTACTAATTTACGTTAAAGTTTGTGTACCACCTCAGATAATTTCAAAGTCCATCAACATAATTATGGCTTTGGAGACTTTGCACACTTGATTATGTTTTTACATCACACCGACACAGTATAGGTCATTTGGCAGTGTTCCAACTTTACTGGTGGAGGTAGACCTCAAATGCCCTTCCGTGCATTATTTCAGGCACTAACGGGCACCTGAGTAGAACCACCGATGTTTCTTAAACTAGCTGGATAGCTTCCTCACATGAAAGAATCTGAAGTCCCTGTCGGGATTCGAACCCACAGCGTTGAGCAAGTGGTTTGAAGTCAACAACCTTTACCACTCGGCCATGGACGTCCCATTTGGACACTTGATCACCCATCATAATCTCAACCTGTGTACAGATGGAGGTCTCTTTTCCAATATTATGTCCCGCCATGCTGTCTCATTATTGTTTACATTTGTGCTGTTATTTTAAATTCTTCATACTAATGACAGAGTTACGACCCGAATAAGCATCATCCAGATGGACTGACATGCATACACTGAAGGTGTAAGATTCCTACAATACAATCATCCCTACAATATCACATAAAATGCTTAAGTTCAGCAATGATTTACCCATTAGTTCATGAGGTTTAAAAAGGTCCTTTATATCTATAGCTATAATGATCCTGAGAAAGGGACATTTAGTAGAACAATGCAAGTGGTCAAAAAAATATTACACATCAAGTAAATTCAACTAGTAATTTCAAAGAAAGCTATAGTTTGTGCAAGTTAACAGCCAAGTATCCCCTCCCATTCTTAAGTTACATTCTGTCCAGCTTAAACATAATTTTGAGACAGAAATGAAAGAAGAAATCAATATCTCCATTATCATGGCAGAACTAAAATAGAGAACATCAAACTGATTCAGAGTTTTAACGTTTTTTATTCTTTTTCTATTCATCATACAAAATGCATGGAATATCTTCAATTATAAAATAAATTGCATACTAGATAGTAAAATAGGTCAATATTTATCAAAATCAAAGTACAAAATGAATGTTAACCTGAACAGATATGGTATTGATATTAACTATCAAGAAAATGTTGATGGTAAAGTTTTCCCACAATAAAAATCTAACTTTGTGATATAAAACAATAACAAACATAATAAATCATGAAACAACAACTTTCATACAAAATATGCAAATAACCTAATTAAATAACTGTATTTAAACTTATATAAAATAAAATTATGACACATTCAATGACAATTATACAGAATCCAATTATTTGTTAATCAATAAAATCTATATCTGTACAAGTTTTGTATGTAATTAACAATTTTCTGCTCATTCACAAATAAAATTTAAACTTTGAAGAAAACTGTATCAAGATCTATTACTTCTTTTTCCCTTTATAATTTTAGTAAACGGATGTCTGTAAATCTTTTAATTACCCTCTAGTTAATATCAACTGAAAATCCTGATTTGTACCCATTTGTTTTGTACTATAATAAATAACAGTTATCAAACATAACAATTTTAGTGGATAATCTCAATTGTCAATTAATAAGGTTAGTTGAATATCAGCATCTATAAAAATTAAAATCAATTAACAAATTATTATAATTTCTATATAATCACATTGTGTTATTTTATTCAGATTTAAAAACAGTTATAATAAAGTTACAGGGACTGCATAAATATCAAGTATAAAGCTCCAAGGTTTTAAACATATGTGCCAAGGAAGCTTTTCAACATATCATAAATAAATATATATCACTAAAAAGTAAAGTATACTAAATTTAGCACTTCATGCATTTTTACTAGAAACCCTGTGAATATAGATACACAAAAAATGTACCATCACAAAAAGACAATTTAAATAAATCAGGTTTTTAAGTTCATTACAGATGTCTTTTTCACTATAAAATAAACCCGTAAAATTTGTCTCTGGTTAAGGTCAATTTTTGAAAATTGCTCTTTTTTTTCCAAATATTAAATGAAAGAAAATGAGTATGGCTCAGTTTTTAAACACTTGAATCTTACATTAATTTCATACTGTTTATCAAACTGAATTTCATTATACTTACAAATCAACTTTTTGATGTACATAAACAGTATTTAGGAATGCCACAATCATATGAGAATTAATTCAATTTATGAACAAGTACAAAATCTCAACAATGCATGGTTCAACATGGGTGTATACCTTTTTAACTAACATGTATATATTCTTTAACATTTCTTCAACATAAGAAAAGGAATCAATGACAATGCATCATTTATTAAATATATGTAGAGGATATTGAATGAGTGTAAGTTCAATACTGAATTTATGCAACATGTTCAATAAATTTAGGAATGAACCTACACAAATATAATATTCTATTTATCGCATACCCAAAATAAAGACTGCTTAAAGTGAAAAAGTAAAATATTTTCATTGACGCACCTATAGTGTAACACTGCATATCTTTACACTATAATTGTATAACGCAAATGATGTCAAATCAAAATATATGCACGGACGTGCAATACCGCTTTTAGTCGCAAAAGCGGCACAGGTATGTGATGAAAAAAGATTAAAAGACAAAACAATACATACATGTTTGTGTTTTAATATAAAAGTGTAGAGTTTCAATAAAGAATCTGAGATATTAACAATTTACTACAACACTTTCTTACTGTACTAACATAGCGATCAATTCAAACTTGAATTATGATTAAACTATACAAAATTTCATGTTACATTAGAACATTTTTTTGCTTGTTTAGCGTTTATTATCTTTTTATAGCAGGATTTTTACCTTTTATATTCTTTTTTTTTTGCTATTTTTTCATACATGAATTTCTTCTTTTTTTTGCTATTTTTTCATAGATAAATTTCATCAGTCACACGACGACTTATCCATAAGCAATCAAACATCAGAACAATAAAATTTCTTTTATCTATAACTAAGAAATGTGACAAACTCCATCTTGCCCTAAATTATAAAGAAAGATCCTTAAAATTTGCCATTTTTATGAATGAACTGAACACATATCAGTCTACAAAAAATAGTAAGATAAAAAATTATCATATTCCATCAAAAGCTGTTTAAAATATCATTTTAATTCAAATTGCTTAATAACTTAATTATTTTCAGCAAAAGTTAATTTATTTGTCAGTCATCTTCTTTATCAGCATAGCCTTCATGGTTTTGGCTAGGGCCTCTAACTCGATGATCTTCTTCCTTAAAGTCTCGTTCCTAGATTCTAGATCATTAGCTTCTTTGTCCATTTCAACAAACTTTTTCTTCCTGATCTGTCTAGATCGTCGAGACGCTTCGTTATTTTTGTCACGTCTCTCCCGATACTTATCGACCCCATTTGGTGCTGATGTCACCTTTGACCGAGTGGTCGATGTTTGCTTTGATGCTTTAGAAGTTGTGACTTCTTCTGCCAACTTTGGCTTCTTTGTTACATAGTCGTGATCAACAACAGTGCATTCCACGCCAAAGTTTTGATCTACAACTTCAATAACAAAGTCGTCATTTGACACCTCCTCATACTCCACACGCTTGCGTTTCCGAGGTGATGAAATGTTTGAGGAGACTACTTCTGGGCTTACTTCAAATACAATTGGTTCGGAGTTAAGATGGTCAATTATTCCAGAGAAGTCCTCAGGGATATTCTCCTTCACTTTACCATTGTTAACTCCAGAATCGATTGCAATGTTGGATCCTTTCAGGGAATTCTCCTGTAATATATATCAAAGAATTGTCTGAGTCTCAAAGCAAAACTGGAATCCAGTACTCATAAAATTAATAACAATCACTGAATCACAAACAGATATATCAATTATCATATGTCTGAGTAAATGTTCTTGTATTTAATATCTTGATATTTTTTCTCCACTTTCTGAAAAATTTAATTATTATCTATAAGTTTTAATAATAATAATAATAGTAATAAAGACTTACCGGCAGGAGAAAATTTGAAAGATCCACAAAGCTGTCCAGATAGTCTTCCTCGCTGAGGTCAAAGGGCATATCAGCAATAATGCCACCCAAGTCCTCATTGGGCTCAAAGCCCGGCATGCTGCCTATATCCATTTTGTTAATGTCCAGTACAGCAGGTTTCGAGGCTTCGCTGGCAAAAGTTGTATTGCCAGCTTTAACTGTAAACGAAACATAAAAAGAATGTTAAAAGCTGTATACTGGTGTAATGCTAGAATAATCTACCTTATATTTAAGAATAACTATGTTAGTTTAGTTTTTGTTTGTGTAAAAATTATTTTTTACAAAGGTGATCAAGAATTGAAAACTATACTTGTATATTCATTCACCTTTTTTTCCTTCTACAAGGCATTAAATTTATTTTCTCACTGATGCATGGGGTGCAAGCAGCAAGAAAATAGTACTCCCCAACTTTTCAACCAAGTGACCAGAATACTTCAATTCATTTCAGCTAACCACTAAGAAGTCAGGCATTAATTACCATCCATCACACCACAGGTAAAATATCACATCTCAAGTCTAATACATTTTAAAAAATTATTTTTGTATGATGCAATAAAAAATCAAAACTAAGGTACAAGTTCATAGTATTTTTTCCATTTTTAAAAATTTATTCCATTTTTATGTTTCTCCGAGTGAATCCAATCAACTTTTGTATAGCTAATACGGTTATGAGGAGAATATTCATGAACACTTGCAATACTAATGTCTATATTTAGATTCAAGAACTAGGTCAAATATGATGAAATAAGGTGCAATAGCATACATGTCTGTTTTACAAATCCAAAAATCAATAGTACTATCTGTACTTATAAAGTAGGTCAGATATAAAGTAGGTGAAAAATATTCTTAAACAAAACTATGGTTTGAAGCTTTCAAAATAATGATTTCAGACTGATCTAAACTAGGTCTGAATAAATCTGTTATAAAAATCAATACTCCAGCCATAATCGTAACAAGGTATTTAGACATTTTCTGTGTTTCATACAGCAATATGACACAATTACAAATTGTTTTTAGTTAAATCATGGTTTTAAAAAGAAAGATATTGATATAAATGATTATATATGTACATGTATTGGATAGATGGGAACCAGACAGACACACAATTTGATTCAAGACTTGATTAAAAATTTTGGTTTTCACTATTAAATTACATTTTTACAAGCAATTTATGATATAACTTCAAAATATTATTTAACAAATATTCACCTGTGTCAAACAGGCCACTCGTCTTCTGTACCGAACGTAGTGAATTCTTTGAACTGTTCGTTGGTGATTGTATGAATCTCATCAGCGAACAGTCCAGAAACCTTCCCTTCTCCCTCGATGTCCAAGTAGTCGACAAGTTCATCAAGGGTATTCGGAACAATCTCCCCAGCTTCCGAGTGGCACTGTCAAATTTAAACAAGATGTAATATTAGTTTAATGAGATTGACTGACAGACAACTTCAAAACGACCTAATATAGGGCTAAGGCATTTCATATGCACAATGTGTTCTATCATTAATCATACTGTATAGATATAGCTAGAAATATTCAAAAACAACTTTTCTACATGCCATAGATCACCTGTCAAAACACGTGGGCGTGTCAAATTTATTTTTTGAATAAAAAATTACCTGTATTTCCTGGTCACAATACATATCAACAAAGTCCTTAGGTAGCTCCGTCGTGGTAACGGTGGTAGTAATGTTGAGAGTATCAACAATCGTCGTACTAAGGCTGAATCCGCCTTCCAATATGGCTCCCTTTGTGAAAGTTTTTGCTCGGCTTTTTTGCCTTGCTTACTGGCCTTTGCCCGTTTGGCTGAAAACATAATTTGACCAAACTTACTTTCAACATCGAAAAGGAGTAATATATTAAATTGTTGGAATATATTCTAAATAGTTTGATTACGGAAAATAACTTGACAACTTTTTTTACCTGGTTTGAATGTCCGTTCCTTCTGTCTACATTCGTTCTAATGACTAAAATTTCACATTGCCGTATACTTATTGTGCAATAGTGTGTCTATAAATAGAGATAACGTAGTGTCATAGTACAAAAATAGGTACAGTGCTGTGCTTTAACCAATCAAACGTCCCCGATGTTACTTGAATTCTAAAAATAACTCGTCGGCAAGAACGTCACCTTTGACCAATGTAATTGTACAAGGTGCGTTATTAATTTGTTATTATAGATGGCGCTACGTGTTGCTGTTTACCAGATTGGTCTCCTGCATATGAATAATGAACTGCACCAGAACAGGGAACCAAGTTCACTCCACTAAATCCGTGAACATTTAGTGCTGGGTATCAGTGGGGCCTTACTCAGGACGGATGACCACTTAGCATATAGAAAAACAAGAACAACATAATGACCACCTTTATTTTTTTTATCAACAGTGATAACAATATAAATGAATATCTATAAAAGTAAATGTATTTTTAATTTTTGAGTAGTAGTTTATATCTTTTAAGTGGTAGTTAATACTTGCCTTGGTGTAATTGAGATATGTCGTGTGTAAATTCAAATCTCAATCTTTCAGCAGTGCACAATATTTTAACGAATTTGTTTCACATTGAAATATATATGTGAATTAGGTGAATGAGTTTCCTGTCAAGTTGTACTCTTCTGTGCTGTTGACTGTGTTTTTCTACTACCCTATCCTGGGACACAATGCTGTCCCAGCTCTATATCAAAATACCGTCCTATATTTCAAATTTTTTTAATATTTTAAGGTGAATAAAAAATTTTTTGGTTTTTCGGCTTTTCCCTATTGGGTTAAAATTTTTATTTTCGCCCTTTTATTTTTGACGGTGGGGACAAAAAAAAGGGGGTTTCACAAATAAAACCCGTGTTAATTTTTTGTATGCTTTTCCCAAAACCCTTTCATGAGGGTCACAAGTTTGGAAAAAATTTGGTTAAAATTAAATCATCTGCATATTCAACTTTTAAAAAAAAAAGGAAAAACTTTAATTACCCAAAATTATTTTTCCATTTAAATTGGTTTTTCACAAAATTTTGGTAAAAATTTGTTTTTTTTGGTAAATTTTTTTAATTTTTTTTAAGAAAAAAAATATGAAAAAATTTGGAATTTCCCCTTAAAAGTTTTTTTTTTGGTAACATTTTTAATTTTTTTTAGTTAACCCTTTCCCTCATGAGCATATTGTGAAAAAATGGCCGTTTTCATTGAAAAGCCTCCTGTTAGCAAGTTCAAACTACGATATAAACTAGAAAAATTAATGCTTCAAATACTAAAAACTTTGGCACAAAATGTTTGAGTTGGAGACCATTGCCTTTGTACAATTTCCGACCTGGACGAGGGGAATCTCAGTCTTAAATTTCCTGATTTTTTACCATGGCAACGAGGGGATTTTATACATCTCAAAACATGTTTGCCAAAAATCACTATTTTGCCTTGATTTTTTCCACTGCAAAAATTTAGGAAAAGAATTTAAGAAAAAAAAAATAAATTTAACATTTATTTTTCATATTAGATTAAATACGAAAAAAAAAATTCGTTAAAATACCAATTTTAAATTTATTTTTTAAAATTTAAATGTAAAAAATAAAAAAAAAAAGTTCTTCCCTTTTTTTGTTTTTGTAAAAAAAATTCCCTTTTTAATTTTCCCATTTTAAAAAAATCAACAATATAAAACAAGAGTCGTTAATGAAATGAGCACATAATTTTACTGCTGTTTACCTTTTAGCAAAATTTAAACAAACATGATGAAGAGGATATCATGACTGAGTTTCATGTTTTTCTCATGACAAACCTCAATGTACAATAATTACAGAATTACATGTGCCCCACTGTATCCCCAAATGTATACTTTGGAATATGTCAACTGCTATTAATTTTGATAGTTAAATTCTGAACCTACAAGAGCGTTAAATTTAAGATGTCAAGAATTTTGTAAGGCCTCATTTCAGTGAGACAAAATTTAAGCATTTTTTATCCTATAATATATCTTGAAAACAAGTTTTACATTAATGAATCCTCCAGCACAAACGTTAGTCACTTTTTTTATTGAATATTAAAATACTTTACAATGAAAAATGGAAGAAATGAAATATAAAAGCACATAGATGAATAAAACATGATGTCTCACAAAACTTCTATCAAATAAGTTAGAAATTAAAAACTAATTATTTGTCAACAAAATAAATCAAAAAGCAACAAAAACAAGCACTGTCAACCTTTTTAAGCAACAAAACAAACAAAACATATTAAAGAAATAAAAACAAGACATATATCACAAATTCATGTGTGTTAAAGATATCATAACTGTGCTAACCCATTTGTCTTATTAAACATACATTGATCCATAAGAAAAGAAGAATGTCTTTTCTGCAGTTATAATGTCCCATAGCTCCTGTCAAAGACAAACAGCCCAAAATTGAAAACGAAAAAGGGCTGACCATCAAAGGGCATTATATATCATTTTTTGTGATGATCCATACATTTATTCATTAAAAATAAACTGTTCTTGGTATTATGCCAGCTTTTTACTTCTTAATTCATTTTAAAGAGTTATACACGACTGAAGTCATTTCTTTACATCCAACACTGGCAGACATTTATTGAGCTCATTGCTAACATTCATTATCCTTTCCTTTAAGATGTCAACATTCCAAATTGCTTGTCCAATATTTTATTTACAAAATGCATCTAGAAATTCCCGGCTAGAACCCTGAAATTTTACTTCAGGTGACCATCAAACAGGCTTGTGAAATATATTTGAACAAATAGTCTGAGATATTCTTCCATTGCTTAATGAAAAGAAATGATCTTTCTGTTCTGTGAAAGAAATATGAGCAAACTTTATAGATGGCCATTCACAGAAATTGCATACCAAGTTTGGTGAAAATCTGTCCATGGCACCAGGAGACACAAGGATGTTACATACCAAGTAAACCAATTAGCAATTACTGACAGCTGTTTCCAGGACAGTTAACATATGATGCTTGATGCAAGAATAACTGTCGATTTAAAACACTTATTTGCAACCTTAAATTCAATTGGGTTAAAATTCATAGACATGTTTCTGCTTAAATCTGTAAAATATACAAACATCTTGAAAAATACTTTAATGATCATATTTAACAAACATCTTTCATCAAGAAAATAAATCTTTATAACAAGGGAAAAGTATATTGCAATGAAAAAATAAAATCCCAGTTTGAATTTCTTCAAACTACATGTAGATGGTTTAAAAAACATAACATCTTTACAAAATTGTAAATCATTAAAAATAAAGAAGCACATGTTCCAAGAACACTAGCACACAACATTTATCACAGCAAAATAATCTGTTAGCAATCTTATGTATATACAGTTTAATCATATTTATTTTAATGTGATTGTGAACAATGTAGCTTATATGAACTATTTTGAGTCTGCTTGCTGTAACTTAAATTGTATCTATCAACATTTCATATCAGAAAATAAAAGTATGATTAACAAACACAGACATATTTTTCCTCCTAATTTCATTAAAATCATAATTATTAAACAACGAATACAAGAATATTCTTTGAGGAGTCTGATTATTTTAAATGATATTGGTACATTTAATAAGTTTATGTTATTTTCGGATATAAATATAACCTCACACTAATTACTGGGAAAGCTTTTTAACAGTTTATAATTGACTTTTATGTTCCAAGACAGATCATGAAAGATTATTTTTATGACACGACTTAAATTGTTACAATCAAACAAAATAATCATTCTGACATGTATATTAGTCATTCATTTTTATCCCATAAATTGTACAATTTTTAATAATATTACAATGTCAAAATATGTGTTGTTAATATATTTCACTTGTTACATATAGAGCATCTTGTTATTGTTATATTACATAGGCAACAAGGAAAGTCATGTGTTAAAAACATCTGTGCATGACTATAATAAACAATTGTATACATAAGTCTTATCTAGTGTGTCAATATTGCTTGTACACCATTGTGTATACAGCTTCTCTACCCAGCCACCAGCAAAAAATGAAAATTATAACAACCCCTACAAAAAATTTGACAATGTCTCCTCAATTATTAGTATATGATAGTTTCCGTGCTATACCGCATTTATTTATAAAAGTTCACATGAACAAAAACAATAAAAAGAGTTTATATAAATGTGCACATCTGTGTGAATGTTTTAGACAAGTTTAGACAAGTTGACGACTCTCCTCCTCGTCATAATGTTGATTAACATGTCTGGTGAAATCATCGTCAGTCATGTTGTCCGGTTTCAGCATCATACACTGTGGGCACATCGTCCCCATGTGCGACACTTGGTGTTCCAACATTACTTGTTCATCAACATCAGCCGGGAATGTCTTGTTACAATCTGGACATAACTTCATTGAACTCCCTTCCGCATCATAAAACCTATGATAATTAAAAAAAGAAAAAACATTTAAACATACATGTGCAGTAAAAGTTAACTGTTTAAATATACATGTGCAGTACAAGTTAACTGTTTAAATATACATGTGCAGTAAAAGTTTACTGTTAAAACATACATGTGCAGTAAAAATTAACTATTTAAACATACATGTGCAGGTAAAGTAAACAGTTTACACATACATGTGCAGGTAAAGTTAATAGTTTAAACATACATGTGCAGGTAAAGTTAATAGTTTAAACATACATGTGCAGGTAAAGTTAATAGTTTAAACATACATGTTACAGTAAAAGTTAACTATTTAAACATACATGTGCAGGTGAATTTAGCAGTTTAAACATTCATGTGCAGGTAAAGTTAACTGTTTCAACATAAATGTGAAGTAAATGTTAAAAGTTTAAACATACATGTGCAGTAAAAGTTAACTGTTTTAACAATTATGTGCAGTAAAAGTTATAATTATATAAAACTTTTTATAATACTTTGATTCTCTTTTGACACCTTGGTAATTGTAAGGAAACACATATAGGGAGCAGATTTACCTGTCTTCTTTAATGTCTGGTCCAACAAGATCTAGACTGGCTGACAGCGGTGCACTTGGCACACCTGGTAGTTTAACTTTCAGGTCAGTCTCACAGCAAAATGCATCAGTAAACTTACCATCTATGTCTGTAAAATTAATCTCAAGTGATTATTTTGCACAAATATAACAAAGTTATGAGTAGGAACATAACCAACATATACAGGACAAATTGCTTCTCAGCTTTCAAAATCATACCGCTTGTGAAGATTTGTAATTTAAATAAAACCTATGGTATATTTACCAACAATTATATTCCAAGAAAATAATTTCAACATTCTAAGTTGTAGTTTTTGCTAAGTTTAAAATAAAATTCTTGAACATTTCATAGTTATCAGACCACCAGCAGTAAAACCATTAAGATTACCAGCCCCATTTATTGATCGGAAACCTTATTGCAATAATTTTTTTAACTATGGGTTCAGTTTAAAGTCACACAAACATTTTGTCACATTCCAGGTTCACTGTGACGAGGACATGTGTCCCTTCATACGTGATTTAAAGGATAAGAGGCCACCTAGGTAGAAACACTAACATTCCTGGTAAGTGTTCTTACATAAAAGAATTGTAAGTTTCTCAAACAATTTAAACCAACAGGAAATGAAAGTCAGGGATAAAAACCACTTGTCCATAGTTCAGTGTTAAATACCACTCATTATAATATATAATCCAACCAAGTACTGAACCTTGCAAATTACAATGGCATACAATCAAATATTACAATTCTACACAGTATACACTCAGATGCACTTATAACTCGACACTGACATTTTTCTGTATAAATTGGTTATTTGTGAACGGATTTTGCTCAAATTTGGACTTTACAAAATTCAACATATCATACTTGCAAATTGGAATTATATTTACAATTCATCGATAAGAAAATAGAAAAAATAGCAAAACAAGAAGGCTACTGTAAAATGAAAATGACAGAATGATTGTAAAAATCGTAACACAATGGACAGTCTCTGAATCCCATTAAATCTGTTTACCAGTTCTTACACTTTGTATGTCCTCCCAATTGGCTATAACAAAGTAAACACCTCTGCCTCACAGTTCTCTTTTCCTAAATAAGGGCTTGTTCGTGTTCCAGCAAATTGCGAGGAGCTTTTGGCCGCTTTCTCACACACCTGTTCAATTTAGCCGTCAAGTGTGATGTTTAGATCTGGTGACTTGGAATGCAGGAGTTGCTGGAACTCGAGAAAGCCCTTATTCAGAAATATTCCCCAAGCCTTCATGAGAAACTACGTCATAACCATGAGACAGGTGTTTTCACTTTGTTATAGCCATGGGATGACACAGAAAGTATTAGAACTGATTATACAGATTAAGAGACTTTTTATTGTGTTACGATATTTACAGTCATTTTGTGATTCTGCAAGCCATTTCATTTGGAAAACTTGTTCCGGTTAGGTGGTTTCCTGCTTACATCTGTTGGTGCATGATTGAACGGGAAACCAGCTGCAATCGTGCAAATCGCAACTTTTCGGCCTTTTCCGTCACTCTTTGGATTAATGATAATAGCCGATGTAGTTCAGATTGCAATCGTGACAATTCGGGCGATTCCGTCATACTGCGGAATCAGACAAAGTAATATTACGGAAATCTAAGCTATTTTAGTTACTTCGGTAATCCCAGTTTGTTTATATAAATAGGATTTCTATTTTTACTCGATTTATCGGTTTAAACCGTAATAAATTATAAACGAAATTGTTCCGTTTCAATTGTTTTTCAAGACGCAAAAGTTAGTTTCTTTTATAATTGTTTTTTTTTTGTCTGTATTAGTTTTATACAATAGAGAATGGTGACTGTAGTAGTATTCCGTCTTCAAAGGGTGGTCCTGCTTACCAAATCACGCATGATCGAGTTATATTTAGATCTAGTGAACGCAATTCAACTTGTTGGTGAGGTAATCTAAAAATAGCCCATGCATATCATTAACCTTGCCACGTGCTGATCTACAGATAGCGCATCGTATTTGTGATCGTGTAACATAGTTGATACATGCTTATTAATTGGTACCACGTAACGAAGTATTTTAGTGCATATACTTGTCTATAAAGCAAACGAATGATTTCTCTGCGAAAAAGGGGAAATGAAATGTGCACACTTGTTTCCCTTCAGTATGATAATAAATCTCCACGTTTTACGATTGATCATTTTCTTTATTAGTTTTATACAATAAAGAATAGATTTCAAATCGTTTGACAAAAAATATTCGTTTTTCAAAAAAAAAAAAAAAAAAAAAAAAACCCTTTATGATATACAAATACCGTAATTCAAAAAAATTGTGATAATAAATTGAAAAAAAAAAAAAAAAAAAACAATTTTAAAGGGTTGGGATGAAGGCACAACTGTGCAAGCCTTTCCTTTTAAAAGGAAACTTTATTCATTTTGCAGTAACATATTTGTCTTGTTATTTTCTCTATGTTCTTGTTCCAATGAATTGGAAATAAAATTCAAGGAAATAAGTATGATATGTTGAATTTTATATGTTAAAAAACTGAACAAAATCCGTTCACAAATAACCAAGTTAGTTATTAGTTATAAAGGTTTTTGACAAGTTTTTGACAAGTTTTATGGCTCTATATAAATGGTTATTTGGAAATATTATACAAGCCTTTATGTGAGGATTAGATTGCAGAACAACCATTTATATTATAAGTTATTTTGGTTTTGGAGTGATATATGTGGATATATTACCTGTCAAGATTTATATCACTTGAGCCGTTAGGCGAGGGTGATATTTTTTCTTGACAGGTAATATATCCACATATATCACTCCAAAACCAAATTAATAATTTTATTACCCTTCCCCTGCCGAGTTTAGACGATTTTAAAATGCCGAGTTTAGACAATTTTAAAATAAATCATTGCTACTTCAAATGAAATGTCGGAATAAAATTCCCTTTATGATACCCCTTCATCTCTACATGATGTCACATAAATAGATGATGTATTTTCTTTCGAACCTAACGAATGTAAACAAGAGAAAAGTAGTAGTCTGTTGAACGCATTTTTTTGGAATTAATATCAAGCTTTCACAAGGTCATATTTGTTTTCAATACTGATGAGAATATAATATATGATTACTCTATTTTGGTAAATATTTATCAGTTGACAGTTAAAAAGTGCTTGTAAATCGGAATTTACAACCGTATGCGCATCGATCAAACCGTATGCGCATCGCCACAGTGCATGTTTTTTAGAACGTGGGGTCCCAACGGGTAATTTAGAGTGTAATTACCCGTCTGGCTTGGTAATATCAATTTCTTTCGGGTGATCAATATCCAATCAAAAAGGCGGAAAAAATCTGGAAGGGTAATAAATGGCCATATAACCTGTCAGAAATATTAATTACACATTTATAATACAGCAAGAAAAAAGTGATATTTCCTCATAAATTGACAGCAGATGTGTATATAAATAATAACACAATTATCCAATGAAAAGCAATGTAACAAACATGCAGTATTATAATTAACCCTTAATCTGCTGGAATGTACTAGCCCTTGCCACCAGTATACAGCCAGACTAGACTGCATTCTGACAAGACTCTAAACAAATGGTAGCTTGATTTTGTATCATGATGATAATGAAATCCCTTAAGAGTATAAAGCTAATATCTTATGAAATATTTCTATAAAATTTATCAACAGTAAAAATTATAGTTTCCATAAACTTATGGGTTGATTCTCAAAATTGTTGCTACACAATGATTCTGGTATTTAACACACATGAATATTGTATGTAAACAGAATAAAATTTTCCAAAATAAAATATAATTCTGTTATTTTACCAAGGATTTTATCTGTTTAGCAATGATTTCTTGCATGCATCATTTGTTTTCAGGGCAATTTACTACTATATTTCTTTCATACAAGCATTATGTGACTTAGTATTCTTGAAACAATTATTTTTGCAGCAGATATATAGCTTTATACGATTTGAACTTCAAAATGGACTCTCTTCTGAATTCAAAGCTGGGCTACAACAGCATTCAATGTGAGACATAAAAATATACCATACCATCGAATGCTGCAGCTGACTTCACAGCAGCAAGTTTTGCTGACGGTAGACGTACAGGCTGTATTGGTGGGGGTAGAGGTTGTATTGGTGCCTCTAGTGTAACATCCTCCGAGTCTCTCCTACTTTCCAACACTGTCAAGTCTTCCACTAGAAACAATATGCAAGCATACTCAGCAATGTATATTCATGAACATGTCAGTTATTGTGTGATATAACATCAAATAATTAAAGTAACACTAGAAACAGAAACAACCTAGGTGCTGAACCAGATTTGCTTTGATTAAATTACCTGCTCATTGCTTGTTTAGGGGATTCTATTTTATAATCATATGTCTAGAAAAGAGCAACTGCCAGTAGGTTTAGAGTAGACCATTTAGTGTCTTTTTTGCTTATTAAGTCTAGCATTGTCAATTGAAAGTTTGTTTACTTGAAATTCCAGAAGGTTGGGTAAAATAAAGTAAGCAGTAGTAGACTAAAATCAATCATAATATGAAGTAATCTTATAACCAAGAGATAATACCTGTTTCATTTTTCTTCTGGTCTGTTTTCACAGGAACATTGGTCCTTGGTGGTACAGGGGGACACTGTAGTTGTTGTGGTCCATGTGCAGGATATTGTAGCGGGTATGGGCAGAACATTGGTGGCACTTGGCCAGACATCTGTGGTAGATATGCTGGTGGATGTGGGTACTGTATTGGTCCTTGATGTGCATGCATGTGAGACCAGTTTATGGTATCTTCATGGTATGGATATTTACCTTCTTGAGGGAGAAATCCTGGCCCTCTAGGTAACATACTTGCTCCAGTCTCATCCTGAAGATATACATATATGTCCGATAAACAATCACTATCTACAACCACTCATCAACTTTGATATCAAGCTAAAAAATGCAGCTTTAATTTGACAGACTAAATTTTCATTGGTCACTGAGAAAGAAGACATTTTTGACCTTGAGACATAAAATTTATTATTACTTTTTACCATTTTTTTCCCAAGTTATAGAAAATGAACACAGACTATTGCATTTGGCAATTCACAATATTGTCCAATTAATTTGTGATCAGCAATAGTTCATACATACATTAATATACAGATATAATTTCTAATCAGTGTTCTTACATTACAGCCTTGGTTATAACTCCTCAATTTGAAATTAAGCTCCTCTATGGTCTGTTCCTTTTCTGTAACACATTTCTGTAAGAAAATATTCTTCAATATAGATAATCTGAACATTTCAACATAATTCATATCATTTGCAATTAGTTTGATACATGATTTAAATTCAAGAGCCGTCAATAATGCAGCAAGCTCGACTATTCTCAATGCTTGACAGTTAGAAAAGGGGCATAACCCTGTTAAAAGGTAACTCAATGTTCTGGGACCTGTGCCCATCATGTTAATTTATCACAGAGAACAAGTGTGCAAAATTTCAAGCCATTCACTTCAGTAGTTTTTGGAATAACCAACTTGCATGCAAAAACTTAACCAACATGCGCTGGTGATGCCAACACCGGGTTGAGTACAATAGCTCTCCCTGTCCTTCGAATAGTAGAGCTAAAATTGATTAAGTAATTGTGTCAATCTAGTTTCTCTAAAATAATAATATTGAATAATCCAGCAAAGGCAAATAAAATTATGTTAACTCTGAGACTCTGAGTGACTATTCAAAGAAGACAAAATTCCTGACAAGAGACAATTCAAAGATGCCAGCAATCCTGACAAGAGAATGGGTGCCATTCAGGAATGCTTTGTATAGTTTTTCTCAGAGGTGAAGATAGAAATAAATTTTAGGTTCCTGAGGTGGGGAACATTAGCATATTTAAAAACTCACAGACTGAACCTTTTTGTATTGGTAAGGAATCTTTAACACCAAATTATTCATTTTGATAATGATAAAATGAAAAGCAAAGGCTAATTGAGTATCATGTTAGTACCAGTGAAACAACTGTAACTTTAGTACTTTGTATGTGGTACCCAAATGTTCAATTTTAATTTCATAAATGGTATTAAGACATATTAAAGGTATAAAAGATACTATGACTCAATTTTTTTTTTTGGTTTTATATCCTAAATATAATGTTCAAATGAAGATTTATCAATATTGTAAGTTCCAAAAGCATTATTTGTAAAGATATTACCGAATTTACATTTCATGTTAATAAAGGGAGGTAATTAGAAATTTATTTTTTTTAAAGTCTAATTCAAATTTTTCAATAAGAAATGAATGCAAATATATATTTTAATGATTATATATAATGTGGACAAATATTTGCAGTACATTTTTACTTATTCTTCGATGTTTAAAAATTGTTTTAGAAGCATAATTAATTTCATTTAAGTGTGGTAACAACAAATTAATAAATCAGACTTGTGAAAAATGTACTAAGATTTTTAGGAAAAGTAGAAAGATTCAAGTAATAATTTACATGCTATGAGCAATTAATGATGATTTTTATTCATTATGTGTAACTATATTTCTACTGCGTTACTAACGCAGCAAGGGCATTTTTTGCATATTTTGACCTCTTTTTGTAATAAATGTGGGTTTTAAGTGCTATTGATAATGTGTAAATTGCTTCCTTTTGGTTACTTTACAATATTATACTTTTAATTTCAATTTCAAAATTTTCATGAAAATAAGCATAAATCTGGAGGCGTGCTACTTTAAGCAATTACCTGCAAAGCTCTGATTTTCAAGTCTGATTCATCTGTAGGTTCTCTCAGTCTTTTCTTCAAGCTAGCTATTTCTGCATCTTTCTCCTTGGCCTCTTTCAGCCTTGCCTCTTGAAGTTCCTTGTACAGCTGTTTGTACTTGTTTTTCTTTAAGACCTTCTTGTCAAGAGTTTCTTCTAGATTTTCAATTTCTCTAAGAAGATCTTGTGGCACATCAACCTCTGTTTCTGCTTCTGATACTAAAAATGTACAAGCATGAATAGATATCAGTTGTTATTGCTATTCTTACTAAAAGTTGGATATAATTTTTGTAGCTTAACTGCTGTGGCAAATATCAATTAATAATTTGTAATTGTTTGTTTTTGCCGTTAAACTGTCATAGTGAATATCACCTATTTTGAATTTCTGAATTTGTGAATATCTGTATTAATTTATGAATATCTGTCTTCTAAAACGCTGCACATATTAAAATAATTTCTAGTAACGGTTTACTTTAACAAGTATTCATTCCATCCCTTATATTAGTATCAAAAATTACAACAAAGTACCGGTAGCTGTGATATAGAAGAAGTTGTAATGCAGAGACTCATAGCATGTACAATTCTAACTATTTCAAAATAATGAATAAGACTCATACCTGGTGCAGATCTTTGCATTACATTTGTCTCTATCACTGGTTCAGCAACATTTACTTTTTCATGTTGTCCATACTTCAACTTCCCTGCAACAATTTTAAATAAATTAATCTCTCCTTAAAAAAATAAACTACATTTGTACAATTGCATAAAAAACTAGAGGATGCTTTTGTAAAAAAGCGCATGTCTCCCCCACTGCTGAGAATAACTGTGAATGGAAACAGGAATGGAAATGGAGAAATTGACCAACGGTCACTGTGACCTTGACCTTTGACCTACTGACCCCAAAAACAATAGGGATCATCTGCTCTATAAGACCAATCATCCTATGAAGTTTGAGGGCTGTAGGTCAAAAGGAACTCTAGTTATCAACCGGAAACGAGAAATTGACCAACGGTCACTGTGACCTTGACCTTTGAACTACTGACCCCAAAAACAATAGGGATCATCTGCTCAATAAGACCAATCATCCTATGAAGTTTGAGGTCTGTAGGTCTAAAGGAACTCTAGTTATGATCCGGAAACGAGAAATTGACCAACGGTCAGTGTGACCTTGACCTTTGACCTACTGACCCCAAAAACAATAGGGATCATCAGCTCTATAAGACCAATCATCCTATGAAGTTTGAGGGCTGTAGGTCAAAAGGAACTCTAGTTATCATCCGGAAACGAGAAATTGACCAACGGTCACTGTGACCTTGACCTTTGACCTACTGACCCCAAAAACAATAGGGATCATCAGCTCTATAAGACCAATCATCCTATGAAGTTTGAGAGCTGTAGGTCAAAAGGAACTCTAGTTATCGTCCGGAAACGAAGAATGGACGGACGGACTGACGGACTGACGGACGGACTGGGCAAAAACAATATGTCTCCCCCCGAGGTGGGGGAGACATAATAACACTGGCATCAAGGTACTTCAGTTACATGTACTTCCGTTTAATTTTTTAGAAGTTGCTAACTCAGTATAATCTAACAGGATCACTCAGGTCATGATTATTCTCTTTTAAGCTTTATGGATTTAACTCACGACAGTGTTGGAGCAGTACCTTCAGACGGTGAGACCCTAGCAGAAATCATGATCACAAAGAAGAAAAATATCACTTTTTTTCGCTGATTACATTTTAATTCATAATCGTATATAAATTGGTGTGTAGAGATGAATTAGACGTCTAAAAGTAGATTTTGGCGGGTGAAAAAGCGAGATTTTAGCATTTTATCATTGAAACCCTTTGTGCGGTATATACCGAAATACAGTATTTCAAGTGGTGCTTCAACTATGTTTTTAGTCTCACTTACGCCCCACAGATCAGATCAGTGTCTACTGAGTAATGTCTACAGACCTTGTATTCACATGTGGATGACATCTCCAGTTCAGTGTGACAACTATTTGATTGAGAATGTCCTAAGCTGATAATCATGCGTCACTAAATCATATGGAAAATTCAAGACTTATGAGAATACACTTACATAGAATCTCTGAACTCCTGACACTGAAATACTAAAATCTGGCACAGAGCTTCTACAAACCTATGTTTTTCAGACACCTTGTCCAGATTGGCTAAGACAAACCTATGTTTTCCAGAAACCTTGTCCAAACTGGCCAGTTGGTTTCTCATTATAATATTTTTAAAATAATGTAACTCAAAAGCAACAGTGTTTTAAGTTGAATTCTGTATTATTCAAAAATTTCTTGAACATAGCTACAAAAGAAATATTTCTGTTCAAAAACAAGTGTTCTGTGCAAATCAACACCACACAGTTACACAAAGGACTGACCTTGACCTTTGACTCCATAACCTTCAATAATTAAGTTTGGCGGGTAGACTTTCATGAAAAGGTAAAGGTTAAAGTATTGTGGCAAACAAACATACAGACCAAAACAATATGCCCTTGGTATCTAGCCTCGTTGTACCATCTCTCGAACAATAATTTCACTCAACTGTAATTATTTTTAGGATGTTAAGTGTCTTTAAAGTAAGTAAAGTTCTTGATTGTAGAGGCATGTATTGTGTCCGTTTTGACCTACTTAAAATTTGTTAAAACGACCTTTTAAAATGGCTGCCGTGAACTCATTGGGGTGCTTGATTAGTAGAACAAAGCCGACCCCTTGCTACCAATTATCGAACCAAGTTATTTATAGTGTACAAATAATTTGTAGAAAGAGGAGACCATTTATATTGAAACTATAAGCATTAATTAAATTTTCTACTGTAACATAGAACAAAACAAACACATTTTCATTTATTTTCATGTCTTGTCACAACCAAAATTTGATTATCCCTTTTCAACATTGATAATGGTATCAATTGCATATTGAGAACAGTAGACGAATATACTTAGTGGTGTTCAACTTGATTTATCTTGTTTGATTAAATATTTGATTGAACGAAAAAATAAATCAAGAAACTAGGTCAAGGTTGACAGTAAAACAAATCAAAAATACAGTAAAATTACGCTCATATTTTCTTGAAAGAAAGGTTCATAAAGTATTCTTATTGTTCTGACTTATTCCGCAAATCTACATTAGTTAAGTGGTAACTTTACAAAAATACACAATTTCAAAAATGAAAGTAGGCTGCCATTATCTTAAAATTGAACTTTCGTCTACTATAAGAATGGTCAAAATGAAGCTGTAAATATGGAACTTTGCCAAAACAATGAAAATATAAGTGCTTGTCACTTTATTAAACAATCTCTTGCTGCACAACATAAATTTGATTTGTCAAATATAAAATTTACCACTTTAGTCGAGAGATGGTACCGTTCGAGAGATGGTATCAAAAGGCTATACATAAAGGGGGAATAAAAATTGTCAATATTTTTCATGATACACAGTCCTTTTAAAACGTTTAAGGTAACAAAAGGTCAAAAGAAACTTAAAATAGTAGCTTTCTAGAATCATGACTGAAGTTTAAATCTATAAATGATAAACTGTTATATCTTTTTTTTAAAATGTGAGTTTTCATCATACCTGTATGTCAATCATTTTTAAGAGTAGCGGCGTGACCCAGTAGTTAATGCGTCCGACTAGTTATCTAAGGATTGCTGACAACATGGGTTCAAACCCTGTCAGGGGTAAGCCCTTGTTTCCTTGAGCAAGAAACCTTACATTTATAGCTTAGTACTGGTTGGTTCCAGGAACGGATTGGAGATTTTTTCATTAAATTTATAGCTTCCAACACAATCAAACTAAAATAAATTTGTATAAATTAATCATTTTTTGAATGATCAAAAGAACAGATACTCACTCTTATTAAGGATCCTGTCAAGTTTTTTCTGTAGCTTGTTTTTCTCAATGTACAGTGCCTTATATTCCTCACCACACATGTATATCTTTTCCTTTAAATCCTCGATTTCACGCCTGTTTTCCCTTTCACGTTCCAACATCTCATCCTGTTTAAACACAATTAGATATTACTAAATCCCTATCAGAAACAAATAATTTTCCCCTTGCTTAATTATTTCATTATCGTATGACTGATTTAAAATAGTAGGAGAACTTTTTCAACAAAAAGTATGTTTAACAATTTTCATCTTGATACTGACTGTTGTAAAAAGGTTACTGTACTACAGAGGGTGGTCATTCTACAGCGGTTACACTGTAATAAACAAGGTTGTATTTCCTACCTCTCTTATTTTCATTTGTTTCTCCAGACTTTTACATTGTCTCTCCCTCTTCTCCAAGCGTTCTTTGATCTGTGTAAGACTCTGCTTCATAATTGTCATTGATCCATGATTCTCGCCTGATCTTTCTAATGTTGTTCTCAAACTCTGCTTTAACTGACCGTTCTCTTTCTGTAACTTTTCTTTCTCCTACAGGCAGTAATATTTTCATCAGTGTTTATCATAAAACTATATTAGATAATCGTTTAAAATCGGTATATAGTCTATATGCACAAATGTAACAAATTTAACTATGGAACTGCCATTTCTTTTTAGGAAATCACTTGCACGTTTCAGATGTTCAAATCATAGGTTAAACATAGAAATTGGGCGCCATTATGGTATTGAGAGATCAGATAGAATATGTCCATACTGTTTTATTAATAGTAACCGTTTAGTTATTGAAAATGAATACCATGCCTTTTTTATTTGCCCCAAGTTTGACAGTATAAGACAACAATATCTGTTTAATTGGTATAAGGGAAGACTAGAACCAATAAATTTCTCATACTTAATGAAAACCCAACATTATCCTACATTAAAAAGTTTAGCATTGTATGTAACCAAACTTATGACTAATATTGATAAGAATTGATTGGTTTCAAATATTATTTTCTTCTAGACAATTGCATGAATGTCTATTGTATAGTGTTTCATAACAAAAGTCTGATTTTCTTTTCTTTTTTTCATGCATTAATAGGACTAGTTTTTGTATATATTTTTTTTTTCATTTTCTGAACTTGATACTACATGTTTTACATTAAGGGTTGTGGTAATATGTACATTCTCTACCTTGTTGTACAATGTTCAAAATTATGGAATATGCTACTATTTTGTATGTATTTCATAACTTGTGACACTATCAGATGTACATGTATCTCTCTGTTATTATATTGTGTATTTGGGCCGATGGCCTAGAATTACATTACAATAAACTTGAAACTTGAATATTTATCATATTACAAAAAAAAATCACAGTATCACTAGATAAGCTATGTTTTTTTCTGATTAATTGATCAGTTAAACACATTGCTACCAATTATAAACAAGATATGTTTGTAAAACATGTATGCCCCCTATCGGCAGCCAATTAGTCATGACTTCTGACCCAGTGAACAAACAATTAGTAAGGGTTATCTAGTATCTACTGGTCATGACTAGTCACAAGGTAATAATTATTGTGACCCCATAGGTTGTGTGCAGCAATTTAAGTTATTACAAATCTTACCAAATAATATATGCATAAATTTTATGAATCATGTAGGCCTCATTAATGACAGCCAAATTGTTATATTACATAAGACCTTCAAATGTGTATACCAAAAGCATTTTTAGTTTAAAATAAAAAATATCAACCAAGGCAACTTGAGTTGTTGAGTTATTGGTCAGGAACCGTCATTAAGTACAAGGTCAATATGACATTGACCCCTTGACCCCAAAATCAATAGGGGTCATCTGCTGGTCATGACCAATCATCATACAAAGTTTGAAGTTCCTAGGCCTAAGTGTTCTTTAGTTATTGATCGGAAACCGTTTTTACCTACAAGGTCAATGTGACCTTGACTTTGGACCCCTTGACCCCAAAATCAATAGGGGTCATCTGCTGGCAATGACCAATCATCATACCAAGTTTGAAGTTTCTAGGCCTAAGCGTTCTTTAGTTATTGATCGGAAACCGTTTTTACCTACAAGGTCAATGTGACCTTGACCTTTGACCCCTTGACCCAAAAATCAATAGGAGTCATCTGCTGGTCATGTCCAACCATCATACCAAGTTTGAAGTTTCTAGGCCTAAGCGTTCTTTAGTTATTAATCGGAAACCGCTTTTACCTACAAGGTCAATGTGACCTTGACCGTTGACCCCTTGACCCCAAAATCAATAGGGGTCATCTCCTGGTCATGACCAATCACCATGCCAAGTTTGAAGTTCCTAAGCCTAAGCGTTCTTTAGTTATTGATCAGAAATTGTTTTTACTTACAAGGTATATGTGACCTTGACCTTTGACCCCTTGATCCCAAAATCAATAGGGGTCATCTGCTGGTCACGACCAATTATCATATAAAGTTTGAAGTTCCTAGACCTTAGCGTTTTTAGTTAATTAATCGGAAACCGTTTTTACCTTCAAGGTCAATGTGACCTTGACCTTTGACCCCTTGACCCCAAAATCAACAGGGGTCATCTGCTGGTCATGACCAATCACCATGCTAAGTTTGAAGTTCCTAAGCCTAAGGATTCTTAAGTTATTGATCGGAAACCATTTTTACCTACAAGGTCAATGTGACCTTGGCCTTTGACCCTTAACCCCAAAATCAATAGGGGTCATCTGCTGGTCATGACCAATCACCATACCAAGTTTAAAGTTCCTAGGCCTAAGGGTTCTTTAGTTATTGATCGGAAACCGTTTTTGCTTACAAGGTCAATGTGACCTTGACCTTTGACCCCGTGACCCCAAAATCAATAGGGGTCATCTACTTGTCATCACCAATCACCATACCAAGTTTGAAGTTCCTAGGCTTAAGGGTTCTTTAGATATTGATTGGAAACCGTTTTTACCTACAAAGTCAATGTGACCTTGACCTTTGACCCCTTAACCCCAAAATCAATAGGGGTCATCTGCTGGTCATGACCAATCGCCATACCAAGTTTGAAGTTCCTAGGTCTAAGGGTTCTTTAGTTATTGATCGGAAACCATTTTTACCTACAAGGTCAATGTGACCTTGGCCTTTGACCCTTAACCCCAAAATCAATAGGGGTCATCTGCTGGTCATGACCAATCACCATACCAAGTTTAAAGTTCCTAGGCCTAAGGGTTCTTTAGTTATTGATCGGAAACCGTTTTTGCTTACAAGGTCAATGTGACCTTGACCTTTGACCCCGTGACCCCAAAATCAATAGGGGTCATCTACTTGTCATCACCAATCACCATACCAAGTTTGAAGTTCCTAGGCTTAAGGGTTCTTTAGATATTGATTGGAAACCGTTTTTACCTACAAAGTCAATGTGACCTTGACCTTTGACCCCTTAACCCCAAAATCAATAGGGGTCATCTGCTGGTCATGACCAATCGCCATACCAAGTTTGAAGTTCCTAGGTCTAAGGGTTCTTTAGTTATTGATCGGAAACCGTTTTTACCTAAGAGGTCAATGTGACCTTGACCTTTGACCCCTTGACCCCAAAATCCATAGGGGTCATCTACTGATCATGACTAATCACCATATCAAGTTTGAAGTTCCTAGGCCTAAGGGTTCTTTAGTTATTGATCGGAAACCGTTTTTGCTTACAAGGTCAATGTGACCTTGACCTTTGACCCCAAAATCAATAGGGGTCATCTACTTGTCATGCCCAATCACCATACCAAGTTTGAAGTTCCTAGGCCTAAGGGTTCTTTATTTATCACTCGGAAACCATTTGGTCTACGGACCGACGGACCAACGGACCGACAAGTGCAATATACCCCCTCTTCTTCGAAGTGGGGGCATAATAATTCACATTTAAATAAGTATAGTAAATCCTTACATGGTTACTGTTTGGATAATTTTTTGCAGACTTTTTAGTTTTAAAGACAGTGTGTTTGTAGTAGTATTGTTAAAGGTACAATCTAATTAGAGTAATTGTTATAGTATAATTAATTAAAAATATACCTGTACAGCTGATAGCACATCGTTTAAAGTTTGTTCCATCTCTGCTGCCTGTATCTCTGTTTTCTGGGTAAAATCTTCCTCTAACGAGACCAACTTCTTCTTTAAACTTTCACATTCTGTCTTTGATTTCTAAAAGATATTCAAAGTCATTTTATGTTTCCTTCTTCACATGAAACAATTTAAAATAAGATTATTCAAATAAATTAGGCAATCATAAGATGCCACACAAAAGTTTGGTCAAGATGGGTCCAATAGATTATCATGAGTTTTTAGTTTTTTTCTACTTTCAGCCCTAGTAACACTAAAAGGGACTACAAATGTATTTGGGAATACATGTATCAGAAAACTTATAAAGGGATGAAAGGATGAAACAGGCCAAATAATAGAAGTTTCAAATGAGAAAAAGTTTAAACTAAATTGTTGTTGCTGAACACAATAGTATTCACTTTAAATTTTTTTGATTAGCATATAAAAGAAAATAAGATACATATTTTCATACCTCAATCTGTCTACTCATTTCATGCTGAGTGACTTCAAATGTTGTAATTTCTTTCTGAAGTATAACCTTACTTTCCTCAGCTGCCATCAACTTGTCCTCGGCGTTCTTTAGCCTCTCAACCATTTCCTCTAATCTTTCCTGATAAAAATGATATTTACTTTATCTAACTCAATAAACCTATCAATGGTTCAATATATTTCTAGTTATAACCTAAGAATGAATAAAAGGAAAGAGTGGCAACATGTTAGTGTAATTTGGGATTAATTTTCTTTAAGCATATCAATAGTTAATGTAACTTATATTTCAATTCTATATTTATTTCTGACAATTTAAGATATGTCTGCTTACACCTACATTTTTCTGTTAGAAAAGGCTATATAGAACAAGAACCCCCTTCAAATAAAATACCACATACAAACTGTACCGAACTTCAAGAATGGTTGAGATTAAATCTACATGACCCTCAGTTTCTGAATCATTAAATCAGATACCTTGATAATGATCCGTTCAAAGACGTTATAGACCAATTTTTGTGATGATCTATCTGTAATCTTGTGCTTCTTTAAAAGATTCAATTTATTGATAAATCTTCTTTTTTTAAATCTGGAAGGGCGCAACAATATTTATTTAAGCAAACTTCCTAGGAAACGATAGTAAGGCCTATGATTGACAATGATCAAACTGATCTGTGGTAAGAACCGTTAAATTTTTTTAAGTCAGCTTAAAAATACAACAACAAAATAAACCACCCTGGTTTTACCTTATCTTGTATGTTGACAGCTGTCTGACTATCAAGGTTACGTCGGTTATCCTCTAGTTCGGTGGACAACTTCTCCACTTGTTGTCTGAGGTGGTCAATTAACGACTCCTGCTGAGCGTATTCCATCTGCAGTGCTTCTGACTGTTTACTGTACTGATCTACAGTCGTCTCTGATGTCTGAACATGTTTCTGTATATACAATATAGTTACAATATATACTGTTAGATAATGAAAACATTAAAAACTCACATGTTTGACAGCATACTGCTATGGCATATCTGACAAATCTGTCCTGTTTACTTTCTAAACCATTACCAAGATATCGGAGGATGAATAAGAGATAGGTTGAACAAAACAACATTTTAGTGAACTCACTGCACAAACACATAATCAGATATCTGGGCATGCCCAAAAGGCAGGTTGCGTGCTTTAAATGACGTCTACCCATGCCATCAGTGCAAACCAAGATCAGTCAGCCGGCACAACTGGTCCTTATGCAGTCAGTACACATTTTTTTGAAATTTTCCCCTAAAAATCATGAATGGTCTTACCCAGTTCGAAAAATGGATAAGTCTGTATTGCATTTAGCATACATAGAGGGGTAAGAATTAACACATACAGCTTAAAGATACCTTAAACATTTCAGCTTCCTCTTCAAGCTGAGCATTCCTTCCTGACAGTTCATCTTTTTCTGTTTGCAACACAGTAACTTCTTTCTTTTTGACTTTTAACTCTGCAGTGACACTTGCAATAGTTGTATTAGCTGCATCAAGGTCGGATGTCAGCGAAGAAATCTTCTCATTCAACGTAACTTTCTCCTTGTTCAACTTGTCAATTTTTGTCTGTAGTTCATCTCTTACAGTGGTCATATCTCTGGCTTCAGTTTTAAGCTGCTCAACTTTGCTCTCACTGGTGGACAGATGACCTTTCAACTTTGTATGTTCAGATTCAAGAGTGACAAGTTGGTTTTTCACCTCCTGGTATTTTGTGATAATTGTATCTCTTTCTTTCTGTAGGGCATCTTGTGCCTGCAATATTTTACAAAAGAACATCAATGACAAGAACAAACTTAGTAAATCAGTAATAACAATGTAGGCTTCTCAATGTCACTTTGACGAAAATAAGAAAAAAAACATATCTCCTAACAATGAGGAAAAGTAGAAAATATATTTCTAGCCCCAATAAATATGATCCAAATGTCTTAGAAATCTATCAAAGAGTAATGGTCAATCAAATATACAAGAATGTACCTACACATCAAATATATACAGTATCAGTAAATCAATGAGGGGAGGACAAACTGGTAACTATATGCTCCAATGAACAATGTCTGGGTGCATATAAAGGTTGATTGATGAATGTCCATAGTAAGGAAGATATAACTACCAATACTGTGCAATCTAACAGGTTTACCATTTATCAATGACTGTGAAAAAAATTAAGTTTAAACATATTTTATTGCATTAAATACATATTTATAAACATATCATACAAATAATGAGTATCTATCAAAATGCAAATGGGTTGGGCAACAAGTTCTTACAACATTAGATTTAGCCCTTCCAAGAAATTTTTTTAATCCAGCACATGTAATGTTGTGATAAACAAAGTTAAACTACGTAAAAAACTCACTTCTATTTCCTGTACGTACTGATTTATTACATGGTTACCAATAATGATACTTAAGTTTTCAAACTTTTCTTACTTTAATTTCCTTTTAATTATTCTCCTTGTATAATTATAATCATGTAAAGACTGTGCTGTATTATCAATACTTTAAACTTTAAAGGAAGATAAAAAGAAAGAGGATCAAAAGTGGTTCTTTCATATTGAATTTGTTGAATAATGTGATACAGGGTCTTTCAAATAGAATGGTCTGGAAAGCGCTATGTAAACCCTTCTCACTACAATTAAACATGTCTTTGTATAACTCGGTAGTTTGCTATACGGAAATTATGTAAGTGTTCAAGAAAGGGCGGAAAAAAAATTCAAGAGCAAAAATGAAAATTTTAATGACATGATGTTATTCAAAAATCTTAAATTTGTGAAAAAAAGGATAAATATTTCAGAAAAAAAGGATTAATATTTCAGAAAATATGTTTTTAAAGCCATATTTGTTGAAAAACATAGTTTGCTTATTCAGAATATTTGCCGATAAACGGCGCCATTTGAAAATGCACCACATTAAACATCAAATTTTTGTAAATACACCAAACTAAAAGAAGCATTCACTAATTCATGTTCCAATGTTTACAGTAGCTTATACATTATAATGCATGGACATTTTTTATGACTCACTAATCTACTCTACCATTTACCTAAATAAATACAGGTAAGCACTCAGCATTCTGAAGCCCACATGGAAGATCGACAAAACGAATGTGGAGTCTTGTTAAATAAAGTCGTTATTTATTTACTTACTTACTAATTTATGATCTACTAACTGCGTGTGATCTACCTATTGTAGTATACTTCCCATACCTCAATTAGTTTCTGTCTCTGTGCTTGGGCTTGTTGTAAATTTTCCTCCAGGTAGATGGTCTTTGATCTTATCACCAGCATGTTTGTCTCTTCATCATCAATTTCAACAAAGTCGTCAGCACCAGGCCGACGGAACTGGAATGGTGTACTCGCACCCCTTATCTGGTTTGAACTTGACACATAGCAGAACTGATAAAATTCTCCATCATCTTTTGGAAGCTTGTGAGCTGAAATATTGGGAAGGGATTCATGCATTACAGATTAAAAATTTCTTCGTCATTATAAGGTTTTTCTTTTTTCAACTTTGGTGACCATATATGGGAACATCCAAGGATAAGTGTTTCTAGTCTGTGACCAACTTGTATTATCACTTCAACTGTCCCTCATCACCATACGTTTAATTCATACATTTGTATACACATGTTTATGACATACCTTACATAATTGCAGCATTCTTTTTTGTAAAATAAAGTTATTTAACAAATATTGTTACTCTATAAACATACTGGTTCTTATATATTATTATTATTATTGTTATTATATACATATTTTATTGCTAAGTTATTAGCAAATGGACCTCTTTATCACACACCAGAATTTTTATTGCTCACCAAAGCAGCTTGGCAATATCAAAATTACAGTGTGACCAGTATAAAATCCACTGACCATCTAATGAATGGACAATACATTTGTGTGAAATAATATGTACAATGTACATTGTAATTTATATTCTTCATATTGTAATTTATATATATCATATTGAAATTTATAAATACCATATTGTAATTTTATATATACATATACCATACCTGGAAACAGAACACTTGAGTCTGCATCACATCCTACTTTGTATTCTTTTGGTATTGGTGCCCATTCATAGTAGATATAGTCTCTGGGTGACATCCAGCCCACCTTGTACAATGCAACATAGTCTCTAGTGGTAGGAACCAGGTCAGAGGTCACTGTGTATTTACACTCAATATGGGCATCTTCAGGGTAAGTCTCAGCCATATTGTGAAATACAACTGAGGCAAAGTCAGTTCTCGTATTCTGAAACACATGCAAATCATATTTCTATTTAGAAACTTAACAAGAGGGTCATTAATTAATGATTACATTTGTAATTTTCTATAAATGTAATGTTTCAGCTCACATTAGTTTATCACTGTGAATAAATATAAGCTCAGGAAAGAAATTGTTATCAAGTATTTTTACTATTTTATATATATATAAATGGACTGTTTGTGATTCTTAATTTGAAGAGAGAATCATCCAGTGTCCTAAAATCATTGCCTGATGGTGAATGGCATGATACACTACAACCCCTGCACAGTGACCCTCTGTAGAGCAATCAACTCTTTATAAACAAAAAAATTTATCATTTTTCCCAAAAGTATGAATTCACAATTAGTTAAATTTTTTATAGTTTTGTAGAACAACGACTCTAAGCTGCAACCAAAATCTATGTCTCTCAAAACATGTTGCTCTACAGAAGTGGTACAGATGAACTTCCAAGAAATCTACATGCAAAGTTACGGGGATGATTCATCCATAGATTATTGATATGTTTTTTATCTGTTTTTAAATTTTTGGCTTTCGTTATTATCTATCAATTTATTGTCAAAATACTTCCTGATAGGAAAGCGGAAATGTTTTATACAGGAACCACATTTGGCATGCTATTCCATATGATATCCATTACAGTATTTACCTTGAAATCATTATCATCCATGTCCAAGGTCACCACCTCATCTATAACAACTGGCTCCTTCTCAGCCATTATTCTATAAATATAAAATATCACAGCATGTTTATTACATATAAAACTGTCTTTATTAGTTATTCTCCTAAATATTAATGATTAAACTTTTGCATTGTTATTATTAGTATACATTATACTAAGTTTAATCCTTTTGCATTTTCAGTTTGCAAATTGTCAAATTTTATTTATTTGATTGATATTATATAAAAAATCATTTGATATTAGAATCTATGAAATCTGAATAAAAATGGAGAATTTCAAAGGCAAAAAGTGATTATTCAAGAGCGTAATAGAAGGGCAGCCTGCCCTGCCCTTTTGCCCTTAAACAAAAAATGATGTAAAACCTTGGAATTACCCAAAAACTAGTTTTCCATGTTAACACGTGCCCTTACACCTAATTTTGGTAAAAAATTGTTGTTTTTTGACATTTTCTATTTTTTTAATTAACCTTTCACCCCATGAGCATATTGCGAAAAATGGCCGTTTTCATTGAAAAGCCTCCTCACTCTCCTGTAACAATGAAACTATGAAAAATGCTTCAATACTGATGAAACTTGGCACAAATGTTGACTAGACCATAGCCTCTGTAACAGCATGCTCAATCGTAAATTTCCTGTTACCATGGCAATGGGGGACGTCTCAAAATTGCCCAAAATCACTATTTTGCATTGTTTTTTTCCCATCAAAACTGATTTCAAAGTGCTGCGTTACCTCTCAATGAATTGAGATAGCGTTGGTTACTAGTTACCCTAAGATCTACCTGAGGCCATATTTAGCCCATCACATGTCCAAAATTTTCTTGGCACATCCCCCTTCTGGCAACCCCTTGATGTAACATTTGGATGGCAGGGGAGGGGGGGGGGGGGGGGGTTGGCAGTGCCGAAAAAGTGGTCACTTTTTTAAACGACATTTCTCCAACGAAAAACAGTGTTTGGGGCCTAAATAGGCCGTTTTTTCACTGTTTGAGGCCTCAAAAAAAGGGGGGGGGGGGAGACAAAAAGCCGTCAAAACATGTCTATATGAGGGAAAAGGTTAAAAATACATAGACTGTAGTCCACGGCACAATGCTATTTGTATCAAACTCAACCACTTTTGAAGTGGACCCAATAATTTGCGTTGATGAAAATGACATAGTTTGCTATAGACAAGATTATGATATTTACAATTGTATGGAAAAAAACCAAACAATTTTTAGATTTAATATGGGAGAGTAGTTAAAATATGGGTCTGATAGTTTAACAAAGTAACACCCCCCACAAAATTTTTATTCTAAGATGATCTCAGGAGAGTTTTCCTGTGTATTTGGCACAGTTTACAGTCTGCTGCTAGTACTTTAGGCATATTTTTGTTATTTTTGCATATGTCAATGATTTTTTACAAAGATCGTCAGTTTAAGGGGGGTTAAAAGGTTGACTACCAATCGCACAAGGAACAGACAGTTGTACATAAAATATGAATAATTCAAAAATATATTTGACAAATGAAAATAAACAATAATTTATGTTGTTATAATTTGTCAGTTGTTCATTTTATTTGATAATTTTAAATATTTAAACAAATACAAGAAATATTACATGCAAGAACAGTACATGTAGAATGTAGATTGTGTATTTAACATAAATCACAAAACGGTTTATTTACTTTAAGCTTAATTATCAATTAATCACATGTGGTTCAATAAATTTTGAAAATAATTTTGGTTCATTTGGTTCCGATGGAACTGTGTCACATGTCATGATATCTTAATATTTCAAACGATTTGTAATAATATATTTGTATGTGAACAGCAGTAAAATTTAAAGAATTGTCACATTATTTTTTGAATATATAGAGGATATTGAATGAGTGTAGGTTCAATACTGAATTTATTGAACAAGTTGAATAAAATCATATAATGCGAGCCTTTGGTGAACACAATATTTTTTTAATTCAACCAGTTCAATAAATTAAGTAATGAACCTACATGAATATAATGTTCTATTTAATATCACATACACAAAATAAAGACTGTATAAAGTGCAAAAGAATCATTTTTGTAATTCATGCACCTATAGTGTAAAGCTAACATTTAGTATGTCTTTACACATAGTTTGTATAATGCAAATGAGGTAACATCAAAATATATGCATGGCCGTGCAATACCTTTTTTTAAGGAGTGGCACAATCAACATGGGTATGTGATAAACATCTATATAAATGGTTTACTGTCCAAAGCCACAACAATATCAATTAATGCCAATTAAGATAACTTCACATGAACTTCCAGTACTACCCCTTAATGTACCAGGTCAATTAACTGTGTGCAGCTGTTTAGCACCATGTTCATATATTACCTCATGTTGCATAAGGGGCCAGTTAAGTATCAGATTGCTAATAAGCGATGCAAGTAGTTTTTGTTTTTTGTCTTTTTTCCCCTGTCTGTTTTTTTGTTTTTGTTTTTGCCAAAGGGCAGATATTTTTGGCCAAAATATTAGTCTAACCATCTATGACAGGCCTGTAGTTACAAGCGTACAATTGTGTAAATGTCCTAGTATCAAGATTATACTTTCTGAACAATAGTCAATACAGTTTATGTCATTATAATGTCACAGGGTGAGAAAAATGTGCAGCCTGACAGGGACTTGAACCCTGGACCCTCGGAATACCGTACCGCGGCTCTACCGACTGAGCTATCCGGCCGCTTACACATCTTCTCCCCTTAATAGTGAACAGTTCTGAACCGTGACATACTCCCCTGTTATAATGAAACTCGTCCTCGAATTTCACAGAGTTACAGAGCAATGTGAATTAAACTTTGAGCTATATTCAGTCGCAGCCCAACGTTGGGCGCCAAATGTCACAGGGTGAGAAAAATGTGCAACCTGACCGGGACTGGAACCTGGGACCCTCGGAATACCATACCGCGGCTCTACCGACTGAGCTATCCGGCCGCTTACACATCTTCTCCCCTTAATAGTGAACAGTTCTGAACCGTGACAATAATAATAGAATTTAATTAGAAAGGAAGTTTACATACATTCTTTTCTGACAATCTTATTAGTTGAGCTAATTATCAGTTACTTTCCTAAGTTATCCATACTGATGCGTTTAATGTTGAGCAGTTAATTGACGTGACATAGTGTAAAATGTGTTGGATCCCCAAAAATGAGTTAAAACTGTTAAACAATCAACATGACATCATAATAAAAAATACAAAACAGGAACAAAATTTCCAAAACACATTTCTAAAATTTGTCGATTTTATGGTGACCCGATTTTATCGTTAAAAATATAAACATATTACCGAAAATGTAACGTAAGTTGATTAAAGCACACTGATTGACTCAATATATGACAGTTATTTCAATGTTAATTAAAAACGAAAACGTAATTTTTCCATGTTTATTTTGGTATTTGACGTCATAAATGCAATCGGAACACTTCGGCGATTATTTTCACAATAGGCAGGTTTCGGGCGCTAACTATGGTTACAAAGGGATATACAGTACTGACCAAAAAAATAAGCTATATTGCGAAAATGAAATCGAGACTAAGAAAATAAGATTTATTTTTAATTTAGTGTATTAAAAACGTATTTATGTTGTTATTAAATGATTTGTATGACTGAAATGATAAAAAATGAAATGTTGTTTCTGTGTCGCCTCTACTGTACGGAGTAGTGGCGACATTACATTGATTCTCCACTAAACATTCAAAATAGGCTGTACGAAATAGTGAATAATTGACATTTGCGAATAGTTACCAAGACACCTTTTTTTGTTGGTTTAACTCATGTATAACATTGAACACATACTGGTTCTTTTAACATTTCACCAAAAAACTTGTAATATTTCCTGAAATTAAGTTACCAAGAATTCGAGATTTGTGCAAAAACAGATACGTTACCATTTTTCAAATTGCTTTCAGAGACCAGACAAAAATAATTAGCATGGATATACACGATTTAGAAATTTATTATCATTCTTTCAGCAATATAGTTCCAGTATATACTACAAAATATTATGCATTAATATGCATTTTAATAAAATCTACGTCTATGAACAGCTTGTGAACTGAAGCTGATGAAAATGTTACTTATTAATCAGACTTGTTTAATCCAAACACATGATGAACTTATAAAAGTATTTTATGCCAATAAAAATACTGATGTTCCATACTCATCTATTGACACAATGAAGCTCGGATTTACTTAACAGAATAAATTTATTCCGCTAAATGGAAACGAATATTAAATCATAGTAACGTATCTGTTTCACCGTTCTACTATGAACAAAATTATGAAAAGCCCTGAACACGTACATAGATATTCATAAAGTTTTTTAAACAACTGACCAATAAATAATATGTCTGAACCAGTACTTTCAACATTAAACAGAACACACAATATCATTAACAGTTTTTTTTTAGGTTTTATTGTTTTATGTGTAGCTTAAAATAGTCAAATAACATTGTGACTTAAAGAAACAGGTTGAACTTAACAAGAACATTTAAATAAAGACACTCATCTATTAGAATAATTATGTAACAGCTAGATTAATGTGAGTGTTTCATAGTGTGAATTGACATTCTGTATTTCGTTTGTCTTTTTGGTTCACCTGCTGTTCAATTGTCTTTATTTTTTCTATATACTTTTTTTTTATATACTGGTACAATCTCGACCCTTGATTTTGTCATACTTGGTGATATGAGTAAGCCTACATGTATATGCTTATCTACATTTAACAAAATTATATCAGAAACAATGGTACGGCTTAAAGAAAACCAACTTAGTAATAATCAATCCATATATATGTGCACCTCCGAGATTTTGAGCTATATCCAATTAGTCCATCCCTACCATAGACAGAAAATCTTGATACGACCCTGACTAAAATTTAGAAACTAACGGACATTCATTTAAAAATACTTTAATGTTTGTTTTTTTCATTAAGTTACAGTGTAGTTATATATTGCCTAATCATATATTACTTATTTAAACCAAAGTTTTGTTGAAGATTTAGTTATATTTATTAAACAGTGCTCAAATCTCTTTCTAAACAGATACGTTACTATGATAAACAGATACGTTACCAGAAGTTATACAGCCCTCTTCATTTTATTTTTAATACAAATTTTGCAAACCAAAAAGATATCAACATATATTTATTCCAGAAAATAAAACAGTAAATTTTGATATGTTTCTTTCCTGTTTTTCAACATTTTATTTTCTAGAAAACTCAACTCATCCTTGAATTTCAAATTCCTGATTCACATTTTCAGTTTTCCAATAAAATCGAGATCAAAGCATCATTTATCGGCTACACGTACGTTATGCTGTGATTTTTTACATGAAACCATTTCAAAACTGAGCAAAATCGTCAATTAAGATTCAAACAATAAATATTGGTAACGTATCTGTTGGTAACGTATCTGTTGGTCAAAAAACTAAAATATATCAAATATACACATATGTTTGCCAAATATATTAAAATATTAAGTTTTGTAAAGCATATATTTGAATTGGGAATGCATAAATGTGATCCTACTTTTAAGTGCTGGTAATAGTAAATGATTCTCAGTGGGATATCATGGTAACGTATCTGTTTAAAAAGCAGGCAACATATCCTAAGGGTGATTATACAGTATTCAAGTAGGAATACTGGAACCACCCAAGTTGAAAAAGGCCAAATAGAAGAAACTAAAAGTACCAATCACTTCTCCGTCGTCTGTCTGTCTGTCACAAAACTTCTCCAAGCTACTCCTCATAAACTACTGGTGCAATGTCATCCAAACTTTACAGGAATGATCAGTACTAAGTCTAGTTGTCCATATTGTCAGCATTTTCCGGTTCAATGATTTTGTCAGAGTTATGGCCCTTTAATAATTTTTATTTTTAAAGTTTGTCCGCACTACTTCTCTTATACCACTAATGCAATTTCAATGAAACTTTACAGGATTGATCTGTAGCTCAAGTCCTTGCGCATATTTCACGGGTTTTTTGGTTGAATGATTTTTGGCCGAGTTATGGCCCTTTGATAAAAAGGTGTTTTTTCTGTGTGTTGCCAGATACACAAAAGCTTGTCCGGACTACTCCTCATAAACTACTGGTGCAATTTTATCCAAACTTTACAGGAATGATCAGTACCAAGTCTAGTTGTGCACTATCCGTCTGTCTGTCCGTCTGTCACAAAACTTGTCCCAACATGAAATTGGCCATCATGAGGCGACACATATGTGATCACTGATCGCTCTTGTTTTGTAATGAAATATTAGACGTTTGTTACGGTATATATAATTCATGTTCATCTTGGAAACTCACTTAATCATTATTTTACTCCAGAAATCATTTAATTTAGTTTAAAGGTTGTATAAAGTGACATATTTTGGTCTGATACGGTAGTTTTTAAGGTATGTAAACGGAAAATAAATGAAAACACGCACATCCTATCATTTCTTGTATTTACTCCTCGATTAATTTTACCTGTTCAGCGGTTTACATTTTTATATTTATTTCAATTTTAACAACATAATTATATACAGTAAGCATATACAAACACACTGATAGATTTCCTGGATTGGAAAACAAGTTAAATGTAGCTTGTGTAAATTCCTAATAGGCAAGTTGCATGTTATTGTTATGAAATCTATTAATAGTAACAAATTGCTGATAAGATATACAGGTAACTTTCGGGTGGTTGGCAAAAAATATGGTGGCTAATAAAATGCAAAATATAGTAATTTTGTATTTACAATAACAAGCTTATTTTTTATGAAACAGCTTAGTATTTTATATCATTAGAAAGGTCATTTTACTCATATTTTAAAAATTATAAAATAAATTTACAAAACGCTTTCATTTTTTCTTGTGTGCACACAAAATATATATGCACATATTTAGTTAGAATAATACAGAAAAGAGTAAATCAAAATTAATTATTGAATTGAACAAATTTCTTTATTGTTTTATTGGAAGACGAGTTTAAATTTGGCTTCAGACCCCCAACCTTTCACACAATTAATGTGGCTGGTTACACAGACATATTCTATTAATCCTATGTTGGTTATCATCAGAACCACTTTTAGGTATTATATCTCTAGTTATCACAATTTTTGTGTGTTTGTGAAACCAAGGCCGGTCAACAAAGATTTTACAGTTTCTAAAGTTTATAAGTAAATCATGGATTTCATACGGTTTTTTTCATTTTAAGTATCCATTATCTTTTAATTTTTATTTGTAATATTTCATTTGTGATTCTTTAATATTAAAGTCATTTACTTCTTGCTCTTCTTCCTCTTCTTGTTCCTCTTCTTGTTCCTCTTCCTCTTCTTCTTCCTCTTCTTCTTCCAGTTCTGTACAAAACCCGCTCTGGCGCATTAACGTACAGGGTGTGTACATGAACAAAGTGTTGTGCGGCAAATTAGTGCAAGTTTAAAAAAGAACAGGTTAAAAATAAAATCAACTCCGGCATAAAAATGTTACAGAGAAAAATGTTAATAAATCGTATCATTAAGATATTTTATTTTTTAAGGTGTTTTTTTTTTACAAATATTTGATATTTTATTTGGAACATTTTGACAAATATTTAGACAACAGATCATGGCTTTAAAACATTATTTTCCAAAATATATACCTTTTTCACAAGATTTAAAAGAACATCATATGCTGTTAGAATTTTCATTTTTGCTCTTTTATTTAATTTTCACTTTTTTTTTGAAGAAGAAGAATGCCATAATTTGTGAATATCTATCTCTGAATACTGCCAACCCCTCTTACGAGTGTTAAAGGCAGGAATTTAGTGCACGTCAGATTGTTAGTAAAAGGTGAAAAGAAAAGCTAAAAAAGAAAAGTCCAAACATTGACATGCTTGGAAGGTGAGACTGAAAATGTATTCTAGTCATTGTTAAAATGTTAATAGTGAAACAAGATGATAAGAGATAAAATAGCTTAAAAACACTGGGAGTAAGACTAGTACTGCAAACCCACCACTGCCTGTTTGAACTGACTCAAGTTGGGCAGGGTGGCAATGTTACTAGGAAGTTTATTCCAAAGTATAATGCTATGAGGGAAGAAAGAGTACTTAATTAGGGTAGTCGGAGGATACCTGTATTTGGCGTAGGGATAAGGGGTGCAAATGTCTGGTTAATCTATGTGGGGTTTGAACATATGTTGGGAGATTAATTGCAACTAGGTTATGGTATATTTTATAAAACATTATCAGTCTACAGTCAAATCTGCGATGTTCAAGGGATCGCCAGCCCAGTTCCTCCTGCATGGCTGTGACACTAGAGTGAGGGGAGTAATCCATTTTAACCCATCTTATTGCACGTCTCTAGATCATCTCAACTTTGTCAATATTGGTTTTAGTGTAAGGAGACCAAATAGTTGAGGCATACTCAACCGGTGGCCGGACCAGGGACTTGTATGCTAGTTCTTTCACTTTCTCATTTTTAGTAATAACATTTCT